CGTTGCTTTCGCAGAACGGCCAATTAAACAAATCACCAGCAGAAGTAATGTATGGTAGAAAGATAAAAAGCAGATTAGATTTAATGTTTCCGTTAGCTAATAAAGATAGAGATACATTAGAAAATAACATAGTAATAAGAAATTTTAGAGAGGGCGAAAGAGTTGCGGTACGTGAATGTTTAGACAAAAAAGTCAAATGGCGTTTTGGAAGTGTAATAAAAAAATTAGGTAAAATACACTACGTAATAAAATTAGATAATGGTAAAACTTGGAAATGCCACATAGATCAAATAAAAGCGATAGGAAATAAGATTAGCGATAAAATTCAACACAGCGACCTCGATCATAAATGGTCCGATAGATGAGATAGGAGATACCTCGACAGAGGATAATAATATTTGTAAAACCAAACCCATTCCGAAAAACTTGGGCTCTGATAGCTCGAGACAGTGCTCCGAAGATTTGGAAATAAGAGACTCCGAGAGGAAGGACAATTTGCTAATGTAGCCCACGTTCCACATGAAACAGTCCTACGTAACACTAGGACAGTCGGTAGCGAGCAAAAAAAGGCGAATGCAGAGGCCCGGCCTCAGAGAGAAAGAAAACCTCCGAACAGATACGGAAATTATTTAGCATCGTTTTAAACTAATCATTATTGTATTCTTTTCTCCTGTGCGAGCGATTGCGTTTAATTTACGGGGGGAAGAGTGATACGTATGAGAAGCAGGTGGGAAGCGAGATCACGGCGTATCACGAGCAGCGATAGGCCAAAAGTATGGCACTCCCCTCTCCGGGGTCCACGCTGCCGGGATAGAAAAGTGGAGCGTATACTTTGCGACGCGCTCTCCTGTTTGAACCGTCGACCGCCGCACGCGCAAAATAGAATGTAGTTTCATTTAAAGAAATACAGTGTTAGTTATTCCACCCCGCCTAAAAGGAAAGATACATCAGTAATTAATATCGTCACGTATCATTTCTTTCTCATAAAACTATGACCTTTCCCTTTTTACAGCTGTTATTGAATATTGGTGCATCTCGCGCTTTGTCGCAACTGATTGAGCTTTTAAGAACGGTAAATTTGAGAGCTGCTCCAGTTTGGCATAGCAATCGTGTTAGTTTAAGTGACAATAGACTATTGAAGCATCTTCTCGTTTACCGAAGCAAGAATTGTAATGGCATGTAATGGCAACATAATAGACAAGTAGACGAACCGCGAATTATACATATGTTTGTTTCATTGGACAGAGAAGAGGTGTTTGAAAACTCTGTTGCGATCTTACAGAGTTAACTCCTGATGCCAAGCACATAGATGACGTTGTAATTGAAATTGTTTAACGCTTTAATGAATGGATTCGGAAAGAACTGACAGCTAAAGACGCGAGTCTGTTATTCATTCAGTCTCTTTTGTTACATCAACAGATTCTTTTTAGAAAATGCTAAAAAATTGTATACAATGTCCATTTAATGATAAACAATCGACTATTAAAGAGCGAATTGGAGATTTGTAGATAACTTGTCGAGATGTTGAAATGAATTTAAGGAAATGTCTTGGTAGAAAAGGTTTTATTGAATTTTTACATACTTATTACGGAATAACAAAGTTTTATCTGTTACGCACACACGCAATCATGTTATTCGTGGCGATGAAAAATGAACGATGAATCTGAAAAATACACAATTCGTCATTCCAAGTACACTATGCAGCTACGCATGAGTTTTGTGCAAAAACAAAATGGTGATATCGTTCTATTGATTTTGCAAGTATATCAACGTATTCTGCAACATTATAGAATATAGCTTTCTCCACAATAGTATCTTGTTAAAAACCCATTGAGAAACTCGCGTGTTCCGTCTCACTTATCGAAAGTGGATATCTCTTGCTGGTGTAATCTGTTTCGTGATGAGAGACTGTGGAGAAGAAGAGAGGTTAAAGAATTACTCTTTTTTCCAAAACTTGATGCAGTTATCTTGTGCAATAGAGATTTTCCCGCATTAGTCTTAAATGACGTACATACATAAATATGTATATATAGTTCAATCATCGAAACCAGTTGTCCTTTTTGTTTTCCTTTGCCTCGGGCTTTGCTTTGGAGGTCTAGGAGATTTATCTGTAAATTTAGATCAGGGATAAAAGAAATAGCGCTTTTCCAGATAAATTCATCATTCTACGTCTACTTACTGATTCTGTTGAGAGTTTCTTTTGGCAACCAATCGTAATCTACATTGTTAGGATTAGATGTACCCATTTCCACTGGGGCTTTACGAGTAGTGGAAGAACGCGATCTGCGTCCCAGGGATGATAACAATTGTTGACCTCCTACAAGAGTCAATATAACGCATGCCGCGAGGAATACGTAAAGAAAAACAGTCTCTCCATCAAGACCATCGTCTAGCTCTATAATTTGTATGGTTTCATTAAAGACGGCCTCATTGTAGGAAACTCCATTCTGCAAAAGATGCAAGGTATACAATACCTTATAGGTATACAATATCCCTACGTGTAATATCATACGTACCGCATCTTTATAATTGAGGTTAACGTTCAAGCCGAATGGCCTGCCAGCAAAACTTTCGGATGGTACGAAAGAGTAGGCTAGAGTAGCTTCGTGCTTGGGCTTGACAATCTTGTTAAACGTAAAGGTGGAAAAGTTTTGAATGTAAAAATTAAAGTCCATTGCATAACGGAAAGAAGCGTCCAGAGACTCCAACACAAAGTCGTTTTCACCCTTGTTGGTGAAGCCCACGAGAAACTCTACTATGTTTCCAGCTGGTAATTCTATAAAATTCACAATTGTAGGGGAGAAAAAAAAAAAGAGTATCGTACAGTCAAACGTTAATACTGAGAGATTGAATACCAAGAGTAGAGAGTGTATTGTGAAGAGGTTTAGTGAAAAGTATCGTTGTGTCGGCGTCGGCCGAAGCATTAGTAGCATCTTCCTCGGTCTCTTCGTCGGTGATTATACTACCTTCTTCACCCTCGACGTCAACGATATCATCGATATTCTCATCCTCTTGAGCGGAGACATATCCTACACAGAGGGTGTAGAGGTGAAATTTCGCCAAGTCGCGCGAATAATTAGTAAATTGTAATTACCTTGGTTCACCGCGAGTGCGATCGTCGAAACGATCGCGAATAGAACAATGTTCAAGTTTCTCATTTTATTGCACCGCTCTGTTAAGAAGATCAATTGGAGATCAACATCCACTCGCGACGACACCACTCACAGTAGTCGGATCGGACATAACCGCGCGCGCATATTGTCAGCACGCGCCACCGCGTGCTACGTGGAAGTTTGGCATGGTAGTCGTCGTAGTCGTCAATTCGTCAACGTGGAACGTGGCGACACGGAGAGACCAGTAACCCACGGAGTCTCACACCAGTTGGGGAAACAAGATCCATCCAAATGTAACTAGTCGAGATCGAAACGTTCCTAGAGCTGAAAGGAGAGAGCGCAGCTGATTGACGAAACGTAAACTGTGCCTGCGGAGATGGATTTCTGCGACGAGAAAATCTTGCGCTTTCGTATTACGTCTGTGCTGTAATTCCTCTTCTCCGCGGTTATGTCGTCGCACTCGTCACAAATCTGTGAATTGTATCCGCGTTCCGACTCTCGAGTTGCAACGTGAGTGTTATATCCTAGCCTAGAAGAAAATTGTACATTCGGTCTAGTTGCTCTATTTGTTTGTGATTTACAGCGCAAGAAAATGAATAATCTGTCTGGGCAATTCCGCAAAACAACATGGGATCCCATTCTCATAATTTCGCAGATAATCGCTCTGCAGACCGTTGTGTACCTCTGCCTCGGATTCTGGATCTCGATCGTCGCCTCGATACTGGGCTGGACAAAGTCGTTGGATTACGTCTTTCAATATAAGGAGATACACGTCCGCGACTTTGGCGGACAGTTGGTTATCGTTATGTTTGTCCTCAACGCCTTTGTAGGTGCATTCGCATTATGGTGGCTGGTGCAGAGAACGAAATTATGCATGGACTTTGCGTGTACCGCCCATTGGATTCACCTCGTCTGCTGTTGGCTGTACAACGGAACGTATCCAACATCTTTTAGCTGGTGGTGTTTAAATCTCGTGTCGTTAAGTATAATGTGCGTCTGCGGAGAATTCCTTTGTATGAGAACAGAACTGCAAGCTATACCTTTGAGTATAAACAGTCAAAAGACAGCCTTGTGAGGTTATCTGTGCGAGTTGAAGACGAAGCTTAAATAAATGCCCTCGGTGTTGAATTTTACTCTACGCATTTATTGCAACAAACGTTACATTCTTAAGTTCAAGTTACACTTGTAAACTACTCGTGTAGAGCGTCTAGTGATGGTTCTCCTTGTAAAAACGCAGACCGCAGTAACCACAGGTGTGATTTCCTGGTTTATCCTGCAAAAGAGAATGAAATAATTGGCCTCCGTTTGAGAAATAAACTTGCTCCCAAGTCTCACCAGATTTATATAAACTTTGGGATGACCAAGGGGGCCTCCGCCACCGTCGCAAGCTACAATTCTATCCTTCTCGAGTGACGGCGGTACTTGATCTATCAATTTGATTGCCCAATTCTCATTAACCTCTTTCGGTCTGTTGACAAATCTTATTAGTCGATAGTCGTCCTTCTCAAATACCTAACGAAGCGTGATAAGAAGTGAGAAGCGGCGATACTAGAGAGAATTGTTTAAAACTTTACAGTGAGCAACGAGGGGGGGTATGACCTCTCACCTGACCAGTATGAGTGACTCGAGTATCCCCTTCGTCCACGGTTGCGTACGCGCGTTGCCTTATCGTCGACACATTACTTTTGTACAATCTATTGAGAGACGCACCAAGTCCATTCATTTTTTTCGTCGCCATATTCGATACCTATATTAATTATCGTATGTACACACGCTCGAGTTAAGAGATCTACCTTTCAAGGTGCATTACCATAAATTACCACCACTGGCAACCACTGGTTACCGAGTTTCTCGATGCAAGCCTGGCAACGCCAATAAAAGAAATATCTAACCTAGGAACATTTTAATCCCCACTGAATATTCAAATAGCATTCCTAACTTTACGAATTTTCCTTTTTTTACCGATGCCGCTTTCTTCCTCTCGGTTACCCGACCCGACTTAATTTCCCGAAAGTCTATTTAGGAAACTCCATCCACGCGTTTAACAATTCAATAATAATCGTGTAAAAATACTTTTCTGAATTCTTTTTTAATTGAAATAACGTTTGCACAAATATGCTTTGTTTGACTTGTCTATCCGTAGTTATTCGAGTCTTTTTAGAAACGATCAAACGACTTGGGCTCGATTGAATAAATAATTGTCAACTTGTTTTTTGAGAAACTTGCAAGTATTACGTAAACGTTTCTTGTTGGGTTTCTTGTGCCTCCTCAACATCGCGACAAGTGTGACCAATAAGCATTAGAATTTGCAAGTCAAGGCCACGTTCGTCTAGCGAAGCTATAAGACACACGTGTTGCGATGAAGAAGGCACAGTTGGTATAGACCATTTATTAAACGCACTTGTAATATTGACGAGTGAATTATTAAATCCAATTTTCTACACATGTATAAATATCCGCACGCTACACACCATCAGTGTGAAATATCAACTACTTGATTTCAGTGCACAATTATGACATATCCGCCCACGTGTAAACGACACATCGCTGCTTCTCCTCTGCAACCTGAATTCGATTTGCACGGTGATAGTATCTCTCGCACTCTCTGTGCGCAAAAGTGTGCTTCGACTTGGACGACGCATTCTTGTACAAGATAGCAGTTATCGATAGTTGTGCATTACCATAAATGCGCAACCGAATGTTTCAACGTTGAGGTGGATGGATTTGAAAATCTCATTCAATGAAATAAAATTCAAGTAAATGAAACGAAGATATAAAGAGAGGGAGATGAAGACGTGTCTGGCGTTTCTGCTGCTACTACCGCTGTACTTGATTGGGATGGATCTATTGCTTTATTTCAGAGTGCAGAATTACGACGTCCGCCCACGTGCGAATGATACCGCATCGCCGTATCGCTCGGCCATCCTCTGCGATCTCAATCCGATTTGCACGGTGACGGTGAAGGCCATGATGCTCGACCACCCGAATCATTACATCCTAACTCCCCTGGCGTCGCTGGTGGATTATCTGCTGGATATCAGTCGCTCCTGGACTTGGCTCACGCCGAATGCCATCAGCGTCTCTCACGTGGTGATAGCCGTAATCGGCGCTCGATGCATCGCGCGAGCCTCAATTTTCAGCAGGCGAGTCGGTGTCGCGTTGTTTCAAGTCAGGGCCTGGATGGACGACTTGGACGGGTACGTGGCGAGAACGCGGCTCGATATTAGAGGCGAGAGGTCTGACGTCGGCTCGATCGGTTTCTTCGTCGACGGCATCTGCGACGGCCTGGGTTGCGTCGCTCTCATCGTCGCGTTATTCGTCTCTCTGAAGCGCACCGTCGGTTACGAGCTGCCCCATCGTGCCGTCTCCTCCAATTCGGCCTGGAAATCGCCCCTGTGTAACGTCACAATAGTCACTCTACATTTCTCTCTTACGAGCATCGCTTGGAACCGATTTATATCCGTGTATCAAGATCTCCTGGATGCCGACGACATTCCTCCGATGAACCGGCAAGACTTGTACGATAGACAAACCGTAGTCCTCAGAAGTTCCGCCTTTTGGGCCATCACCCTCGTCTGGAAGATGTTCAACTTTCACGCGATCATGGATTACGTACTCTTGGCGATATTTCTACCCGGAGATCTGCGACATCGCATCGATAAGTACGTCAGGCTCACGTGGTTGCAGTTACCCGCCGTTCTCTTGCTGCTCGTTCTCGTCAGCGAGCTTCATTACGTTCACGCGTACGCTTATGTCAAATCCTGATATTGTATTCTAATAAATTGTACGTTATGCTTTCGCGCGTCAATTTGTATCTTTCATTGCCAGGGAGTTTAAGAGCGACAAGCTTGCCAATGGCGTCCTAATCCTAACTGGATCTCTAGTCTCTAGAAAAAGAAGGCAGATGCCGCAGATAAAATCTCTCTCCCCCCGCAATACTCGCGTTCGTACGTACACGTCTCAACACACGTAACCGACGATACTATAGTATAGCGATATAGAATTAATAGAATTATAGAGGGGGGAGAGAGCGCGACTATTTTCATCTCTCTCAATCTCGAGGGGACCTTGAACGCTCTAGCTCTGTCGCGGCCAGCGACAACGTGCGTCATCTCTCATGACTCGAGTGCGTGTGTGTTGCACGGGTGACGGGTCCACAGTAGTCCACAATCGCAAACGATTCTCAATGTTATGAGATGTAAGATGAGAAGTCGCTGTCGCGCTCTCGCCCTCCTCGCCCTCGCGTCGTCGTCGAGACAAATGCCACGCGTTTGACGTATGAGAAGATGGTGACCGACCGATAGCGCGAGACTTGATGATAACGCAAATCCCGGACATTCCCACTTGCTGCTGCTGCCGCCGCCGCCGCCGCCGCCGCCGCCGCCGCCGCCGCCGTCGCCGCTGCCGCTGCCGCCGCCGTCGCCGCCACCGCGATAACAGTATAACACCCGTATTCGTGCGAGGAATGGACGGCGAACCGTCACCGAGGATATCGTCAGCGATTTGATTCGTTGTAAATCTCAGGGAGGCACAATTCGCCCCATCTTACCATTGGTAAAACGTAAATAGGTAAGGAGCATCCTTTCTCTTTGTATTCGCCAGATTCGTCGATATTATATAATTACGTGCCGCTGATTGCTGTCCCTTTCTTCAAATGACATTTCCTCCGCTGCGACACGCGACGTGGGACGCGCTACTACGCCGATTGTTAGCAATTGGCAAATTGCAACACGTCTTATGTAACCGATACCGATACGTACGTTGGGAATAATCCCAACGAGATAACCTATAAATTGCACTCCAGGAATCCGCTTGTGCACATTGCAGATCTCGCGCGACAGAGAGGGAGTGAGAGCGAGAGAGAGAGAGAGAGAGAGAATTATGACCTCTTTAACGTAACACGAGTCGCAATCAATTTCTTACAATGTCTCATTGCGAGGAGGATGCGGCGTCTCCCGGTTTTCACCAGTTGAGCGTCACAAGTAAGTCCCTTTACTGTCGCATTTAACCGAATGTAGTTGCACCAGAGAATTCTTGCCTGCCAAATTCTCTTCTTATCGTGCATTATCTTGGAGCTAATGTTTTCTTATCTGCCCGATCGTGCTTTTAACGAATTGATAATAATTATCAGTCTGTTAACCGTTGGTAAAGATACGAGAATTGCGTATATCCGTTTAAAGGAACTACTCGATAACAATATTGAATGATTTTAGTTGAAGCGGCAATACTGAAAAGTTCAACCTTCTTGAAGCCTAATCCATACATAGAATTCTCAGTCGACGATAAAAGTCCTCGTAAAACAGAAGTGTCAAAGTCCACATATCAGCCAAAATGGAACGAGGAATTTACCATACTCGTTACGCCATATTCGCAATTGCATTTTCGATTACTTGACCATAGTACATTTCGTAAAGATACACTGATAGGAGAGAAACGTATTAACCTGTTCCAAGTGTTGTCGCATTACAATGGGAAGCTAGAAAATTTAGAATTGACGTTTGATTTAATGAGCGAGAGCAAGCACGATTCTCAACTGTGCAAAGTCGGTGAATTGATTACTGTATTTGATGGGCTTAGAATTGATACTACCAACGAGATAGCGGTAAACGTTAACGAACCATCTTGCCAAATACAATCGGATGGTAAGGAAAATATTTATACACAGAGAATGTTAATACTCATTTTTTATATCCAAAATTCTGCCATTTTAGGTGCTACCAATGATACACTCAACAACCGAAGTATTCTCAACGGTGGAGTCCGCGCGCGTATGAGATTACACAGTTCGGAGAATCTTGCACCGTCTATATATCGTGGTTTGACAAATACTCACCTCACTCCCAGTTACAATAGTGGAAACGGTCAAGCAAACAGCAACAAAATTGGACTCTCGACTACGACCCCGAGTGCGGATGGTAGCAGCGCTAGCAGTAGCAGCCTTTCCACTAGTATTTTCGTCAACGGCCACGCGATTCCAATTGCGGATAAGTCTATGATGTCGCCAGGCAACCGCCATGCCACGGATGTACCAACTTTCGCAGGTAGATCGTCATCGTCGGCTAGTTCGTCAGAGAGCCGAGTGTACACGTGGAGCAATTACGGCAATGCGGATCAATCCGCGATAATCAAGTCGGATTCACGTGGCCTGCCACGATCGGACCAATCTCCTTTGATGATACCCGGGCAACAGATTTCTCGACAAGATCAATCTGTACTTTCTAATGCGGATAGTTGCAGTGCTTATCAAACGGATGCGAGTACATCGTCGCATGTAGCGGACGTTGCGAGTAGCGGTGCCGGTGCTGGTGCTAGTATTAGTGCTGGTGCTGGTGCCGGTGCCGGTGCCGGTGCCGGTGCCGGTGCCGGTGCCGGTGCCGGTGCCGGTGCCGGGGCCAGTGCTGGTGCCGGTGCTGGTGCCGGTGCCGGGGCCAGTGCTGGTGCCGGTGCCAGTGCCAGTACCAGTACCAGTACCAGTACCAGTACCAGTGCCAGCGCCGGTGCCGGTATCGGTGCCATGCGGATAGAACAACCGATCGTCGCAGCTCTTCCAGATGGTCGTGTAATAACCCGTTCGGAACAATCGACGAATATCCTTTTGGTAGACGATCTCCATGATTTGCGCGGAGCGAAACAATCGGATCAGTCCGCAACCATTCGACGAACAAATGAGGATCAACGCGCGATGAAACAACAGCCGGAACAATCGAGCAACATTCGTGTGGCCGAACAGTCTACGAGTGTTCGCGCGGGTGAAGATTTGCGCGCAATGAAACAACAGTCGGAACAATCTACGAGCGTCCGGCCACAAGAGGACTCGCTTCGAGCTCCACGTGTGGAGCAGCCAACAAATACGGCGCTGCTTCTGGATTTACGCGGAGTTTCGCGCAGTCAACCAAACGCGAGTGTCCCACTGAAGGATAATCGTGCTGTAGTTTTTCATGCGGAACAATCGACAGTGATTCCTCTGACCGATGGACGGACGATTCCCATCGTGGAACGTATGTCTCCTGTCGCGCTACCAGATTCCCGTTCTACTTCGCGAATTCCACAGAGCGCGGCTTCATTGTCGAATCAATCCGTCGCCGCACCTACACCTGGTCAATCTGTGACGCAATCGGAATGCCCCGTAATGCTCACCGAAGATGTCAGTCATTCCGAAGAAGCGCTACCGCCCGGTTGGGAAATGAGATACGATATGTATGGGAGAAGGTAATACATATATAATGTTATAAATATGCCATCTCTCTTACGTCTCTCCTTCGTGCCATTAGATATTATGTCGATCACAATACCCGAAGCACGTCTTGGGAGAGACCACAGCCTCTGCCTACTGGCTGGGAAGTCCGTCGAGATCCAAGAGGTAGAATTTATTATGTTGATCATAATACGAGAAGCACCACGTGGCAGAGGCCAAATACGGAACGATTGCAACATTTCCAACATTGGCAAGGTGAAAGACAATATGTCGTTCAACAAGGCAACCGACGATTTCTCTATCCTCAGGTAATCGGACTGATGTATAAACATTGAAAAAGTAGATTCCGCAAAATTTGTACCGATTGTATTACCACTATTGGCCACAGGGTAGCCAAGCTGTTGCCAGCCCATTGTCGTGTATGGTTGACGATGACGACGCTCTGGGACCATTGCCAACTGGTTGGGAAAAACGGAAACAACCAGAAGGAAGAGTTTATTATGTAAATCATAAGAACCGCACTACGCAATGGGAGGATCCTCGAACGCAAGGTCAAGAAACCGGGATGGACGAGCCACCGTTGCCGGACGGCTGGGAAATACGATTAACGGAAGATGGAGCTCGATACTTTGTAGATCACAACACTCGAACGACAACGTTTCAAGACCCGAGACCCGGTGCACCCAAAGGGTTAGTATATCGAATACGTCGCGTCTAAGAATGCACAAAGTGCAACTCCTGTTTCTTTGTGCAGTCCGAAAGGCGTGTATCGTGTCCCGAGAGCGTACGAAAGGTCATTCCGATGGAAACTGTCTCAATTTCGATTCTTATGCCAGACTAATGCGCTGCCTAATCATATTAAGATTAGCGTTAGTCGGCAGACATTGTTTGAAGATTCTTATCATCAGATAATGAACGCGGAAGCTTTTGCATTAAGACGACGATTATATATAATATTTAAAGGAGAGGAAGGTCTGGATTATGGAGGTGTATCCAGGTATGAAGTAAAAAATTATTAACTTTCTCGTTGGAGCCAATTCATCTAATCGTGCATTCACTTTGTCACTACAAATAGCTCATTTCTATAAGGTTAATTAAACAAATCTAGTTGTCTGCTGCCGAAGGAAAAAAAACACTTTTAATTTTCAGGGAATGGTTCTTCTTGTTAAGCCACGAAGTTTTAAACCCAATGTATTGCCTATTCGAATATGCCAATAAAAGCAATTACAGTTTACAAATAAATCCAGCGTCGTACGTGAATCCAGACCATTTGCAGTATTTCAAATTTATAGGAAGATTTATCGCCATGGTATGTTGATATTTTGCAGATGACTATTATTCGTATACCTTCTCCTTGCAAGAAAATAATAAGAAATCACTTGTCTTATTCTTTCAGGCTCTTTATCACAGCCGATTTATATATAGTGGATTTACAATGCCCTTTTATAAGCGCATGTTGAATAAAAAGTTAGTAATGAAGGATATAGAATCCATCGATCCGGAATTCTACAAATCCCTCGTGTGGATAAAAGAAAATAACATCGATGAATGTGGCCTAGAATTATATTATAGCGTGGATTTTGAGATTCTTGGACAAGTGATACATCACGAGTTGAAGGAAGGTGGTGATAAAGTTAGAGTAGGTGAAGACAATAAGGAAGAATACATCAGGTATGTCTCTTTGTGTTGCGCGTGTAATTTGTCAGGAGACAAGTTTTCACTTTTGAATGTTCAACAGGTTGATGACAGAGTGGAGGATGACAAGGGGTATAGAGGAGCAAACGAAAGCATTTTTAGAAGGCTTCAATTCAGTCGTGCCACTCGAGTGGCTGAAATATTTCGATGAACGCGAACTGGAGGTGATGCTTTGTGGTATGCAGGAGATAGATGTTGAAGACTGGCAACGCAATACTATTTATAGACATTACACTCGTAATAGTAAACAGATTCAGTGGTTTTGGCAGGTACGCGACATAATATTAAATTCTTACCTCAAACTATCGAAATATTCAACGTGTTCAATACGCATTGTTTGCACTTTAGTTTGTCATGAGAACAGATAACGAGAAGAGAGCTAGATTGTTACAATTTGTAACTGGTACTTGCCGTGTGCCTGTTGGTGGATTTGCCGAGCTGATGGGTAAAGATTACTTTTTCTATTGAAAATGATTTTATCATTTCTTATTTTACATTGTATTACAGGGAGCAATGGGCCACAACGATTTTGTATAGAGAAATTCGGGAAAGACACCTGGCTACCAAGATCGCATACTTGTTTCAATAGACTAGATTTGCCACCTTACAAAAGCTATGACCAATTAGTAGAAAAGCTAACCTATGCAATTGAGGAAACGGAAGGTTTTGGCCAAGAATAATTGTAAACATATTAATTCATGATTAAAGTGGTAGGTATACTACATTTCTCTATCATTATATTTGATGACTAAAACGAAAACTTAGTGAAGCAGAAATCTATTTCAGGCAGCTATAATTAACATTGTAAAAGTTGCAAATAATTCAACATGTGTATAGACATATTGTTCCAAAAATTTTTATGAAATGTCGTAAATTATGTGCAAATAATGTAATAATCTATATCACTATAATATTATAATTTATTCCAATATATTTCATATTTTATCGACATTTTTAACTTAACCATAGGCATTCAATAGAAATAAGACATTGCAAATTGATAAGATATGATATTTATAATAAACTTAACGATAATATAAATATTAATTAAGAAATTAGGTGAAAATGTACAATTTAATGTTTTTTCGTAGCGCGCGCGCGCGCGCACATACACACGAGCTAAAAGAATTATTTTAATATTTAGAAATTAGTTTGTCTTTATTAAATGGAGGCATTTGTATTGTTTAATCCAATGTAACATGATTTACCTACTTATATTGTCACAATTTATACAAATCGCAATTCTGTAGGAAGAAAATGAAAATTTATACTATGCAATACTGTCTAATATATATTTTTATGTTTCAACGCCCAAGTACAGACTTGAAAAATTTGTCTTCATGATATGTAATGTACATATGAAATTTATTCTTTTTTTGCGCGCGCGCGTGCACGCGCAACATACACGTACGGAGAAAGAAAAATGGTTCCAAAACTTTTGCGGATGCAAAATAATTCCTGAAAAATTAAATAATCAAAGTACATGCCACGTCTTGTAAGCAATGATTTTTAAAGATACCAGTCGCGGATTCGATAAATAAATCCAAATTTCTAAATCAGAGTTATATCGCTCAATAATACAAGTTCTGGTGCAAAAACCAGGATTGGGAAGTAACAAAGTTACAGTTACTTTTTTTTTAGTTGCTTAAAAATGTTTTTAACTTATAACTTCCTAAAAGTAACGATTACTTTTCAGAATTGGTAACTCGTAACTGTAACTAGATTCTTTTATTAAGTAACTTTCCCAACCTTGGCAAAAACTTACTCGGATTATAATTTCTACCAATAAATAGCTAATTTCAATCTGATTACATACAACTCTATTATAATATCTTTTTAATTTATCGATTCGTTCTTTCATATGTATTAATTTTTTTATTGATGGCAAAAATTGACTACTGCTCTAATGAACAAAAAATGCCAAGTTTTTATTATTCAGTTTTTTTAAGAACTCTTACTATTTTGATTCGCAAATTTTGGAACATGCGTGCATATATATATATATATATAAAACAACTTGATTGTTCTATCCTAGGAAGCTTAGAACGGAAGTGGCTACAGTTATCTCTTTATATGTATATAATATAGCGAATATTAATAATTATACGGCTTAGATATACATTATGAATATTTGCTATATACAAACGGCCAATTTTATTGTAGAAAAGAATTTCCGAATATTTTTATGGTTGGATATATTCTTCGTGTTTGTATTGTCATTTATTTGGAAACTTGTCGACACATTACCTCACAAATATGATACGAAATTATTAAAAAATATATTAATGAAATATTTGGTAAAACCTGCGATTGTAATCACAAAATTATGCATTTGTTTACAATGATAATTTTATGTATGTAACATGCGGTATAAACACACAATTTGTGTGTGTATTACTGCATATTGATGTATATTGTATGGAATGTTATTTAAATAGCCGTTATAAATATCTGAATTTATTAAAATTGATCAGGAGGTAAGATTTATTCAAGTGTCGAGGTAATAGCAATATTAATCTTTTGAAAGGCATGTTTGTTTTTGTGTCCTTGTATAATATAAATTCGTATTATAGGTAATTTGAATTGTACGCACGTATATCTTTTTGTATTTCTTGTATTCTGATATCACGGTTGTTTTTAATGAAATAGAGAGACACAACGTAATTAGATGTAGAATTCGGTAAAAACTAATGCAATTTAGAAATCGTACGCACGCGCATATTGTTGTAAAAATTTTATGTACAAATCGAATTTGTTGCCTGTACAAAGAATTAATATTTTTGTATTTAATATTATATTTGGCGCGTGTTCAGAAAAGAATATTATCTCAACAACATTTTGCTTATACTGAAAAATATTGAGTAATAATACGACAGTCATAAATTAAAAATAAATGCAATCACGAACATGGTATTGTCATCAGACACTGGACGTTTACATAAAATCTTTAGGGAAGCGAGTGCGCTTGTGACGACACAACTCAAGATTGATCGCTAACGGAAAGATAAAATGTTTAACAGCGAGCCACTCATTTCTAATTTATGTTTCTAAGCGAGATTATTCGGTTGTGTAAAATATTTTGTGCATAAATTATAAATTTTATCAAACACATATGTGTATATATTACATGTGTACAGAATATATTCCGTCAAATAAAGAAAATTGTGGCAGTTATGGCGCAGAGAAGTGTGCTCTATTCTAGTGACCCGTAGATCGTATCTTACTACGATTACCTCTATACAATATAAGTTGTGCAAACTCAAGGAGCTCAGATATGTACATGTATAAAGAAATTAAACAAGTGCTTTTATCGTCGATTGAATTTAATTTATTTGTACTCGTTTATATACTACACACAATACTTGAATCTGCTAGAAATAAAAACTAAAACTTTTCTTTATCTACTTTGTGCTATAATTTCGGATTGGGGCCGAAAAACTTTTCCCATGGAAAACGATTAAAACTCGAATCTTTTACAGATTCGCACTTTTCAGTGAAATCTTTCAGTTGGCCTGCAATTGAAATTTTTAATTATGAGCCAATAAGCTATAATTACACGTACTCCTCGTAAATTACTTACTTTCATCCATGTTAATTAAATCCTCGGATCTTGTTTCAATACCATTTTTATCCTTCCTTATAGTAACGACATGTGTCTTGTCGCCAATTTCCTTCGAAACGATCGTCTCTTCGTTACCTTCGCTATCTCTGATCACTCGCTTCTTTACTACAGTTCCATCAGGTCTACGTACAATTTCCTTCCTAACGGATCTTCCAATCGAGAAATGATTTGGTACGGAAGGCTGTTTTACTTCCACATTTCCTTTATTCCACATTGTTAAAAATTCTTTTGTAGAAACTCTAAAAAATCAACATTATATATGTATAAACATGCAATTGAAAAATATTTTCTACTGTACGATAATAAATAGGATTGGCTACCTTCCGTCTAAATCCGTATCGATTTTGCTTTCAAATGGTACATCTGCGACGGCGAATGTATCAGGCTCGGATTTCAACACCCTGTCCCGTAAATTGTCATTCTTTTCAGGTGCAGCGAATGGTAATGCCGCAACGCCTTTGTCATCTACAAGAATCGTTTTCTTCAAACAAACAATATATCGAGTCTTTATAGGAAGAAAATTGTGTATGCTCTATTTATAAATGAAGCGTATACCAAAAGGGGTATTGCTGAAGCTAAAGAAATTCTTCAATATATCGTCTATCTGGGATTCAAAGTAGAGCGTCATTTCAAGTGGATTGCTAAAGACATTAAAGTGCAAAGCACTTTCAGGATGCCTAGAAAGTAGAGATAACAAATTGAAATTGAATGAAACATCTCTCTCAACTATAAAAGTCTTTTCTACCGAAAGTTGTCTATATCGTCCTCGTCATCGTCCTCGTCACTCTGCCAAATTGGATTCCGAAAACTTGACCGGTGTGAATCATAATCAGCAAATCTGAAATGGCTCAATGTTAAAATGGTAACTTGGAAGTTTATCAAAAGCAAATTCCATACAAGTGAAAAGAACATTTCGAGCAATTTCAACACAGTCGACAAGAAAATGATGGCAAATATTCTAACCTTTAAATAAATTACTTGAAGCGCTTAATTATCGTATCGTATCGCGGAGAGTTCTTAAATCTAGGTTTTTACACGAAAAAGAGATAAAGTGAATGCAGACGTAAATTAAGAATAAGAGAGGCGATATCTCGCACACGCACGTAACATAGGAGATATTTTTCATAAAGCACGTTACCCGTTTGTGCTAGGCTCATTGCGACGTCCCACGCCGAGAAAATTTCGGAAGAAATCAAAGAATGACATTTCTAAAGCGATATAGCGACAGCGCTAAACGAATGTCAAAATAACACGAGAAATTGCATCATGACGCAGTCCGGCTAAAGATTCAAGTCGGATCGGTTGCAATCGGTTGTAACAATTGTGCTCTTACAGGAAAAGTCGTAAGTTGATTGGCTATTCGCGTGGCTTTTAACCAATCGACTTTCAACTTTTCGCAAAGAGGTGTTGGTCAATTCAGTGAGACACATAAGAATTGACCAATCGTGGTCGACTATTCTTAGGGTGCAAACTCATAGGCTGGATTCACAGAACTATTTCAACGGAATTATTGAAACGGTTCTATCAGAATGACCCTGTGATTGGTGATACGCAGGTTACGCTACGCAAATTACGCTCCATGTGAATCCAACCATAGAGCGGAACGGTGTACGCAGAAAATCGCGGAACGACAGCTTCGACCAATCACGAAAACATTGGAATACTCGTGATTGGTCAAGGCTTCCGTTCCGCGAATTTCTGCGTACACCGTTCCGCTCTATGGGTGCGGCCACATGGACTGATATTTTCCGCGTTTGAACATAACGCGTATCGCGTAACCAATGAATTGACATTTCCGTTGGAACATTCCAAAAGAATGAACGATATGATCCGTATCAGACTACGGATTGAGATTGGGATTAGATTGAAATTTGACCAATCAGAGTAAAAGTTACTGAACTTAAGATTAGTAAACTTTACTGTGATTGGTTAAATTTCAATCTAATCCCAATCCCAATCCGTAGTCTGATACGGGCTTTACGACTACAATAAAGAACAGACCCCATGTTTTTCGTGGTGCAAACCGACGTCCGACGCATGCGCGAGACTCGGTCACTCGGGTTGGGTCAATCCAGGATTCCAGGATTTCCAGGGGGAGCGCGTAGACTACAGCGGATGAGCGGAGCGAGAGGGTTTTGTGCAACTAGACTGTGCTCGCCCGACCAGAGTTGTTTCCGCCAAGTAATCAAATCGAATGGGGATTGGGGCGAGTGAAGATTGGGAAAGCAGCGACGAGGCGTGAGTGAGATATCGGTAGGGCCATGGCGTACGTCAACGTAGCCGACTGGCAGCCGCATCAGGTGTGCGAATGGCTGAAAGGTATGGTCCCCCGATTACGGCCGACTTAGATCTGCATGCAATCTCGCAATCTCGCTCAGCTCCGTACTTCCTTACGAAGCGTTCCACTACTGTTCATCACACTAGATACTTGTTTCCTTATGTCTTAGGTTTGGATAACACCGTACTGCCCTATATTCATAGCTTTCTAAATCACAGTGTCAACGGGAAACGATTGTTGAACTTGCAATCGCAAGACTTGCAGCGTTTGGATGTAATAAAGCTCGGCCATCAAGAAATCATTCTCGAGGCTGTGGAAAGCCTCCGAAGGTTTCATTACGAGCTGGAGACGGAGAATCTGCAAGTGCTGGCGTTGCGACTTTCGACCGAGGCGCACAGCTTGCACAATGAATTATGTTGCAAAGACGATTTCCAGCCTGTTACCACTGAAACCTTGGCGCACGTAGCGTCACTTATGACCACGGTCAAACCTTTAATGAAATGGATGGAATACCCTCCGTTCTGTGGCCAAATAGAATATCAGGCCATTAAGGTCAATTTAATGAAGATATCTCTAGAAATGGCTACGTGCGCGCAAAGAGACAGATTTGCCGATAAGCCGGTGAAAGAGATAAGAACTACTTCTAGCAAACTGGCGAGATTAGCCGATTACATTATTCAAGATGTTACCGATCCGATAATACTTGAGCCTGCGAGTTTAGATCTGGTAACGTTAAGGAAGAAATCTAGCGACGATTTGGTAGGTTTCTCGCTCTTACGTAGTTAAAAATGACGAATAAATTCATAAAGATTCAGTAGTTACTTGTAGAGTGTTGTACACATATGTCTTCCAAAGTACCTCTATCGAGTGCTCCAGAATGATTCGACTACTATCGTATCCTGCGTTGATAAAACTCTATCAACAAGCCGTAGTATTACGATTGCTGCTTCCCGTTCAGATAACATTTCCTTTATAAGCCCACAATCAAAATTCTACTTTTCAGCTTGTCATCATTTGAAATATATTAAAAGATACACATTTGTTTCATCTTCTTTAGGGTTTTTCCATCTTGCCATCCTTTCATGGAGTGCACCAGATTACTGAAGTTAAACCTGGAGCCGCTGCGCATCAGTCTCGCAAAATGCTGGAAGGAGATGAGATAGTACAAGTAATATCCCGTTTTTTTTTGTTTTTTTAATATATCCTATTTGTATATTATAAATTTAATTCGAAAAACTGTGTAAACGCGTGTTAATAGGTAAATTATCAAGCGGTCATTGGTTGGGAGAGAAAGAGTTTGCTTGAATTATTCCGACAAAGCCCAGCGGAAATCCTCTTGACCATAAAACGTAGACCAAAGCATAAAAAAGTTTTTGGCAAACTTTACATAAAACCGTATAAACTTCCAAGTAACAAAAACACCTCTTACACAGCACAAGCGTGTAATCTTCCATCCCCTAGACCAGAATTATTAACAATACCCGACTATGCAATGCCATCACCTAGGTAAGCTGCCTTTTCCTCCTGCTAACGCTTTCTCTTGACAACCCATGTTTCTAATTTATATGATTACGCAGATTTATGCCAAAGAAAATCGACCCGGAAGCAGCAAGCTTCTTAGATGCACTCGAACAGTTGGATACGATGACTACGGATAGTAGCGAGTCTGATATCGAAGCAGAGTTGCCACTTTATCCTAAACCAAGACACATACCTCAAAGGCGAGCTACGATAACGGGTGCCAGTCCGACGAGGAAATATGGTTCCGATATCCAAGAGTTGTGGGAGGAGTTGAAACGAGAGCACAAAATGACTGTTGAGTTGCGTGATAAAGCAGCACCTGGCTTGGAGAATGTGCCAATGGTAAATATACGGCCTCAAACGTGTTTAGGATTAGAACCGCCAAAAAGGAAGAAGAAGACTAATGAGCAAACGAATAGAAAGGTGCAATTTAATAGCACTCGTCCAGATGATACGAAAGAAAAAGTTATTCTTACGGAAAACTCTGATGACGATGGTGCGAATAATAATGGTGTAAATAAAGATCTTGATATAGGAGGTTTGCAAGCACCCATGGGTAATGTCATTGATAGCAATAATTTTAACGATACAGCCGTGCCTTTAGATGATTCGAATAATTCTATTAGCGATACATGTAGTACTAATGAGAGCTTGCCGAATAACAAAGAAATCGACGTCGAGAACTATAGTACCTCTGCATACAATCTATCGGGTACCAAGAAAATACCCAACAATAATTTGACCAAAACTGACGTTGGTAAAGTTATCGAGAATGTTGGTGATAATAAAAAATTGAGTAGTGAGCATCGAGAGATATCAGCTAGAAGATACGATGGTAATGTCGCGCAAAAGATTAGTAGCATCGAAAAACAGATTGCGCATGAAAATGCAGAACAAACGTGTGCCTTTGGTGTGCCTAAAAGAATAGACTCGCATAAAGATAATACACGTGTTACGATAAATGATGTAAATCTTGAAAATAGCACAGAGGACAAAAATCAAAATGATTATGAACATGATATGTCAGACATAAGTGGTAAAAAGTATGCTGTCAAAAGAACAAGTACCGAATGTGAGAACGTCAAATACTCGAAAACTATTGATCTGAAAGATTTGGCGTGCGAGCATCATGAGAATGCTGATTGTAGTACTTTAGAAATATCAAACGGTAAAAGGAAATGCAGTAATATTAATCACATTAGTAGTAGTAGTAGTAGTAGTAGCAGTAGTAGTAGCAGTAGCAGTAGCAGTACTAGTACTAATACTAATACAAATACTAATACCAATAGCAATAGTAGGAGTAGTAGTGATGGTGGTGGTGGCGGTAATAGTAGTAGTAGTAGTAGTAGTAGCGGTAGTAACAACAATAACGACAGTAGCGATAGTAGCGGTGGTGGCGGTGGTGGTGGTGGTGGTAGTATTAACCACAGCAATAACATTGAAAAAAACAAATTACAAACGTTTGATTGTACTTTAGCAACTCGGCAAGAATTGCTGGGAAAAAAGTGTTCCTCAGTGCTACCGAGAGAGAATTGTGCCGAGTTGAAAACATCACCAAATAATAATAGTAAATTAATGAAAGATGATATATCGAATGTCACTCGTAACGTTTTAAAGATGCAGATTGACATAAGGCAGCAAAGTAAAGAAATGAAATCTGGAGACTCGTCTTCACAGGCAACAGTACAGTCCTGCCGCTATATACCAAAGATCGAGTCTGGAAAACTGGATAATAAGCCTCATGCGACACCCCCAGAACCACCGCCTCGTAAATATTATGCAAAGCAAACAATGACCGAGTTGAAACAATGTTCGGAGGATTCGCGAAAACCTCAAGTTCCAGAGAGAGTCGGCATAAAAGGAGAATGTAAAAAAGTAGATTTAAGTTTATGTGTTAATCATATTAAAAGCAATTCGGATTGTCAAGATAAAAAGGATTCTTCAAGTGTGCTTAATTACACAGAAAATTCAATGGACTTAATTGGCCAAGGACCAACTGTAAGTTTAAGCGATCAAAAACTTGATCGTTTAAACTTGTCCGATGCTTCATTGTACGATGAAAGTAATGACAAGCAATCGAGAGAGGAAAAATGTTGTTTTGAAACATATGTTGAAAAATTGGTTTGCTCGGATCAATCCATAACAGACTGTTATAGGTTTGATCATTCTCCTCGCAATATCGATATTCCTGACGGTATAACACACTCGAAACAAACGATATCGTCAGATTTTAAGTCGAGATCAGAGAAGGATAAAAGTAATGAGAAAAGTGTTGTTAATAGAGCTATGATGGTAGCTAAGAGTATCGGCTTACATAGTAGTTTAAATAAATGTAATAGCAGTCCAAGAAGCAATAGAAAACGGAATGTCTTGCTGGCAAGTGAGTATTAATCATATTGACTTGATTATCGTCTTGAAATCTACATTCTTTCCTTGTCCATCAGAGGGAAGAAGTGTGTCCGTACGAGACATTAATGCTGGCGATTTAGAAGGGTGGTTGACGTATCGTAGTAGAGGAGCGGGTGGTGCCTGGGCAAAGGCCTGGTTTGTATTAAAGTGTTCATCATTGTACAGGTAAAATAAAATGTATTACGAGGAATGAATTACACGATTGATTGGATATAAAAGAAATTGTATTATCTTTGCGACTTTAGATTTAAAACACAGGAGAGTGTAAAGGCAGACTGCTTGATCGTATTAACGGGTTTCACCATATCGCCGGCTAGCGAAGTAAAATCGAGAAAGTATTCCTTCAAAGTGTATCATACGGGAACGGTGTTTTACTTTGCTGCCGATACCGAAGACTCTTTGATTCTCTGGCTGGATGCAATTAGCAAAGGCACTTTAGGTGCGGACGCTCAAAACCCCCAAAGTATCGGATTCTTCAGCGAAACCGACGAGAGCGATAGCGAGAGTCACAAGAGTAAGGCAAAGTCGTCGGAATCGTCGAAATTAAGCCCGGAGAAATCGTTTGGCTCTTTGAGAAAGCTCGTACGAAGAGATCACGAGATTGCTGCTGGCGCGAGCTTGGATCGAAAATATTTGAAATTTCTCAGTGCGAGAAGTCAGAATATGCCTGTGCCAACGGCGCAATTTCGAAGTTACAGACGGGTGGTGCCTACGTCGACACCAAACAAGTGAGTATACATATCGCTAGGATATTCTCTGTATCGATTGAAAGATATCCAAACGTTTTGTACAGGAAAGAAGTTTGCAATTCAAATGCTCCAGATTTACAAATGACCATTGCCGGTAGTACGTTCTACGGTACGACGACGTCGCAGAGAGCTACGGATACGCCCAACAATTCAGACATCGATGATTATCGGCACGCTGCGGACAGGTCACTTTTACATATTCTACATATATTTTTCTTCATCATCTTTATGGATTTGTTGAAAACAGCAGCGACATTGTTGATTGTTACATACACAGATCTGTTGGTAAAAGGCCGGACATTCTTCAAGGTTTCGTAATGCAACAAGATTTCGTGACATCGCAGCGAGACGAAGAGCAGCGAAGGCAAAGTATGGCAAACGAATCCGTGTCTCCGCGCACATCTCTGCACATACAGCATAGGAACTTGAACGATAATGCGGCGTACACCGAGCAAATTAGGAGACAATTAAGTGACATATCTTTGAATGACATTGGCAATATTTATGGCAAGACTAACGATGAAATACCGAATAACAACATGACGTATATTCAGTCAAACAAGTGCACGAGTGTACACACGCCTCGTCAGTCGATAAATTGTCGAGCTGTCCGAGCCGAAAGCGAAGCAAATTGCGATCAACCTTGCGGCAGGTGCATAGCGATTGGACAGAAAAAGACGTGCGACTCGTCAAGTTATGCGCAGAAGAGAAGAGCGCAGGAATTTGTGAATTCTCAGAAAGCTCGACACGACGATTCGTTTAATCAGAGAAATCAAAGTGCAGACTACGAGCAGCTTAACAAGCGCTTGCAATCTCCCAATCACGAGAGCTACCAGATGCACCATCTTTCGTCAAGGAATATCGGTAAGAGTTAATTTAATAGGTTCGCTAATTGAGTTGCTCCATGTTGCTCTTTGCGTTTGTAGGATATTCCGTGTCCAGTAGCGACCTCGCGACATCGTCTGAAACGCAGCAGTGCGTAAGGAAAGACGTGTCGATTAATCGGAAGGAGAGTTTCAATTCTTCCGAGAGACACTGGCTAGATTCGCTGAGACGCGGCGATAAAAATCGTCTGAAAAACGTAGCGCAGTACCAACCACCACCCATACCGACGTCGCCCTTCGAGCAAGAAGGAATGCGCGCCGCGTTCGAAATGCATTTGGATAAAAGCGATCGCGTGCAGAAAGCGAGTCGACTGAAGAGTTTATTCGGTGGCAAACAGCCAAAATTAGGCAAGTGACTTTGATGAAATATCCAATGTAATGTGTATATTGAGGATATGAGTGAAAAATAAAATTTGTAATTCTAGAAGCAGGCTCGCCGCGGTTCAACAGAGCGCTATTTCGTGACAAGTGTTGCTCCTCTCATGCCGATAGTTGTGTCAACAACAACAACAACAGCCCTTCTCAGACGTTGACTGCAACTTTTGGTTCAACTAGTTCGGTGAATGATTCGAGTGCGGATAACAATGCGACAGCATCCTCTAGCGTATCAAAGAGCTTTACGAATTCTGGCAGAAATGTCGCACCTCCAGTCTTACCGTACATACCACCACCGACATCTCCGCCACCCGATTATCCTGCTTTAGTATATTACTCTCTCTCGGATGCGTCATTGCTGCGCAGTCGCAAGAAAAGTAGTCGAAACGAATGAAAGAAAAGGAGAGTGAAATTCATCTTTTCGATTAAGCAACCAAAGATAACAATCTGACAGAGTTCCGCGCGAGTGAATTAACCATATTTCTATGTATATGTAGTTGTATAGAAATTATTTATTTCAATATCTTACGAATCAAGTATAATAATATGAAAGACTGATCTGAATGTTATTTAACTTGAGGCAATAATTTGGAAATTGATTACATATTCTTGTAGGCTAGGTGTATGTAATAATATTTTTCAACAATCAATAACCCCATGATATTGTATTTATAAGATGAGAAAAATGTGCGTGTGTTTTTAATAACATGGTAAGAAAATGATGTATTTTGTATGTAACGAATGAATTTCTTTACCCTCTTTATCAAACTGCAATTGCGTTTGAGGAGAATTTTTAGCATGCCAGAAGAAATGTGACTTTGGCAGGATATGATTTAGATTGGCCGCGCAGCGCCATTGACGACGGTGCTTGGGGGGGAATTTCCATTGGATCGAGCAATTGGAAAGCAATTTCAATCTTGTATCGCGATCGTTCGGGTTTTGAGGTGGTTGGCGCGCGCTCGCGCGGCAAGCAGAAGAGGTGTGTCAGGAGCGAATGATTGACTCGCCGCCCTCGCCGCTTTTCAAGAGGGGGAGAGAGAGTTAAGGCGGTGCACTGTGGTGCAGTCCGCGCGCGAGAGTGATTATTCAACGATGCCGAATTCGCGGCCCGCCGCAGGAACGATCCTCCGCGTGCTGTGCCCGTGACATACGTGCGAGTATTTGGCTGAGATCGATCGGTGAGAGAGAGAGAGGGGGAGGGAGAGAGCGAGCGTGTAAATACGAGATTCGCTCGGTGGCGGCGGTGATATCGCGCATTCCGGCCGGTTACGCCTGCCCGAGAAATGCGGTTCTAAATCGGCGATTTCCGATCTCGGCCTGGGCTCTCGCTCGCGGGGTGGGTGGATTGCCAGGCGGGGAGGGGGAGGCCGAGTGTGCTCCGTTTGTACGTTTCGTCGGTTTGTTGTCGAGAGAGGAACGGGCGAAACGAGGGGAGAAAAGGAGGACGACAGGAAGGAAGGAAGGAAAGTGGCGACCAAGGTGGAGAATAGAGGAAGGAGAGTGAGAGTGAATGAGAGAGGCAAGATGGCGAGCTCCTTAACGTGGTCGTGCTGCCTGCGCTTCAAGTTCAGCCCGGAGGAGATCGAGCAGCGTTACAAGAGCCAGGAGATCGACCGGATGCTCGAGAAGGATCGGCAGACCTTCCGCCGGCAGGTGAAGCTGCTGCTGCTCGGGGCGGGCGAGAGCGGCAAGTCGACATTCCTCAAGCAGATGCGGATTATTCACGGGATCAAGTTCGAGGTAAGACAAGGACCACCACGTGAGAATGAGCACACAAGTGTCGTCTTATTCTTTTGCAGCCCGAACTAATTAAGGAATACCAACATGTCATCTACCAGAATATTATTAAGGGTATGAAGGTTCTCGTGGATGCACGGGATAAACTTAATATTCCTTGGGAGAATACCAAGAATTACGATATCGGTTTCCAATTACTCAAGTTTGAGAACACCATGGTGCTGGACACTAGATTATTTCTCCATTATGTCCCAGCATTGCAGAGTCTGTGGAAGGACGCGTCCATTAGAAGAGCATTCGACCGCCGAAGAGAATTTCAATTAGTAACCTTTCATTTACTCACCTCTTACTATTCATTACTTTCCCTCAAAGTATCCTGTCGCTTATCTATGTCATTTCATATTTCCAGAGTGATTCTGTCCAATACTTTCTCGACAATCTCGATAGGATTGCAAGAGTGGTAATACTTTTTACAATTTTCTTTCTTACTCTAGTATCAAGTATATATTAAGAGGCAAACTTCTCTCATTTAGGACTACACGCCTACGCATCAGGATATCTTGCACTGTAGGAAGGCGACCAAAGGAATTTCCGAGTTTGTAATACCAATTAATAATATCCCATTTCTCTTTGTTGACGTTGGCGGTCAAAGATCTCAAAGGCAAAAATGGTACCAGTGCTTTGACTGCGTCACATCCATACTGTTTCTCGTATCGTCGTCGGAATTTGACCAGGTCTTGTTGGAAGATAGGTACGCGAGCTCTCTTCAACAATCTTCGACTAGGCTGTAGAGTAAATTACGATAACGCATTCATTCTTACAGGAGGACTAACAGATTGGAAGAATCGAAAAATATATTTGATACAATCGTAAACAACATGATATTTTGTGGTGTCTCTATCATTTTATTCTTAAACAAAACGGATTTACTCGACAAGAAAGTCAAGTCGCAAGATACAAATGTCCGTTTGTATTTTCCACAATTTACGGGTGATCCACATTCCATGAATGACGTACAAAATTTTATCCTCGATATGTTCGTCTCGGTGAAAAGGGATCCAAGGAAGCCGTTGTTTCATCACTTTACTACTGCGGTGGACACGGAAAATATTAAAGTTGTCTTTAATGCTGTCAAGGATACTATTCTGCACCGAAACTTGGAATCCCTCATGCTTCAATAATGTACAAGCGGAGTAATTTTACCAGATAAAGCAGCTAGAGTAAAACAAAGGTATGCGTCACAAAAATTTTACATTTAATATATTATTAATCCAATCTGTAGTTTTCGAGGAATATTGCAATATATACACACTAGGTCAAAACGCGTTTTGATAAGACAATATATACGTATGGATATACAACTTTTGAATATTTACCTTTACATGCATATATACACACACACACACACACACACATATATTTATATATACATACATACATTTATAGATACATTTATAAAGAGAAAACTGCCTGATGTAAAGATGTATCGAGACAAATTTGACTTTATATACACTGTGTATGCATGCCTGTATGCGTGCGTGTTTTTATACATATATACATATATAATACTTTTTCATTGTGTACTCTTGATGAATATTGAAAGGTTGTAAGATTATTATATAAACTTGTACATAATTTTTTTGTATTCTACATATTGTCAATAATTTCTACAATAATAGATTGACGTGTTTGTATAAAAAGGAAGGATCAGTTACAAATAATTCAGTTTAGATTCTTACGTTTGTACAGATATTTGCGAGCAGATATATCAATTTTTCAATCATTTAATATAAGATTATTATACTGGTTATATTAAGCCAGGATTCACAAATTTACACACACAAATAACTTATTTTTTATTTAAGATTAATTACTGAATACATTAATCGTTTGAATGCCAAGAAGCATGATTGCGCTTCTCCAATTTCACGTTAAAAAATGCTAATAGATCCAACAAGTATTATCGCTTTCTTCTTTTGTCTCATTATTCAATATTGTTATCTTGTATTTGTGGCTAATTCGATTTAGCAGCTATGTAATTGAAAATTGCGACAGAAATTAAATGGATCTATTGCGACGCTTGCTCAACACTTTTCAAGCTACTTTCGGCACTCAAACGGTTAAATGGCAAGAAAACCAAATACTAGAAGCCATGAAAAACCAAATGAAGCTAACCAGTTTGTGTTCAAATTGCTGTGGGAAAAAATGTTTACCCATTCTTCTTCCGAAGAAACAACATTATTCGATATAATATCTAAATCCTTGTGCTTTGTGCATTCTACAAAATTCTAGGCTGCTATTATAAATTGTAAATAATTACATTAACTGAAACTGCTTTCTTTCTTTATATATATAAAGAATAAAAGAGAGCTGTGTGCTTCTTCAATTAAACATTATGAAATATCCAATTAATTATACATTTTTAAGGAATAATATAGCAATTCTTTGAATCTTGAAGGTACATGCGTCACACAAATGTAACAAGTTTTATTTGTCTGGTCTGTATATTTGATGACTGATCCTTTATTAATTATTATACTTGAAAAAGAAAATTGTTTAATAAAATAATCAGTATTATTTTTCTATATTGTGCGAATTAATCCCATGTTTTTCGTTTTGCATATTACGAGATTGGAACAGCAATTTGTATGAAATGTATCTAAAATTTATTATTGTGTTTGTCTCAGTGCATGCAAATTTGTTTAGAAATTTTGTTATTTTATGATTGAAAGTCAGATAAGTAAAGTGTCGGTTAAAAAAGTCTGACACGATTTGGATCGAACCATTGCAGCGTACCAAAAATTCGGGAAAAAAGTAAAAAGCTTATATTTTTAACATATTCTTTGCGATTAAAACTTATTATCAAATTGTGTATTTCTGGCAACAAATGTTACAGTATTTTTCTTTTTATTGTATGATTAGTTCGATTCTGTGTAGAATTAAGAAACCTCTATATATTATTCCATGTGTTTTAATTATTCCTTATTATACTTAATTTTATTAATTTATTCAATTCAATAATCACATTGTGTTACAAGCCATTCCAATTCTATGAATCACCTATTACATAAAAGCCTTGCTGCTTTTAATGTGCACAAGTTTAATAAAGCTGAATAAGTTTACTAACAAGTAAATTTATAACTTTCATCATTAACCAGAACGTACTAATTGTATACTAAATTACACATGTATATACATATATATATATATATATATATACATGTGTGCGTGTGTGTGGGTGCGTGTGTAAATATATTCTGTGTATCCGTCAGTTTCTTATGTAAAAAGGTATTGAGAAAAGTATATCTCATTTAAGAGCTCCTACATATATTATTTCATACAAACAGCTTGACTGTACAAAAAATGTTTAATAATCAGTATATTTTGTAAATGAAATTTTTACATTCCTTAACGATAATCCGGTCCAATTTATATAATTGATACTTTAATATTGTTTTTGTAACAAAAACATTGTCTCGAATGTACCTTGTTTTATACTGGTCTATATATGTATGTATATCGTTTACACGCAGGATTAGTGTGTTAATGCTCATTGCACAGGGAACGCCTATGATGTTTATAAAAAGATTTAAAAGAGATATAAATTGACACTCATCGTAACAAATTCGCAGACATAGTTCTAACAAGTATGTTCTATATGCAATAAAGCTTAATAGAAAATTCGCTTGATATCATCAAGACCATAGTAGTTGTTAAAATTCAAAACGTTACATTACGCCACGGTTATATTTTATCAAGACTGCTTTCAGGATATATCGACATACGATATTACACATGTATTTTCTATTAAGCTATTTATAAATGAAACAAAGAATACATGTAATGTAATGATACGTATACATGCTTGAAATTTTACCGTAATAACATCGACTGAGAGTATAATAATTATGTGATAATATATATTTCTCGAAAAGTTGGAAAATCATTTTTATATTTTTCAAATTCACTAAGATGATTTTGATATGTCTTTCCAATTTAGTCTATCTATTTCAAGTCATAAGAAGGTTGTATAAAATGCATTTAAACCAAATGTCGGAGAAATAGCGTCATGTGTATATATATACTATTTTTTGTTTTTTTATTTACACTTACATTCGTAAATTAAAGAGAAAAGGAAACGAATTCGAGTCTTTATTTATTCTTTTTCACACAATTGAAATTGAAAAAATCGGAAAAGATATTAAACCGAGGGAATAATGGATTGTATATGTTTGTGTATACGTAGCTAATGATTAACTTGAGGTGTTGTCATTATCTTTAGCGCTGCCATGGTTTTTATATCATATATAGTTTTCACGAAAAGTTTAACAATAAGCAATGGACATATGTATCCATGGAACCTAACAATATGTTCCGACATTGCTGCCGACAGACTTACAATAAGGGAAATCGTCACACATTAGTTGTAAAATAACATGTCAATTATAAACATCTTTTTTCACGCAACTTGAGATATTTTTAAACTGTTACACGATGGTTTCAGATTAAGCAAACTGACATCTTTTCTCTTAACATAAGTCAAAGGAAATTATCATATTTTGTACAATTTTGCACTTTTTGTGATAGCGGGCATTTAATATAAAAACAAAAAACCGTCAAGTTTCAAATAGAATTTCTGTTGAAATGAAATTTATTTAATTTACAATAAAGAAAAATTGTTATAAGATTATGAAGCTTTATTTTCCAAATTTAATCACTCAAAATTTCCGAATTTGTGACTACTGGAGGATTACTTCTCGATGCAAGTTTTCACCAAATTGTACTCCATTACGAAACAAAATTGTTTAAATTGCACGTATATTTTCTCATGTTTTATAACAATGTCTCTTTAGAGCTAATGGTATTCTACGTAGCGACGAAATACAAGGCGAAAAAGGAGATATAAGAATAGCGAACGAAAATAATGTAAATGGTGCGCAGATGCAGGACGAACAATAATGTGTAAAGTTTAAAAGCACAATGATATATTTAATTTTTTAACGGTACTATGAAACAATTGTTGATAATAAATTTGTATAACATATTAATTATACATACTTTCTACATTTCGTAATTTTACTCTATCGTCTTGCATTTTATTCTATGTGAGCTAAAGAATGTAGATATATCGTGCCTTTTGTACATTGTATATTTGTACATAAAAATATTTTACATGAATTATTACAATGTAGTTTATACGAGGAATAAATAAACAACTTTAAAACACATAAATATGGTGTACTAATTTAATCAATGTTACACGATAAAAAAGAAATGATAATTCACTGACCACAGGCCAACAGAAAATATATTGTTAGTCAGTATTCACATTGATATATCTTCATAATCATCATTTATACATATGAATTATACTAGTAATCATAGCGATGACGAATATACGCGCGCGTGCGTATATACACCATTTTATATAATAAATGAATACACTATTCATTGTTCAAGTATTAATTATTACATTTATTTATGTCTGTTTTTATACAATGAGCATATTGCTAATTTTTACAATTTCTATGATAAAATGCATATTACGCGCACGTGTGTGTGTGTTTTCACACAAAATATATATAAAATAGTTTAGTGCTTTGATCCCAAAGGGAAAAAGGGCTGAAATAGCAATTTTTCTTCGTCACATGTTGCTAATAAGCGCTATATGCTAAATAATACAATACAGAAAATATTTTATCTAAACATCACATTGGCAATTGTTCTAAGCAATTACATTATATTCATTTAAATCTATTCTCTATACAATAGTATTTACATTTTCCTTTCTCTAGTAATATGTATAATATCAAAAACGTACAAAAGTAAAAATATAATTTTATTCTTTCAAAAGTTTGCGATATGTTTTTATTCGGGGGAAAAAGCTTCAAGAGAGAGTTGCAGTCTTACCGTATGTTTTAGTAATAAGAATCTTGGAGACTGATAGCAGTAATCGATGAGTATACCAACTTTTGATTTATATATTTTTTTATCTCCTTACGTTACAGCTCGATTCTTATACATCGATTATTTAAGTATGAAATGCTCTTGTGCAGTTACTTATATATTTATGTATCATAATATATATATATATTCTTGAGATGTGTACGTGTGATTCAAGGAATGTAAACAAGTATGCTGCAAAATTATTTTCGAAATGCTTTCAAGAGACAACAAAGATCTCACTTTCATTTATGTCATAACAATCTTAATTTTATTGTTGATTATACGACTCCTGTGACTTGTAATAAAAGATCTCATACATCTCCTTTCAAGCTGATAGAACTTGTGTAATTCCGTAGCAAGTTTTCCCAGCTTATTACATATTGCTGGAATGTCACAAATACCACGTCATTGATTTATTAAAATCCGCGATTGCTAGACCAACTTTACACACAAACTTACGTTAAGAGTTATATGACTTTGTCCATTTTATATTAAGCATTTACAAGATATATATGGTATAAACAATTAATTTAATTAACGAGGACAGTAAGTTTATACGAAAATTATAAATATTTTTAATACGTATAACAACAACAAGTAAATGTAAACAATTTTACGTTTACGTACATGTATATCGAACGGAAAAAAAATGAAAGAAAAGTAATAGCGTAATCGAGGTATAAACAAACTTTGCGCAATTGTCAGAAAATGTTAAAAAGAGAATTACTCGCGATTAGAGAGAAATAGCAAATAAAAATTAATATTATGCTAACTTGAAAGAAACTTACATGCCTTTAATTGCGAGATTCACATATACTTAAACATAGGAGGATCGCGCGTTAATATTTCCAAATCTATCGCCTTGTGACAAATAGTGTATTTGAAAAATTTATATCCTAAAGCTGTATAAATTTCCAGTTTGACTATTGGACTTTCAGCACCACTAATTCGAGCACAAAAGCCTCATCTAATTGTACGTACTGAATATTGTCGTTTAGTTGCGAATTCGTATGCTTATAGCAAAGTAGCTCATATACATATATGTAAAAATGCTCTCAAAAATTTCGAAGAATGTACGACTATTTAGTTGTGCACGCTGTTAGTATTTTCAAAAGTATTCCCAAACTATTGGTGTTCTCTGTTGTATATTAATAAAGCTAAATTACAATGAAACTACCATATTACAAGGCAAATTTATTCTCTAGAATAGAAAATCTTTGAAATACGTATATTGGAAATGCGAAAAGAAAAGATTAGAGTTCAAGCTCTTCGGCAGTGCGCGAGAGTCTATGATTATCAATACGTCGTCGTTGGCTACGTCTTACAGCATCCGCTCTGCGATATGGTTCGGACCTTAGACCGAGAAGAATATCTTCTAGGGCACCATTGTAAACTTCGTCCTGTTGCAGTAACTTTTTCTCTTGCACTAATCGTGTCTTATTCTTCAGCTCATTTATAACAGCATCCTGATGAAATATTCATTATTACAGATAATATTTAAAATATTTCTATCAAAAATATAAATAAATGTATACATGTGATATACAACTGTGTAAAATAACTTTTTTTTTCTATTAAAGCTGTATACTATAGAGTATATTTATAATTATAGCAAAATTCGTCGACATTCTATCAAATCAAGAAAAATTTACTACATCTATTTCTATTTATGCGTCAGTAGCGTTTCTTCTTTATCTTATATTTTATATACGATACGTGAAACTTTACGGTAAATAATAAAAGGGAAGCGATAAAAGAAGAATTCTCTCAGGCAACATCAATGTGAGCTAGAACATGCAAATGCATACTTTGATGTAGTTATTAGTAACAATGAAATATAAAGACAAGTTTATGCACATGTACAAAATGTATGCAATTACAATCAATGTGTATTGTACAACATGTAATGTATAAGTGAAATTTCCTCGAAACTACAATAGATTTCATACTTTTGTTTTTACAGTATTTTATATGTATGTGCAATTTTGAAGTAAAGATAAACTTTCTTTAATAAAAACTATGTTTTATTTTATGTATATTAGTGAAAAAGTTTAGTGATGATTCTTTATACGATATATGTAATGTGGCGTATGTGTATAAATGTTGGGGAAAAAGAACAAACAAAATATGTTAATACAAGGAAGTGACCAAGGACAGACTTACATGTTGTGAATTGTTTCTACATTGTTATGTTCTGAGCTCCAGTTCATTAAGGTGGCGGTGTAACAGACTCTTGTTCGAGTTACAGCAAAATTTCGACGACTTTAAATCCAAATAAATATGTAACAAATAAGAAAACAGATGTTTATGAAATCTATAGTGTTGAAGAAATGAAATAGCTGTAAGAGGCACGCGTGAAATAATCAGGATCAATGTCGTTCGTAGTGCCTAAAAAAAAAAGTCATGCTATCTCACAACATGCAAAAGATTAATGCTTATGTATTTTCTTTTTACATAAGGTGCAATTATGTAATGTGATGAATGTTAATTTTGAAATGTGTCCACACTATTGATGTTGTAGGAGAGAAGAAGAAAATGTAAATAACAAGTATATAAAAATAAGTAGTATTAACTAACGGATTACATTTAACGGAAGGAAAAATTCTCCAACGATAAGATATACATATAAATATGATTTAAAATTTTTGTCGACTCCAAAAATAAATAAAAAAGCAGTAGCAGCGAGTATATAGCAATAAAAATGTCAAACAATTCTAGTTTAACGTGCACGAAATAATATACAGTTTGTCACAGAACTTTGGGAGAAAGAATTAATTTTTCCAATAATGCCATCTCTTTTTTTTCAGATCGTAAAAGTGACACGTTAAAGAAGTTTTAAATAAATAACATGCTAGATATACAAACGATTAAAGTAAAAAGATACAAAAGTGCTTTGATTTCGTATAATAACATGTAAAACAGAAAGGTAAAACATAAGAAAAAACGCACGGCATACCTGTTGTTTCTTCTGATTTAATTTGTTACGTTTTATAACTTCTTCGGACGTATTTAAAGCTTCCGCTGCAGCAGCCTCTAACCTGCGACGCTGCTCGTTTTCCTGATCCGCTGCCTGTAAATTCGTGCATTTTACTTGATATACGCTTCTAATATAACTACAGTGAAGAAATGGATTTATTTAAATAAAGCGCAACTACTAACGCACCTTAAACGCTCTCGCGAATCTAACGAGAAGGGAGAAGAAGGTGTTGGCGTCAGCCTGTCTCGGACTTTCTCCAAAGAATTCGACACATTCTCGGAATGCTTCACCGGCAGTACGTGCGTCAAGTTTCAAACGGCGTAATTTCTCCTCGGAATTGTTCAAAAAGTCACGCAATACCGTATTGTGCTTCTCTTTGCCGCGTAACTCAAATTCTTTTCGCACAAGATCCATCCCTTTCTCCAGTTCGTGAACATCGGTCGTAATGTTCTCTAGTGAGACTAAAATAAACATGTAATTTTGTAAATACAAACGGAAAAGTAAATGGAATCAACATTTGAATAGCTAATGAAATATACGACGAGCATACCTGTGGCAGCTTTGTCAATGTACATCAACTCCGATTCAAAATTAATAAGTTCCGGGAACTTGACTCGTATTGTGGCGACGATATAATGCAAAAGGCACATCCTTTTATCGGTCGATTTCGTATCTAACAGTGTATCTAAGCTTTGTAATTTGAAGCCGTACGCGGGGCCTCGTTTGCTACTGTTTAGGTAGTTACCGAAGGCAAGAATAATCTCTAATACTGATCTCAACTTCTTTGAACTCTTAACCGAACTGGATGCAGATATCACAGCGTGTATTTGTGGCGTAATCAGATGTAAATTGTCGAAAAAGTTTCCTATGTAGTTCATAATTGACAACTTGGTAGATATCCTTTCCACTTTACCGAGTTGCATCAAAAATTTATCTTCTTCTGTCAATAAATTGACGTTCTTCTTTTCTATAATATATTCGCGGTAAGCCTTGATCTGAAATTAATATATATATATATATATAACATTCACATAGCTCGTGTAATTGGTAACACGACAATAGTTAAAAGAAGCGCACTTCTTGATCCGTAGGTACCATACGTTGCAATAACTCGACATTTTCCAGCGACAGGACTTTCAAGTCGAGAGCATTCACCGCCATTATCACTTTCTCGACGGGCATTTCCATTTTTCGGCGCGATATAGCTAGAGTTGGAAAAAGAGAAATCAGAGTGACGAATCTATTGTCACATATCACATCGGGTCATCAGAAATATTTATGTACCAATATTTCGTAATCTCGTGTGCTCCAAAAGTGATACGTTCTCGGGCTTCTTGAATCGTTTACTCGGAAAGCTTTGAAGCCCATCGATTTCACTGTTACCGTTGGCCACGTGTCCACTCATGCCGATCTTAAATCGCTCCTCAAAGTCGGAAAAGTCGATTTGATTGTGCAAACGATCGTCGTCTAACTCGTTGAAGATGGTCCCCCGTACTTGATTAGGTTTCAGAGCGATCCAATTAAGAGTAGGAAGTTTGTACTTTGTTTGGACCTGAACGAACGAAAGAAATAATTTAGTGTCAAGTTAAAACAATACAACAATGATTTTATCGCTGGTAAAATATGCGATATTCTCACTTTTTTTCATTACGATAGTTAATTTTGTCAAAGAAAAATATTCCCTCATTTGATAATCCCAATGGCTCACATACTCAATATTACATACTTTTCGTTTAATAGTCATCGCTCCATTGGGTGCTTGCATCATGCCAGCGGGCGGTGGAGGTATTGGGACAGGCGGAGGTATCTTGTGATCTCCCGAGGAAAGAGGTGCCATGGGAGGCGGCGGCGGACATGGTGGCGGGGGTGGAGGTGGTGGCGCAGGAGCCGCTGCAAGTGTTTCATGTAACATTGGCGATGGTGTCGAGGCGAACGTCTCGGACGTAAGATTATCTGAATTACTCAGAGGACTCGTCGCGATGCCATTTCGTAGACTAGCGGCTGAAATAGACATTTGTGTGTTTTTCTACTTTACTTATACCGTTTATTACTTATACAAATGACCTAGCGAGTAACTTACCTGTTGAACCCTTTGTAAGCGTTCCCGTCAAAGTTTCCAGCTCGATGATCTTATTCTCTAGGACACTCTGTCTCCGTGCAGAATCCTGTCTCTGCCTCTTCAAGGCCGCGAGTTCTTCCTCCACTAATCTACGTGCTTCTAAGGCATCGGCATATTCCACTTTGATCGCGCCCAATTCCGTCTCCAGTTCCGCTAATTTCGCCAACGATTCTCTTTCTAATTCTGCCATACGATCATGCGCCTGTGTTAAATGCAATCAATTATGACAATCGGTAAATTCAACAATGTTTTATATTAGTAGGAAAAGCCTATACATCGCTTACATGACCAAGCTCGTCTTCTAATTCCGCTACTTTTTCCAATGCTGCAGTCTTCGTTTCGCTGTCCTCCATCAAGGCAGCCACATCAAATACGTTATCTAGGTAAGCTGAGATTTGAACCTAAAGAGCCCCGAAAAAAGAAAAGAGAAAGAAAAAATTATGATTAACCTTGATAAGGTTCTACCCGACGATCGAGAATTTAATGTCTGTACTGTTAACCACTAATTAGCCAAGTCATGGATTATCATTAAAAGTTATTTGAAACTATGATTTTTCATAGAATGTACGGTACAATGAAGGAAAGGGAGAAATATATATATATAAACTGCATTTATTGCGTTAAAGCATTATGAACCTAAGAATAATTTAATAATGGTTTATTAAAATGTTGTAACGCGCGTGTGTAATTGACTGACCTGCAAATCTTCGCTCTCTGTGTGTCTAAGCTTCTCGAGGTATTCATCTAATCCAAGCTTCGTAAACTCATACTGTAGATGTACCCTGAAGTTCATGTCTTCGACCGAATGCACGACAATATTGACAAACTGCATACAAGCGACCATAAACTCAATGTGGAAGCTGTCATACTGGGTGAAATATGCCATAAGTGTCGTAAATCTTCTCCTCTCGGAGCACACCTCTTTGAAGTTATCGAACGCTGACAAAATAATTTCGTGGCCACCCTTCACTAGGCAGATTGCAGCGAGAAGCTCCAATACTAGAGCTTTCGTCCTGAGAAAGCAGTGAATTTATGGCAAACACGATAAATCGTGAGAGCAGTTATTTGAAATGTGATATACAATATAATAAATTTTTAATGAAATATTCATATCACTTTTCAGGATGCGATTAAGCAAGAACTTGTAGTAATTTGAATATAAAATGACCAAGTTGTTGCAGCGCATCACGGCGGATGTTATTTCGCACGTTTATAATGTCATAGAACTTTCTAAGAAGCACACGAGACAATAATAGCCTAATAGACAATACATGACTCACCTCAAACTTTTATGGATTAAGCTCAACGCAATGCAGTTGATGGCTTCTCTGTGTTGAATAACCATGTTAAATCCGTACTGTAAAAATATCTGTGAGTGTGCTTATACATCTGTTATTATGTGAACGTGAATGTATCGAAATATATTAATGTTTAAATAAACTTTCCGACTAGTTTGAAACTTGAGAAGAAGCAAAAAGAATCAATCTATTTTGTCAGTAATGTGAAAATGTGATATAAATATTACGACTCTTGTTTCCAATTATCATTTTAATGTGTTTATATCTTGTAACGCATTAAAATGATAATTGGAAACAAGAGTCGTAATATTTTTCAAAATCATCAAATATAGAATGAAATCTTAAACTGATTGATATTCACCTTGTTATTCATGATAGCACGCATGCATAGTATGCAAACGTGAATGTCATCCTTTGCTTCACCCATATTTAGGCGTGCCACGTGTCGAGATCTCCTTTTCACCCCAGGACTGTCTTTGAGCTCGTGGAGAGGTGGCCTCAGGCATCCGTTGTTCAACGGTGAGGTATCGCCTGTGCCGGCTGTGTTAATATTATTATCGACAATTGTTTTAAAATCTACGGTAAGCTAGTTGTCACAAAAACATTTCATTATCTTACAAATATAATATTCAAAGGGGGAGATTTTCTACATTTATTCGACAATATTTTACATGGTGTAACTTTTAATATTATAATATTATCGCAGCAATTTATGACTGTAACGAAAAGCGAATAAACATTAATTTCCTTAGACAGATATAGACTTGACGATACAAACGATCTCTTTCATCATAAGGTAGAAATCTTATATCTGCTGTCAATTGTTAACGGGTTAAAGTAAATTGTCCGATTTCCTCCCTTTTTTTGGCTTTCTAATCAATTTCTTACCGGTTTGTAATTTTTCCTCGGAACTCGTGTGTGCTTCCAAGAGTCGTTGCTCGTGCCGCATCATCAGTAGCCTGAAGCTGAGATAGTCTATCAGAGCATCCAGGCCTTGATTTTCTTCGTCCAAGAACTCTCTCACCCATCTGCAATACTGTTCAGCTCAGAATACAGATTTAGAAAGGCAAAAAAAAGATATCACCAACAAATGAACTGGCACGCTGAATCTTATTAATACAATTATTTATGCGATCAATGATGAAATGGATCCGAATTACATTTGAAATTATAGAAAAGATATTTAAAAGTTGCTGTTGCTAAAGACAGTTTGTTAAATATGTTTGCTTGAAAGATTTTAGATAAAATAGTCTGCCAGCACACAGTCATTGCGGCACAATCGAACAAAACAGATGTAAACTTAACGCTCGGCGAAAAGGGCAAATAAATAATGATAGATTCACTTACTCAATATGATTTGTGCGTAAGGATATCTCCAAGTCACGTAATACTTGGGTCGATGTAGATTCCCCGACCATTTTCCTCTTCTGGAAGAACATAAAGAAACGATACGACTGTGTAATCATTAGTATCCGTTTGCGATAGGAAACTTATTGCGGATGTGTAATACACAGTGCACTGATTATTTTAAGAAGGAAGAAATAAACAAATTTATACAAAAATGTTCAAAATTTAATTGTAACGTTAAATGTCGTCGATGTGCAAAAAAAGACGCACAAGCAGTATTATTATTGTTATTGTACAATGTGTCAAATGGTTATAATTGCGCAGTGAGCGTATGTTTAAAATACATATAATTTTGTTGGAAAAATGACAATAATACTGGAGGAAAAAATAGATATAAAAGATTGGGGGAAAAGAAAAATAAATAAGTAAAAAAAAAACGTACTCGATGGCTTCGCGATGCTGTCGGATCCAGGTAAGTACGTAACTTGGCCAGGTAATGGGACGGTGGGTCTTTAGCTTGTACTCTTTCCTGCAAATATAAATATTTCATCGTGATAAACTCATCGATTTCAAATGAAATAAAATTTTTGATAACGATTCCATGTCAGTTGAGACACTTGTTTATCTTCCTTGTCTTCCTATGGAAGCTCTGTGATTATCGTACAAGTGAAAGTTAATGGGAGGAAAGATTTGAAAGGAATTTGAGAAATGGAGGTTTTGGATAACCCGAGCTTTAACGAATTGCTGCCTGTGTGAGACGGCCTGAGCAATAATATTTGGAGAATATAGTACATGAATACCGTCGGTGAAAAGGGATGCTGCGTATTTTTTTGCAGTCCGCATCGTGTATAATAGCACGGCTTGCGTTACATCCGTCTTGTGTTACGCATATGCACAGGCTAGCTCGAGCATCGGAATGAACAGGCGATTATCGCTTGAAAATACGTTTCTATCTTTTCATTTTGAATTGTTTCACTGTGTTTGATCATATAGTCAACGTTTGTATTTTTCCAAAATATCTGTAAAAGTTATACTTGCACGGGATAATTTTTTTCAGGATTTCTAATAGCTGTCAATACTTGCTCTCTCTATCTCGAGCGAATCCGACCTCTAATTCTATCTTTATTATTATTGAGAATAATTTGTATATACTCACTTGGTCGCATATAATATCCCATTTCTTTTCGTTGTCATATTGCTTCAAGAGTTTCGCTTTATCCGGTGGTAGATCCATGGAGGCCTGTGTACGTAAGAAATAGCTCACTTAAATGATGTAAATTATTCGGGAATAGCTACGAAGAAATAAAGAATATATGCACGCGTCCGATTACTTGCTCCATTAGGAATGGCATTATTCCTATCCGGATAATTATTCGATTTAATTAACTCTTTGGCTCCTTTACGCGTACGAAAGGTTGGAGAAAGCAATGTACGCGCGTTCTCCTTCAGTGACCAGGACAAGTAACAATTTCCAGCAACGTAACGCGATTTCTGTTTCCGTTTCGTGGCGATGGCTACAATTCTGTCGCATTAGCATAATACTTGTTCTCGAGTTATGGTTTCTACTCAACTGGAGCAAGTAATGCCCTCTTTCGATAACGGGAGCAGAGAACGAGTTGCCCTCCGGGAAACGAGAAATATATATATATAAATCATTATAAACAGTCGTAAAGGAGACCCTTTTGTGCAACGTTTTAGAAGAGCAGAAACAGGTTTTGTAAACAGGTTCGTAATCACTAATGTGCCTTTTTATTAAATTGTTACTTTATTACGTCCCGTGTCGTCCGACTCACGTCATACGACTGTCGGAAAATTAGTAACTGCGAGAGAAAGCTATGCCCTATAGATGTAATTGTTAAGGTCAGAATGTGTTGTTTGAATGGTACCAAGTTTCACTTCGCTGCCGCTTTCCCTTTCAGTGCAATATATCCGATTGTTGCTTAAAAATGAAAAAAAGAAAAGAAAATAATTTCCTGTGCAAGCGCATTCAATTGAACTTGCTTTTACCTGCACGTAACTCGCGTTCTACCAGAAATATCGGATTACCGTTAATGGGATACATAGTTTCACAATGGACAGGATGCGACTGGTGACGCCCGATAGATTCACAAAACAAACCCCGAGTAGTCGGTCGAAACATATTTGCGCGTGCATTAATTGAAATCCAGCTAAAGAAAAGAATTTGCCCAAGTTCAACATATACCAGGCTATTTTAACAAAAACGTGTTCTTGTTTAATCGAAATTTACTAAGAATTGGTAGAAATTAGTATTGTAGTATTGAACTCGTATCGTGAAATTACCTCGATGCCTCAACATCGAGTCATATCGGTAGCAATAATTAAGTGGCGTCAAGAACGAGACTGATCTTTATTGGTTGGGATCGTTACACGCGGGCACTGACCTTCGAACGAGCTAACAAGAGAGAACTTTCAACCCGGTGAAAGGGCAAATTTTTCATCCTGCGTTGCTTCTTTCGAAAAGTAATAAAGTTTACAAGATTTATGAAATTTCCCTTGGTGCCGTGAGCACTTGAGCAAACGAAAATTCATACCGATATGCTCCCTTCCACAAGGTGTGCTTCAAGCAATACACTATTTATTCGCACCAACAGGGCGAGCGCGAAAGCGAGGCAAACGAGAAATGCCATTAATTAAACGTGCATCCTCGAAAGAAATGACCGTTGTCAAGTACTTAAGCTTCGGCGAATCGCCGTCGGCTTGTCATTTAGACACACGCCATGCACAGGTCATTAAAGCCATCGTTGTTAACACTCGTACGGTCTCGTGCACGAGCATGCAGGACATTTCTACTCGAGATTATAATTGAAATACGATTCTTTACCTAAATCTAAGCTTGTGCTACCAACTCGTAATATCAATTTTAATGGGAAATAACGACGACGGTTTGCCTCGCAAACCTGAATGAGAGGATCTAAAATTAAGTGATAACGTCACGATGTGCACCCGGCTGCGATGACATCATCTCACCAACTCACATGTGCCAAAAGGCAAAGTGTGTGGTAAAGGCCTCTCGATGCAATGTAGATTCGCACAACGTAGATTGTAGCTGATAAATGAAGGAAAAACTTTGGCTAAAGTTTCAAAAGCTTGGTGCGGCGAAGAAAAAAATATTCATCTCTCACTCGTCATCACTTTCAACGCTCCACTTTCTCAGCCCTAATTGCGCTGATAGAGCCTAAACGCGTCGCGTTACGAAGGGATTAGTATTGGAGATGTTGGAGAAAAGCCGAGGGTAGTGAGCGAGATTGTGCACACGGCCGACCGGAAGGGACAGGTTGGAACGAAAGCGACGGAGAAAGATGAAAGAAGGGTGCTCGAAGCTGTTACCGAGAATATTAGCCATGCATTAATTATGCAATTGGTCGGGGTGATTTTACAAATGGAAGAACTTTTCAAAGATTGCTCAACGCGTTATAACGAGTACATAAGGTTGACATTCCTCTGAGAAACATATTGCAGTTATATCGACGTTATTAGCATCCCTAGCCACAGAGAGTCGTACAACACACCCAGGATCTTCCGTTGTGGCACTCGTCCTCACCCACGTCACGCTTGAATAAATTTATGTATGTACGATGGGTGAGGAGAAAGAGGGAGAAAGAGACAGAGAAAAAGTGAAAGGGTAATGACCCGGGAGAAAGAGAGAGAGAGAGAGAGAGAGAGAGAGAGATTAATGGACGATGAAGGGACATTGGAGGAAAGAGAAGATTGAAACATTGAATGCACGTAAGAATACGGACGAAATGATACGTCTTTCCACGCGTCAAGTTCAAAGAGCAATTGTTCTCGCAATCAGTCGCGACTGAGGTTCGCTTAAACAACGATCGTCTCTTTCTGCGATTACGATGCACATCTGCGATCCCACTGGGATAATGGGATTCTTTACGGCGCCCCAATATGCAGACAGTGTGCACACGTGTGGACCGGAATGACTTTTTTTACACGAGAAAAATATTGCAATGCTCGTCGTCGGCCCCAACAAAATAATCCTTGTTTTCTCCTCAACCTGCCTTTAGCATACAATTTAATATGAGAAATGCAATCGATTGCGACGCTCCTAGTCTCCGAAGAAGAGCGATGCCGGATTAACATAGACCTGTTTAAATAAAAGCGGCGAATGAGTGAACATTGTCGAGAAAGAATTTTCACGGTCAAGCGGCAACGTTTAAGCGGCCAGTGTCCCTCGACACTTAATTTACTGGCCAGAAATAGCTCTATTCGCACGTGCACGCTATTTGGCCACGAGCCATTTCGCCCTCTTTCACGAGAAGGAAATTCTGCTCGGTCAGTCAGTTTACCTGACAATGAGATGGCTCCGCACGTGATGCTGCAAACGTCAAATTTTTCTTCTCTATAAAAGTGTCAACTCTCGGGAGTTGATATGAAATGGAAATGAAACGGAAGGCAATGTTTGCACGTTGACAGATGTGTTGTCTTTTTGGTGGAAAAGCGAAACGGTAATAACTCGATGTTAGATCCGCCTTGGATCGATAACACGTACTATCCCTCTCTTGTTTTAAACAAAATGTAATTATATTATACGTCGCTTCCACAATCCACAGCACATTCCCACAGTAGAAGGAAATTGCAGTGTGCGCCATTTGGATATCCTGTTTACGCAGATCATCTCTCACAGTGAGAAATGCAAACACGCGAGCAAGTTCGGTGTCGCGTTATGCGCACTCGCGCGTAAAAAATCATTGTCTTTCGCTTACGCTTACAAGTTTCGTTAACGAAATCATTTATGTGAATCCCAACTTGAGCAAATGTATTTTTCAATTATCTCTAAATCGTATTGATATTTTTCTCGCGTTCATCACTGCTTATCTTCATCAACACGCCACGTGGAAGAAAAAAAATGTCCCCCAGCCGGTTCTTTCACCGGGACTGAAAGATATTTTGGTCCAACGAATGACGATAAAAGAAAAACACAACGAATGCGACCCTCAAAATTCGCTCTCAGAAATCTTATAACGTTATTAGAATATCTGGAAATTTCTCGAGAAAATTCTCAAGGAACCAAAGTATTACATTTTTAATGGTAGGACGTTTATGACTCGTCACGCACGTAATTAGAGTAATTGTCCAATAACGTAACTATTAAATAAAGGCGTGGAACACGTAGTCTAACGAGAGAGACCGTATAATTATTAATTGAAATTTACTTCTCGAGAGTTACATGAATGCACTTGTGGTTGACCATGTCTCGGTGAGTTTTTTTACACCAACTAATATTAGCTTTATTAGGTTTCCGTTTGTAAGATCGAGGTCGAGAAAAACTTTGGCGCGGCCCTGGTGATCCAAGACGGCTTCTACGATGTGTGACTCATCAACAAGCATTTATAATCTCGCTTGAGGGGTTATTAAACGTTCGCACGCCTCTGACAATTTCTTTCGCCACGTGCGATTACAGTGGCCATCGCTCCGTCGTTATCAACAATGAAAAGGTATTTGGTGAGAGCTGCTGCTCGTAGGCGTGCCTTCCTCCTTTCTCTCCATCTTTTTTTTTTCAGCGCACATGAAAATTCGAGACCGCGTATGAAATAATAATGTGGAAAGTTCTCTCTAGGGAATTGTTTGAAAGGAATAATTGGAAAAGGTGAAAATAGGACGGATATCGTCTGCTACGATCGCACTTACCAGCACTTTGGTAAAGCGCCTCTCGAGCTCGACGGCGTCCGGCATCGGTTGTCTCGGCGCGTTACGCATGCTGCCGGTGCGCGCGTGAGGCCCGCCCATACCCATGCTCAAGCCCATGTTCAAGCCCATGCTGGCTTGACACGACTGATAAGGCAGACCGGCCTTGACACCGCCTTGGAAAACTTGGCGTACACCACCATCGCTCTCCCCGTTGCGACTCTGCACGATGCCCATGTCTCCTCTTTGGCGCCTCGGCGAGTAGCATGGACGGAAATTTTCAACGATGTCGGCGCTAGACCTGGCTAGGTCGACGGACGTGTCGCGACGATACGCACATACTTGTACGCGTGCGTTAAACACGGCTGCAAATCACTTACAATTAGGTATCGTCCATCGCGAGGATCGCGAGTACTCGTCGCGCACCACCCGAAACGACATCGACAACTGTCGCCGCGACCTCGCGACTCGACCGCCGCACATGCGCGCTGCGGCTGCGCGTTCCTTCCCATTTTTCGCTGCGCGCCAAATTCAAATTCATCAAATTCTAATGCAAATCGCAATTATTATTCCAAAAGTATTGTAGACATTTGTCTATTAGAATTTTCCTCTGTGGAAACGCAATTATCGGAAAGAAAAGATAACTCTGTTTTTATCGACATTTCATTGGCTACGTAATAATGAATTCAAGTCACTAGATGGCAGCTCTTTCCACTTCGTCAGTCATATGGCGTTGCGTCTTTCGGCTAATGTGAATGAATAAGAAGACAAGGGAAAATGGCCGAGTCCGAGCAGAGAGGTAAAGACGATTGTAACGCGGCGGCGGTGGCGGCCGCGGTAAAGGAAACAATGATTAAGCAGGAGAAGCGCGATACTACGTTGACGAATGGCGGCAAGGGCTCCGGCGATGACGCCGACAGCCTCGAGGAGCTACCGCTCGACATAGGCGAGCATTATCTCGTCCGCAGATCCGACGACTCCTGGCGTGCGTATTCTTTCGCCCTTCGCCCTCTCTCTACCCTCAATGTTGTGTATCGTTGTGTCCTCAGATCCCGCCGAGATTATCCAGACACGTTACAACGACCACGAGAGTCATTACGAATATTATGTCCATTACGACGGACACAACAGAAGATTGGACGAGTGGGTACCTCGCGAGAGAATCATGTCCAGTAGATTCGACATGAGTGAAATAGAGCGGCACGATAGGAATTCTGGAGCCGATCTCTTGGCCGATTCTTCCGATCGCAAAATCACTCGAAATCAGAAAAGACGCCACGACGAGATTAACCATGTGCAAAAGGTAAATACAACTCTTACGGAATCGATTCTTATAGATGAAAGTAATCATCTTTTAGACTTATGCAGAAATGGATCCTACTACAGCCGCATTGGAGAAGGAGCACGAAGCTATAACAAAAGTCAAGTACATAGATAGAATACAGATTGGTAAGCATTGCTATACGTCCAATTCATGCAGCAAGAATCTCCTCATTTTCACAAGTTCCTTTCTAGGCAAGTACGAGATCGACACTTGGTACTTTAGTCCCTATCCAGAGGAATATGGCAAACAATCGAAACTCTGGATCTGTGAATATTGTTTAAAGTACATGCGTCTCGAGAAAACTTACAGATATCATATGAGCGAATGTACGCATAGGCAGCCAGTTGGCAAGGAAATCTATCGAAAGGGAACATTGAGTATTTGGGAAGTAGATGGCAGGGAACATAAAATTTATTGTCAGAATCTCTGCCTGTTGGCTAAATTGTTTCTGGATCATAAAACCCTTTACTTCGACGTAGAGCCGTTTCTCTTTTATATTTTGTGCGAAGTCGACAAGCACGGTGCACATTTAGTCGGCTATTTTTCCAAGGTACGGGTAAAAGTAGTTGCGAGTAGTCTCAAGAGAGACTTGTAAGTTTACTGTGCACACATTTCAGGAAAAGGAATCGCCCGACGGTAATAACGTTGCCTGTATTTTAACTCTGCCGCCCTTTCAAAGACAGGGCTATGGCAAATTACTGATAGCCTTTAGCTATGAATTGAGTAGAATTGAAGAAACGGTTGGAAGCCCCGAGAAACCTTTAAGTGATTTAGGAAAGTTATCTTACCGTAGTTATTGGAGTTGGATACTGCTGGAGATCCTTCGCGATTTTAGAGGAACTCTTAGTATTAAAGATCTTAGGTAAGATATCTCTCAATCGTTACAATAGAGTCTTTCGATAACAGTGTATATTTTCAGTCATATGACCAGCATCTCGCAAACTGATATCATCTCGACGTTGCAAAGTATCAATATGATTAAATATTGGAAAGGACAGCATGTTATCTGCGTCACACCAAAGTTAGTGGAAGAGCACATCAAAAGCAGCCAGTATAAAAAGCCGCGTCTTAAGGTGGATACTAGCTCACTGAGGTGGGGAGCGCCGCCTCGGAAAAACATCAAACCCAGCAAGAAATAACTTCATTTCCTCAATGTACTCGATTATGTAAATATCCATTCGTTAAATAATTACTTGTTGGAAAAGCAATACGTCATGTGCTCGATATAATCACTAGAGAAAAGTCTCTCGACGAGTAGAATTCATAGTTTGAAAATGTGTTTTATTTAAATATGCAAGTGCATTTCAGCAAATGATACCAAGCAGTATTAAAACAAATTCTAATTTATGTAAACTCATTAATAATAAAGGATGTGTCTGCAGATATAGTGACAATTATATTTTGGAGCTTGTAGATTTATAAAGTTGGACGGCCGAGTCGACGGCTGCTATAGCAGTTCCAGGTGCCATGCAAACTCCGTAACCGCCGTGTCCATAATTATGTACGACCTACAAAAGGACATATCATTTTCTTGCAAATTTCTCTACGTTTCCACTGTCCAAGTACTAACTATAGCCTTTGAATGGTCACTGATGCGACTCCCATCCCCGACCCTGACGCCACCTTCCCGGTGCGGTCGTAAGCCAACTTCCTCCCGCAAAATTTCCGCATTTTTCAAAGACGGAACTAGCGTCTCGCATCTTTCGCCAATTGCTGCGGATTCGTACGGACACAATTTCATATTTTCGGAATCGAAACTTCTCGATCCACCTAAGGTAACTACACCGTTGAAGCCTGGTATGACGTAAGTGTCGAGCTCGCCGTAAAAGAACATTTTCACCCATGGTGCCTTCACCTGTGTGCAGATACATACCCTTTTTGAGAGAAGAAGAAAGAGATGAGAGGAGAAAAAGTTGATACCTTGACCACTTGGCCACGCAGTGAAACGAGACGTCTGTCGTCGCATAATCGGCGCGCTCCAAGCCCGGTGCAATTCATTACGATATCGTACTCGTCAGTCAGCTCTTTGAGAGAATTCACCTCTCTCCGCTTGAACGTAATTCCCTTCGATTGCAATCTGCCGGTAGCAAATCATTCCAAGCTATATGCAGTTCTTCCGTCTTCAATTATACAATTACATACGATTTACCGATCTTTAGCCCACGGAAGATACAGATTGCTTTGCGTCAGAAGAGTCGAGAAATACGATCCGTACTTCCAACTGCCGTCAACCAGTTGAAATTCTTCCCTGGTTGCTCGTCTGTACATTGGCACCACGTTTTCCAGCCAACGATTCTAATTGTCAGCATAAACTCTCGAGATGATGCATCATCTCATTTTAGATACAAATAGTTTTTACTCAATCTCACCTTGACGATATCCGGAGAGGAATTTGCAAATATATATCCAGAAATATCAGTCACTCCAGCGTAAGAGGCATCGTCCGTTTTTCGAAGGGCATCGTAAAATTCGTAAGAATCTTTTACCCATTGCCTCGAAAAGATAAATATATTTCTTTAAGTAACTGGTAAAGTAAGAAAGAAAAAAAAAGTCTTTCTACCTCGTTACCGTCTCACTAGGGCCACTGAAGCAAGAGCCGACTCTAAAGAGTCCCGCGGCTACGTGACTGACGGTGTCGTCAAAATTCGATGCCAAGACCGTAATGTCAGCGTTACGAAAGTAGCCCGTTTGTACAAATCCGGCCGTCGTTAGTCCAACGATGCCGCCACCAACGATAACTATTTTCATTTTGCTTTCAGTGGCGTAATACAAATAATTACCAATAAAACTAAAGCGCAAAACACCTTGACGGAAATTACGAGCTATTCTTGTGCACGCGATAGACACAGCGTGTCTACACTTGGGTGCGGTCTACTTGTGTGCGTAACACATTTCGCTCTCGAGGAATCGAGTTATCATCGTCGAGCGTACTTTAACCACGCGTGATACTTTTGATAAAGCACCAGCAGATATCGGCTGCGCATTTAACGCTTCTTGAAAAAAGAAACAAAAATTTATCTCTTTTATATGAATTGCAAAATGCTTGGAAATTTATTTTACTATATGTATTTAAGCTAAGAAAAGAATAGGATTTAATCTTAAATTAGCCACGTGTATTTGTGACAAAGTGAGATATACAATACAATGTATACATACAGTGCATCTCTTGAAATATATTCTTACTTGTAATAAGTCGTATTGACGATACGTTATTAACAATAATCATAATTACATTGTATCTATTACCATTGCGATCCTCTAATGCAGAGTGCCTCGGAACTAATAACGCAGCCGAACACTTCCTTATGGCAGAATCAATTTTTATACTTATCTTTATAGCCTTAAATGAGATCATTAAAGTTGTTGAAAAAGCACCCTTATTAACATATATTAATGAAAAGATAACCTTCTATTTACAGTGCAAAACAATGTAAGATTGAACTTTTTCTCATTCGGCATCGTCAGTTCGGAGACATTCTACGTTATATATTCCACGATTCTTAATATCGAAAATATACGAAATAGATTATTAATACGAGGTTATTATTAAAAGTTACGGACGCAATGGATCAAGATTAAGATCACGATCTCTTGGTCGGAGAAAAACGATAACATTGCGAGGATATTTACAACATCAATTATTGGTATATATGGTATTTTTCGACATAATCCATCATTTTTATTTTATCGTTATTCAAGTCTCAATTTCGAGACCAATGTACAGTTCTTAATCCTTACAGTCTAATGCGACTTGCAGCACAGAGATATTTTACTGTTTCACGAGAGAGAAAAAATGCCTCGCTTGAAACAAAATATACAAAACCGACATCGCGAGTGCTAGCTTAAGATTTACTACAGGGTTGGATCGTATAATTCAGTGGAGGTGGCGGAACTAAAAGAGGCAACGGAGTCGGCGGCGGCGGCGGAGCTTGAACGGATGTTAAGGTTGTAGTCGTGGTTTGCGGTTGTTCAATCGCTCGTACCGTTGTATTGTAGATCGAGAGGTAACTGGGCCAGAGATGAGGCGGCGGTGGGGAACCGGGAGGTGGTGGAGGTGGCGAACGATCGTCCATCTCGTCGGAATCGTCCATCATCATAGCTGTCAATGGTGTAATGCGTGGTTTCTTCAACTTGATTATCTTTACCTGTGAAAATGTGAGGCAATAACATCCGTGAAAAAGATGGCTTGAATTTGAAAGTATATTTTTCAAATGAGAGAGAGATATACCTTAACTTTTTTCTTCGCCTTCGGTGGCCTCGCTCTCTTCTCCTGCTTTCTGCTCTTTCGAGAGCTGTAATTCTTGTCTCGTCTCAAATCCCCGAGTCCGTCACGGAAACCTATTTCCTTAGGAGGAGGCGGTGAAGGCATGTCGCCTTCGCCACCGCTGGGACTGGTCCCCTCGCCAGGTTTTACGCCATCAGCGAACTGAACGGACTTTTTGTTTCTCTTCGTCTTTGTCAATTGTCCTAAGCTTGATTTCCCAGATTTCCCGTCGGGTTCCATGTCTTTGTCGCATTCATTATTCTTATCTATCTCTTCGTCTTTGTCACTCCCATCCTTGATGTTGTTGTCGTCCACATCCGACGAATCATTCAAGTTACCATTAGGAATCGCGTCTCTCCTGAAACAAATCCATTTTTCGATGATGCACAGCTCGAAATGTAGCATATTGAATTTTAATTAAGATTCACGAGTCTTTTTCTTACTGAGCTACTTATTGCTCTCAAGGAAAACCTTATTAATAAATATCACTACTGGATGAAAATTCTGTAATATCTTGGTAAGATATCGATACTAATATCGACAAACCTAAATCCTGGAACAACCAAAATGCCTTTTAATGGCGGAGGTGGCAATTCCGGCCATTCCTTTCTAGTTTCGATTTCCGCCTGATCTTTATTCGCATCAGCTGCTATCGCTTCATCGGTTTCAATTCGCTGATTGATCATTTGTAATGGTTTCTCATCTTCATCGTCATCCTCGTCCTCATCCTCCGCCTCCTCTTCTTCTTCCTCGTCATCTTCCGCCTCGGCCTCGTCCTCATCGTCATCCTCTTCTTCGTCCGCGGCGGCGTCTTCATCTTCCGCCTTGATCGATGTTGTCGTCTCCTCTTCCTCTTTCGTCGGATTAACTGAGGGAGATTCAGCTTGTTCCTCTCCTTCTTTCAATGCTTTCAGAACTGATGGATCTACAATCGCACCCTTGCGATGATCCAACAGAACCTCACTCGTTTGTCGCGATGTATTGTTCTTTTCCAGTAATCGCAGAGCTCGCCGATTAACCCGCTCTATTCTTCTGCGCTCCTTCTCTTTTCTACGTAACTCGCGTAACCGTTTACGCTCTTCTCGTTCCTTACGCCGTGTCTCGAGTATAGCCTCGTAATTGTATACAGGTTGAACTATCTCTGCAAGGTGAGAAGCCATTGAAATTTTCGAGATGATGCAAAAATCATGTATGTGACGACAAACTTTGTATACATACTTTGTGGCTCATTCCTCGGGAACGCTGTTGACGTCGCGGGGGAAATCGGTACTGGCACGGGAACAGGTACTGGCAATGACAGCGGCAGTGGAAGAGCTGATGACATGGGGGCGAGAGTATTTGTCGCAGCGGGTAAGGCTGGTGGCACGGGCAATGGAACGGGAACGGGGACAGGTACAGACATAGGAACCGAAGGTGCCGAGGGTGAGAGCGCTGGGACAGCTGAGGAATATAAAGCCCCATTGGACTGATCTGCGGTTGACGAAGATTGACCGCTACTACCACCGCCGCCGCTGCCGTTGCCGCCGCCGCCGCCACCGTTGCCACTGCTGTGATTGCTACTACTCCAATCTAATGAGGTGGGTACTACTTGGAGAACGTTACCTACGCGTACCACCTGACTAGATCCGGATCGCACAGGCGGAGCCGTGGCTGTAGTGGACACTTCCCGACGTGCAGCGTGCACTCCATTGAAATCAGCAGGCACCACTTGTAAGACATTTCCAACCTTGAAAAACAGAGAAAAACAGAGTATTCAATATAAATTTGTTCATCTTAATTAATGACAAGAAACATTTTAAGTGTCAAATACCTGTACAACTGTAGGCTGCTGTCTGTACATCATCTGTTGCTGCTGTTGCTGAGGAGGAGGAGGAAGAGGAGGGGGAGGAGGTGGAGACGGATATGCAATAACATTGGAATTAAAATTAGAAGAATATTCGGAAGCAACAGAATCCTTGTTGTGTTGCTTTTTAATACCTAATTCTAACTCTAATCTGTAAAGTATATATTAGACATTAGACACGATACAAATATAGAAAATCAGACAGAGTCAAGTAATAGTATTGTCTTGAAATGGGTACTAAATTTCCTTGTGCAAATCCTTACCTATCGTCAAGAGATAAACGTTTCGGGGAGCTCGTAGACGACTCGTCTATACAAGGAGGATAAGTTAAATTATTCTCTGTATAATAATATTCATTTCCGCCTTCGATCTCATTTGAATATTGAAAGTTTGCAACAGCTGCGTCCATACTGCTATTGATACCCATTTCTGAGTCCAAGATGCTTGTTCCCGGTATAACACCCGTCTGAACAATAGTCTCTATGCGCCTACCCCTTTCGCTACAAGCGCTAAACTTTTTATTTCCATCCTCGTCCTTCCTCTCGCTTTCTACCTCGTTTAGTCTTTCCCTACCAGGCGAAGGAGATCTATATTCAAAATTGATCACGGATCTTATTATAGACAAGAAACACAAAGCTTATGCAAATTGAATCGAATTCTACCTGGAAGAACGCAACTCTGACATTCTGAATGCATGTTCCGGGCTCCTTAATCTCGACAGAGTAGATTTTCCTCTCGATCTTACATCGAACGGAGATCTGCTTCTCGATCTCGATTGCGATCTCATCCTCGGTCTTGACCTTGACGTCGATCTAGAACGCGAACCCGACCTCGATCTAGATCGTGTTCGAGATCTCACTGGTGACCAAGATCTCGAACGTGATCTGGATTTTCGTCGAAATCGTTCTTGGCGCATAGGCGAATACCTCGATCGCGGTGGTGTTCGATTTCGCGGTCTGTGTCCCAGATGCCCGTGACGATCCAAATCCGAAGGGTCTTTGTCTTTTTCCCATTGCCGTTCCCTCCTTGCATTAGATCTGCTCGAATTTCATCATGAGAAAACGTTAAGCTTTTAAGAGATCGTAGACGCAAATCCTCCAAGTACCTTCTCTTGTATTTTGACTGCGACTGAGGCGAAGATTGTAACGTATCCCTTTCCAGACTTCCCTCTCTATAATACGATCGATCGTCATATTCAAGAGGCAAATCCTGTCCAACGGTGTATGAATCTATGGATTCGTTACCATCTCGTAAAATACCGCTGTTTTCATACGGCCAAAACGTACGATCCAATTCTTCGGTGTGAAATCTAAGCAACATTCATCACATATGTGTAATATGTGTAATATGGATTTTGTGTGTGTGTGTGTGTGTAACATAATTTTAAAGAACGCTCTTCGTAACGAAAAGTTCCATACCTATTGTCTCTATACTTGTCCGATTCCACTGTTCTCTCCCTTAAAATCTCCATCGGGTCGTACGATCTGGTATCCTTCTCGTGATCTCTATCCGCACTGTCGTGTTTTCTTCTACTCCAGTCATCACGATTGCTCTTAGAAGAGCCGTGCTTTTTAAAGTTATCTGCAAACACAGATTCATAATATCTAACGATACAGAGTGTAAGGCTGTTTTAACTAAGCATTTTTTTTTCTTTTTTTTGGTTTTACCCTCGTTGTAACCGAAGCGTGGTGGAGATCGCGCGTATCTCTCTTTTCTCTCGTCCGTTCTCAATCTACCCGATCGCTCATCGTCGTATCTTTCTCTTTTTTTATCTCTGTCCCGCGTACTAGTAGTAGCTTCGTCCTTCCTCTTTGGACTTTTACTACGACTTCTGCTCCAGCTATGACCGGGACTTCCACTCCCGCTTCCTTGCCGTTCCCACGAGACGCATGGGCTTCTGCTCCTCCTTCTTCTCCCTCCTCCTCGTCCCGAAGGGCTCGATCTTCTTCTATCTGCAAAATCTGCTTTGGAACTGCTTGTAGCGTCCCTTCTGTCCGACTTGTCCGCATCGTCAGATTTCCTTTCTTTCCGATCTTTTTCGTGCGAATGTCGTTTCTCACTTTCTTTCTTGCTAGGACTCCTCTTTCTGTGTTCCCGGACGGGAGAATGTAAGCTCGACGGAATATTAGTATCAGTTAGATTACGATTAGTCTTATACCTCTTTACGTCGTCGTTCTTACTCTCTCTATCGTAGTTCTCAGATTGTTCGGATCGAATAGAGACCGCCTTCTCCGACGCCGGGGATCTCGATTGTCGTATTACCGACGATTTAGGAGCGACGGAAAATTCAGTCGTGTCTAATAATACGCTATTGGTTCCGTCGTTACTCGCCACGCTGTATTTCTGTTCAAATTGTTCCGCTTGTTCCTCGGTCGGGTATTCTTGGATATCATTCTTTAACGCGTGCGACTCCAACAACTTCTTTTGTATTGTCAATAGGGCCGCTGCATGCTGAGCAGGATCCTGCAATGGTGTCTCCAAGATACGTTTCGGTTTTATTTGTTCGTTGGTACGACGAATCAAGAGCTGCTTCGGAATGAGTTTAAGCGCATTCTTCCCTTCATTCGTTTCATCTTTCGTCGTATGCGTCGATGAGTTTACAGTGGTACTCACGCCATGCTGTTTACCACATGGTTTCTTGGATCCGTACTCTGCAAAAATATCCATAGGTTTTGAGGTGTGTACTTGTGGGCACGATTCATTCATTGGGATGTCGTCAAATAAATTATCAGCGACTTTAATGTCAAAGTTATCAGCAGAATCCTTAGCCTCCAGTTTGTTCAAAATACTTTCCGTCTTTTCACTCGACGCATGTTTAGTATCACGTAGCTTTGTTAATTGTAAAGGTATTCCAGACATAGGAATCGATAGTTGGTCTGCTGCAATTAACATTTCTTTCTTTCTTTTCTCACGAAGCAGAGAATTACAGGAGCTGCTCTCATTAGACACTTCTGCATCCTAGAAAACCAAAAAATGTAACATTTAGATGAGGAAAGATTATTATGGTGATATAAAACACACTCGTGTCAGATGGAAACTTACCTGAGACTTTTGAGAAAGTGCTGGAGAACTAGGACTGTAGAGTTCTAAAGTCTTCTCTTTGAGCTTTACATCCGATTCTAAAATTTCCTTCAGTTGATCTCTAGTTCGATGCTCCTCGCTGGGTTGCTCTTCGTTTGCTTTTGCAGTGATTAAATCTTTTACCGATGATTCTCTACTGTGATAGAGATCTATCAGATCAGATTGAGCCTTTTTCGTCTTTTCAAATTCTTGCTCGCACTTGTTAATCTTGGACCATTCGGCATAATCCTCTTCCCATATATCTTTAGCGTCTGATTTTTCCTCGGACTGAGAGCCCATGTCCCAACGACTCTTTTTAATCCGTTTACTTGGCTTCACCATTAATTTATTCGCGTCTTCCTTGATACTCTTTTCTTCATCGGTTTTCGTCCATTCTCTATCCTTCTCTAACGCGACAATCTCATTAACCTTACAAACTTCCATTTCCTCGGTAGTTTTACGAAAAGCAGATTCCTCCTCAATATCCCAGTCGTCTGTTTTACATTGCTTGCTCTTCTGTTTCCGGAGCATCATCTCTTCTCTCTCACCTTCCTCTTGCTCCTCCTCCCATATTCTTATTGCATACAAACGTTCCTGCCTCTTTTTCATTTCTCTTACACTTTCCTTTTCTATTGCAATATAGGTATCCGTTTTCTTATCATATCTAACTTCTTTCTCCATTTTTTTCGACGAGGCCTGACTGCTTTTTCGTTTGCTCATAATTAGATCTGGTAACGCTTCCAAACTATCCACTTCCCACTCATCCGCTAGAAGATGCTTTGGATATACCTCCTTTTCAAGTTGTGTCAGAGACGGCACGTTTAATGTGTCAAAATCGGTTTCTCCCCACTTCTCTTTCTTCTGCTTTTCTAACTTTTTCAAATACTTGGCTTCGTTTTGTGTTATCTGTTGAGTAATACGCTCACTCGCCTTTTCCCAGTTTGCAAGAAACTCGGTGCTACCTTTAATATCTTTTTCTCTTCTTTTCTTCCTTTTTGTTTCAATATCTTGGTCCGATCCTGCTTTTCCCTCATGAATCCTTTCTTCGCTCACCTTCGCTGATCTATCTTTCTCATGCTCAGTATTATCTCGACTATGTTGCCTTTTCCTTCGATATTTACCTTTCTCTAAGTCGTCCAACTTTTCCAATTCTCCAGTACAATCCTGACTTGAGGTATCACCATCATTTTGTTGCATCATAGAATCCATTTCCCATTGTTCCATAAAACTTTCGTCCGGCTTATTTTCTTTCTCTTCCTTTTTCTGTTTCAAACATTCGTTGTCACGTATACTCATATCAGCAATAGTTTTCTTCGTTGAGGTAACTTGATCGGACCTCTTTCTGTCCTCACCTGCTACTGCCTCTGCTGCTGCTGCTGCTGCTGCTGCTGCTGCTGCTGCTGCTGCTGCTGCTTCTTCTTCTTCTTCTTCTTTAATCTTGCTTACTGGAGTCTGTAATATTTTTGTCCCGTCTGAAGATGAAGCCATTACAGGAGACTTTGATGTTATCTTACTTATATCTCCATTATTAATAGATTTGGCTTCTATTGCCTTCTTCTTGACTCTTTTTCTCTTTTTCATTTTCTTCGCATGTTCGTCCGTGTCACTGCTGTTAGAATCGGTGCTAATCTTTCTCCTACGCTTCTTTTTTATTCGCGCGGTGCGTTTCGTCCTCTTCCTTTTCTTTTCAACTTTTTTCTTCCTCCGCTTTCTTTTCCTCCTTTCTTCCGAACTACTAGAGTCGCTACTACTGCTACTACTGTCCGTGCTGTCTGAATCGGAAGAAGACGAATTACTCAGTGCTTTCCGTTTGCGTTTCCTCTTCTTCTTCTTCTCCTCCTTTTCTGAATCTGACGAGGTGGTGCTGCTAGACGAATCACTGCTAGATGTCATTTTCTTTCGTCTCTTCTTTTTCTTCACCTCTCTAGATTCAGTATTTTCGTCACTCAATCGTTCGACTTTGATTCGAACATTCTCCCAATCACTCGGTATTGATTTGGAATCCTCAGACTCGGCATTCTCGTTTGTACGCTCGATTTGTATATTATTTTCATTGACTTGTATTTGACAGTCCGTCGACAAAGTGGAGTCTTCCGTACATTCTGTACTTTTTACCGATTCCTCTGGAATTTTTTGGTTATCTCCTCTTTCAAATTTTTCCATATTATTTATGCCATCTTCAGCTAAATTAGATTCTATATCAAATTCGTGATAACTATGTGGAGAACTAGATTTAACGGGGGTTTTCTTTGGAGAATATTCTTTAGCCACATCGGTTGTAGTGCATACCATCTTCATAAATTGTTCATATTCTGAAGCTAGCTTTTCATTTCCGGCAGGTTGTGGCACAGAAGACGTCGATGCTTGGTCATCTCTCGTTTTATCCTCGTTGATCTTTTCACTGGATTTATCATCTTTTTCGATGCTCTCAGCGTTGTCATCAATTTTGTCTTGGTCCGTTACACTACAAGTCGTGGCACATCTTTCTTCTTTTGAAACACAAGTTGAATCATTATTATTCCAGAGATTTCAACAACCATGTTATATATGCATGTAAAAAAAAGCACTTACGCTGTTTCACGGAAACGTGCTGCTTGTTTACTGGTTCTTCAACTTGTTCTTTTGTTACGCCGATAGACGATACTTCCTCATCTTCACTGTCCCATTTTGACTTTGGAAGCTGTACGGTCACCTGCCATCCGGTATCTTTGTGACACTTGATTCTATTTATTTGTTGATACCAGTTACGCGTCTTCTGCTGCAGCGTGTCTTCCGTATCGGTCCTGCAATTACAAAGATCTGAATAAGTCAAGGAAGATTTGGATAAACAGGACATTTTGATATACCGTGATAAAGACGCCTCGCATATGTCACGCATCTTCTCGCGACGTTCAGGAGTGACGGCTTGCAAAAGTTGCGACATGTTTAACAAAAGAGAAGCGCGCGGATTTTCACAATACAATAACTGCAATCCCCGTGCTCGTTTCGTCAATTTAATTGATTCAGGTGGATATTTTTTGGGTCCCTTTAATCCCTCAACTATTAACGCTTGACGCTTTAGACGGTGATTACTTAACATTAACATCTGTTCAAAATAACGTGTATAATCTTGTGTTGTTCTGAAAAAAACCAAACAAAAACACATTATTAAGACAGTGTGACAATTTTACTTCCAAAATAATAAATGATAATAAATGTCTTTCCAAAATCACATACTAATGAACTATACCTGTTTTTGACACTCGATTGTTCGGAATTGTCACCGAAACGTCTTCGAAGATGAATAATATCGTCGAGAGTCAAGTCAGATTTTCGTATTTCCGCCCACGAGTTACTCCTCAACAACATCTTTTCTTTCCATTTGTCTTTCTCTCTTTTATCCTTGCCTTCTACTTCCACGTCCAACGTATCATTTCGTTTATCCTTCACACTTTCTTTCTTATTCTTTGTTGCTTCAGTTCTCTCTTTTGTCTCTTCCTGCTTTTCCTTCTCGTTCTCTTTCTTATCCTTTCCGTCATCTTTCTTGTCACGATCTGTCTTGCTACTGTCACGCTTATCTTTATAGTCTTTCTTTTTCTTATCTTTCTTATGCTTTTCCCTATCCTGAGACGATTTTCGCGAAAAACGTTCTGTACTTCCATTGCGATTTTTAGCATCCTGACTCGAATTATCTCTATCAATCTTGTCACGCCGTCGATGCCTTATAAAAATAATGAGTTATTCTTGGAAAAGAATAGTGAAAAAAGATATTTGTAATATAAAACTATTACCTCTCTGAATATTTTCGATCCGTCGACCTCTTTTTACGATCACCACCACTTATCCCCTCGTGTTTACTTTTATCTTTCGTATGTCTTGTGCCTTCAAATAAACCAGATGTGTTCTTGCTAACATGATTGTCGTCTTCCATACTTGCTACAAAAGAGTCTCCATCATTGAACGTCTGATTCGATACAATAACAACTGTGAAAAAAGCAATACCTGCTGCCATAGCTTCCGCGAGTAACAATTTACTTTTAGATTCCTCCCTTCGAATTTCTTCGATGGCCAGAATTTTTTCTTCTACAAAATTGTAAATAATAATTTCTCTACCACCAGTGAGGAGAGTAGACTTGTAAATCTTTCAAGTATCGACATTGAAAAAGGACTCTAGCACTTATTCCTACTATAAGAAATATTAACCTTGGAATAAGATCTCTACGGGTCTCTAAGAAATATATTATTCTTTTATTAAAAGTATTCTTCCCGTCAAAGCGTGATGTGATATAAAAAATCTATCTGAGAGCATTCTTAGAAGAGTAACAGGAATATAAATTGCAACTGTGTTGTCAAGATGGTTTGCAGCAAAGACAAAAGTTTTGATTGAAATCCTTGAATGAGAAAGTAGAACCGACTTGATCGGTTCAAATGCAACAATCTCTATAATGAAATAATAAACATTTTATAGTATCACCTGTCTTTTTTCTCGATTTATTTGTGTTTGTGTCATCCTGAATAGTCTTATCTTTTGTCTTTAAAGCTCCAGTGGAATGCTGAGACAAGTTGGGCTTAACTTGGGCCTTGGGCAAAGCTTTGAACCGATTGGCGAATGCCATCAATCGTTTTTTGGCTTGAACCTTGCCAAGTACTGGCTTCATTGCCTTTGGACTCTCCAATCTTGACGTATCGCCGTCGCTTATCTGGCCTTTCGTACTATCTGGCGTTTCCGGCATTTGTATGTCTAACAAGGAGATTGATATATCTAGAGTTGGTTCCTCTGGAACGTAGCTTTCTTTCGATTGACAAGCGTCGGTACCATCTTTCTCTAATAATGTGAGAGAAATGGTTGGGTGAGGAATTAAGTCGTGAAAAATTAACGATACGCCTTTCTTACCTGAAAGAGACGGTATCCTTTCTTCCTCTGCCATTGCTGGAGCTTTGATGACCAAAGTTTTAGTTACCTAAGCGCCACGTTATTTAAGTTTTTCACCAGACTTACAAGCTACATTGATTTATGCTATTTTATGGAGCATTATGGAGAAAGGGATAGGAGCGAAAAGCAATGTCGATTTCACCAATGTACAGAAAATAACTCACTGTTGCCTCACACACGCATAGAGCTCAATTGTTTATTCGTGGCTAGCTTTAGCATGGAAAACAAGTAAATCCCCCACGAAATGTAATATGTAATATTTCATACAGACTCGTTTGTGTCGAATATAAACATCTGATGTACAAACAGCAAGGGTGAATAGATAATGTGAAAAAAATATCTGAAATAATCCGAGGACAGAGGCAATGTCTTAGGCTAGGCCAATCTCTGGATGTGGATATTTACCGCAATTCGCGACCTAAATCCTCGATATGCATGACACGAGCGGTGATGTCGACGTCGATGCACTTGGCAAATTAAAATACGGACCCGCAATCGCCACGTAAACGTATCTCGTACCTATTCGGCTCTCGTCCAAGTCAAATGAAACCAATGCGTAAAGCACAGCGGACATGTTGTCCAAAATGCAGGCTGCCAACATGACGCGGGGAGAGAGATAAATAAATGCGTTCCAAAAACCATTATCCAAGTTCCGAGAAATGTGTAGCCAATCAACTCGCAGCTATTGAAAACTCTTGAAAACAGGGTAAATATTTGAAATTTGCTAAAAAAGAAACATTTTTGAAACTAAATTCTTAATAAAATCACCTATTTTCCTTGACTAATTATTCCAACATTTTTATCTCTTTTACTTATAAATATGCAAATGTATTGTACATGAAATAAAAATTACTCTTCAGTAATAATAATATTTTAGCTATAAAAATCCTTCAAATCAGTTACTACTATTTGAATTTACCGCCTAAACGTGCATATGCGATTCCACAACGAGGATTAGGTTAGTACCCGCCATTTTTCTTGCAAATCCTGCCACCAAAAGAGTGTGCCATCTTATTACTGAGAACCGAGATACTCTCGTTGCTCTCGTTGCTCTCGTTCGACTAGGTTAAGTGACTCGAAAGTAATTATCATTCGAGGATATCTCTTTTCCCGGAGGAAATAGAAATCCAGGTAGTAATAATATAATAGCGTTTCCGTCAACGTTGACGACGACGACTAGATTGCAAATATGGAGGACAAATTACGGCAAATGGAAGATGAGATGAACAGGTAATGGGAGCCGATCTGCGCCGCCTATATTATAAACACTTGGAATTGAAATTTTTCTGTCACGCAGATTTGAAGCTGAGATCGGAGGGCAGCTCGTGGCGCCGATTGTAAGACCGGTGATCGGCGCGAACACGTACAATCAGGTCGCTAGACAATTGGAGCAACACGAGCACACGCCAGTAGTCGCGGCCGCTGCGGCAGCGACCCTGGCCTTTCCTCCGATGATCGGCTTCCCACCACCGCCACCGCCTCCGCCTCCTCCTCCACCGCCGCCGATGTTGATTCCTCAACAAGTGGCTCGACAAGGTGTGACATTGCTCCTATCGTTAAATACCAACGTCGCTCCTATCGTTAAATACATTGCGTGCTTACAGGTACGGTCCCTATTACGACATACTCCTCGCCCGCGCAAATAAGTAATCCGTACATGTCGAATATGGTGGACCCGTGTTTAAGCGCAACACCAAAAACCTACGATTCTTCCTCGACGCCGATGATTCATCCGGAGATTATCGAACAAATTATTAACACAAAGATCCCCGAAGACGAGGGTAAGAAAAAGCCAAAGGTTAAAGGGGTCAGTACGGCGGCTGAATTGGCCATCAGCCAAGGAAAAGCGAGCTCCATTATGGCTAACGCCAGTGCCGAGGAGAGCCATCCTAAGGGCAAAGGAAAGAAGAATAAGAAGATTATAAGGACGGCCGGTGGCCAAACGTGGGAAGACCCTTCTTTGTTAGAGTGGGACGAAGGTTCGTAAATGCATTTACCATTTGTAAAACTTGATTATAACGACGATACGCTGTGCAGATGATTTCAGGATATTCTGCGGAGATCTAGGCAACGACGTCACCGACGAGATGCTGGTGCGGGTATTTGGCAAGTATCCTAGTTTTCAAAGAGCTAAGGTCGTCAGAGATAAACGGACTAATAAAACCAAAGGCTTTGGATTTGTGTCCTTTAAAGATCCGCAAGACTTTATCAAGGCAATGAAGGAAATGAATGGTGAGCCAAATATTTATTCCTTTACGACATATGTATAGGAACAAAAAGAAATTTCTTTTAACAATATATTTTCTACGGTATATATATATATATCTTTTCGAATGCTATTCACTTGATATTATTTCTCAAGATATTTTTCTGGAAAATGTATTCTCTCTTTCATTCATCATCAAGGGAGATCTCTTAAAGGTCGACTCGGTCGATACCGCGCTGCTTGGTTTTTATTTACCAAAAGGACCCCAGCCGTACGATATAAACAGCTGCGGTATGGTCCAATACTGTTTTCTTGGTTGCACGGTAGATTGGCCATTTCGTGAGCCGATGCGCGAATGTTCCGCGAACGACATCGAACTCTCGGTCGTTGCACTCGAGTCTTGTCGCTGAGACGCTATTAATATAATACATATATACATATAATACATTCGGTCTACTTGAGAAACATATTGAAAAGACTTACTCGATGTTGTTGCAACAGCGTGATTCGATCGCGGGCCATGCGGATTCATATATAAAACGGAGAAAGGCATGCCGCCGGCACCCCAGCTGCGAGATACGAATACATCTTTCTTCGTCATTTTAGTAGGCATCTGCTTGCTCGTTGCCAAAGACGCTCGAATTTCCCGTCCCGGCTCCTCCAACGTGCCATCTCTCCATGATCTCAACGTAATTTCAGGTACCGGACTTGCAACGTGGCGTCGAGATAGCAATCTACCAAGCGCAACAAGATATACCATGTTTAAACGGAATATTTATGTACGTTGGATGTGAGACGATACATAAAGTAAGAGGGGAAAGTGTACCTTGAGATATCGTCGTCTTCTCTTGGTATAATGTTGTATCTTTCCGATATCGGTAACCATCCCCAGCATTGTCCGTCGGAAGAGCACGCTGTCTTGATTACGGGCGCAAGGACATTTCGATTCCAAGTCTTCTTCGCGTCTAATAGTGGCGCCGCATAACCGGTCATTGCCCACAGTCTGTTCAATATCAATACTAGAAGCAGTCTCGAAACTGTTTCCATTCTAATCTCGTATTCGCGATATTTAAGCGTGTCGTCCGATTAATTGCCAATTCTCGGTATTATCGTTGCATCAACGAAATATTGCGTTTATGCAGCCTCGTCTCTCTTCTGAAAGAAATAATAGAAACAATTTTGGAAAATTTCCAATCGCGCGAGAATCCGACAAATAATCAGTCTTTTGGAATACCATGCGTTTGACAACACATTTGCCGAGTCTCGTTAAAATAAGTCTAGTGCATATGTCTATTGGTATGAAAATATTTTCTATTTGCTTTTCGACTGGATAATTCATTGTAGGTGAATTTCCAACACTCCTGAAAAAATGGATGACAAACGCATCGTCGAGGAACGCCCCCGTGTCAACGTTTTAGCGGTGCGTATCGTGACATCGTCCGTATAGGAAATTGGAATTGGTTTCGAAGCGAATGTTTACGGGTAGAAGTAACGCCAAGGAACGCGTTCAACGTGCAAGCGAGTCCTTTGCTATCCCCGCGCTCGACGCACCATAAAGTTCATAGACCCGTTTGTTACTCGGCGAACATTAATCATCGCCACAATGGTGACTTTGTCGACAGGCGGGTATGCTGTTTACCTTCTTCTCTCCCACGAAATTTCTACAACGGCTGATACTATTTATATAACATTCCTCCTAATTTTAGCTACCACGCTACCCGTGTATACACACACACACACATGCGCGCACATCCGTGTGACAACAAGTTAAACGAGCCTGTGGAGGAGAAAGATGTTATTCTTCCACGTTACGTCCAGGCGGAGTAAAAAGGCTACCGAGGGAGGGGTACCCTTTCGCACTGCATCCGAGTCCGCGGACCGGCATTTTCGCGACGGTAATGATGCTTTCTTTTTCTATCGCGACATCGCTTCACGCAGACGACGTGGAACCACTGACATTCAACACCGGAGAAAATTCCGTATCGTGCGGAAATATATAAAAGGCCGTGCCAATTGGTATCGCATTTTACAAAAGCGTTCCTCGTGCAATTTGTCTCGTCGGATAGATTAACAAGATTTTGATTTTTTTTTTTTCAATTGAAAAGAGAACGTACGTTACCTTCGAAAACACGCCGCTCTATCATTCGTTCGTTCGTTCGTTCGATTGACTTACGCGTCCACTTTCTCTCCAAGTGTGCACACACACTTTCTCTCTCTCCCTCTCTCTCTCTCTCTTTCTCTCTCGGAGCAAATACCGGGGCGGTTTCGGTACGGTTTGCCGGCTATCCGTTGGGGTGGATGCGACCAAGTGCGTTGGAAGGCTGAGCGTCCCGCTACTCATTCAACAACCCCTACCTCCTACTACAAATTCTCGTAATACCCCACTCTCTTTGGCGACAGCCAATCGAAATTCTCGGGGGTAGGCTGTACGATCCGACTATTCGCCGTCTCTTTTGTTGTTTTTTTCTTTCCCTTCTTCTCTTTACTTATCGCTACTATTTCTCATCACCGTCGTCATTGTGATTTCTTTCAGATTGTTTCAGAGATGGATTTCTCCTACGGGCAAGAGAAATTGCTCTAGAAAGAATTCGATACGGGTCATTCGATTGCGTGATTGACGGGAAATATCATTGACATTCCTAAGCGCTGTTGCGAGTGCTACACGAGGGGATAACTTGAAATTTTCAGGTGCATTTCGCAAATGATGCAGTTAGCTCGGGTATTACGCGGATTTAATTAAGGCCAGTAATAGCCGTAACAAGTTATAACGTGGCCAACATTTCAACTTTACACGCGGTAACTGGATTTATCCTGACATGGAATGCGCGTGAGAGAGGAAAATCGCCTTGATCGAATTCATTTGGTACGAAATCATTTTAACACGATTAAAAACGATCGATTAAGGACGACTGATAATCAAATCCATGGGGGTGGATGTGACGTATGAAGCGTTAAATCGCTCGTTAAAATACCTCGAAGAGATGGGAGACGATCGAACGAGGAGCATCCGAGGAACGTTGTAAAATGTCGTTATTTATATTCGTTCGCCAAGTTATATCTTCGACGTCGGTAATGTACGATAAAATATTAGCGACAGATTGGCGAGTGGTGGTCAGATACGGTGGTGGAGGGTGCGCACGGAAATTTGCCGAGATTTCTCGTAGGTAGTCGCGGGCATGAAGATGTTCGCGAGCCGACACGTGGGATTCCGTGGAAAGATTTGTCGCGCGGCATAAAATGCCCCCTCGCTGTGTAGGTCTCTTGTAACATTCTAGAACATTGGCGAATGTTGCGGGTATAAATTGCCGTGAAAATTAGTAATTTTCTTCATCAATCTCTCGATTTTTTTAGACTCGAGGTTTATATTACGTTGTGCTACCAAAGGAGAAGACGAAATCGTAAAAGAGCCTCGCCGTGGCTAGACACGTTAGGCAGAAAAAAAAAAGAGAGACTGACAATGAGAGTGAGAGACGTCTGGCAAGGAGTATCTCGTGAAACTGAACGGACGCAACAAGTAGTTTGAACAAACGAGTGAATGAACGCAACCCCAGATTGGAAGACTCTGGATCGTAGACGATGTTACGTACGAGGTGGAGTTCTGGATATGATGAATAGAACGGATATATGATTGCTTGAGGTACTAGCAGGGCCCGAGACTGATCGCTGGCCCGCAGTGCAACCTCGCAAGATCATGATGAAATTTACACATCTGATCCTATCTCCTCTCGGCCGTCCGCTTAAACTTAATATTACAGCTTGTAATGTTGAGATCGATTGAAAAGGAAAAGATTTTTCTGTAACAAATGTAAATTTCGTTGCTCGCGCGATTCGAATCCTACGAGCGACTTAGTTTAAAGCGGTGATTAAACGGAGACTTCCGTTCGGTTTCACCTCCAGCTCTCTCGCGAGAGTAACGAAGAATTCGTCGCGTGGGCGATCGGGATCGGGATCGAGATCATCGAGATCGGGAGCGCGCGAGAAAGAAGGAGAGAACCGAGGTCGTGAGCCTCTTCGGACGTAACGCGTTCTCTTTGGCGGAATTTCTCATTGATGCCTGGCTGTCCGAAAGGATATTTTTGGCCCCGCAAATATTATCTCGCGCGCATCGCGATCTCGGGACGATCGGATACAACTGCAAACACGAGTTACCGCGAGCTACGAACCATCTACTTTCTCTCACTGTCAGTCTTGTGGTTTTCTTCAAATTTCAATGCTGTTTGCATATGAGGGATAGTACCTCTGCCGATGACCGTGATATGCCGTAAAACCGGAAGGTAGAGAGATGACAACGTGACTGGAGTAACTTTGAATGGGAGTTGGTAAATTATTTCAATCAGTAGTATCGAACACGTCGTTTTAGAGTTTTGTGAAATTTCGGAGGAACGAGTGTATTCCGCGGGAGAGATCGATTTCTATTCTTCCTTTCCTGGAATATTTATATAGGTAAGCTTGGTGAGAAAACGTATCGTCGCTTATCACCTGTTGCCGCCAAGCCAGTAAGCTCGGATTTCCGTTATCATCATTGTTGCGAATAGCGCCAGTTGCGAAAATAAAATTGTTGCTTGTCAGATATCTGATTTACTTCATGTATATCGCCACATGTGTAAAAAGAAAAAACATGCCTTTAAAGAGTCTCCACTTGTTTTTCGGATCTTATTCTTCGAGAAAAATTACTTCCACAAGTGTTGATAAAAAAAGCTGTCTGAAATCAAGATTATTTCGCTTGAGAATATCTGCGTGAACGAAAGTTTTTAATTGTTTTTACGTCTGTTCCAGGTCGATACGTAGGATCGCGTCCGATAAAACTTCGTAAGAGCTCCTGGAAACAAAGGAATCTGGAGTCTGTCCGCAAGAAGGAGAAGGAGAAGCAAGCGTTGATCGGTCTGCTCACCGGTCGATGACGAGATGAAATTCCTTTTATTATATATTCCAATTGTCCAGCAACAAAGTTATGTAAACAATCGACGATTGCTGATTTGAACCGCGTCGGACAGGTCACGTCTGTGAATTACAGCGACGATATTTTGTTTCACCGTCAACTATTTTGCAAGAGTATACGTCAATAAAATCGCAATTACAAATTTGTCATATATATCTTGGATCTTGATATATTGTTCTTGTTGATCGTTGTTTCTCTTCGAGAGACAACAGTCTTGTGGCAATGTAAGGTCGATTGGTGCGTAAACAATGGAGATTTGTGATGAAACGAGCGACAAGGGGAAATAGAATGGAAAAATCATCAGCAAGCCCGAATCCGAATGAAGGTGGAGAATTGGAAATTGAGCCACTCGGGGTAGATCGATTCTCTCTTTAGTAGGAATTAACGTCTCGCAAGAGCTGGTCGGTATCTGATCCGTCTCGTCCCGCAGATCTACGAGGGCCAGAGAAATGAGAGTGGCGAGAGGCATGGCGATGGAAAGAGCTTGCTAGCAAACGGCGACACGTACGTCGGTCAATATCGTAACGGGCTCAGACACGGTAGAGGTATCTACGTGTTGAAAAACGGTGCCCGATATAACGGCGATTGGAGAGACGGACAGAAATACGGCCAAGGGACCTTTTGGTACCCTGACGGAACGCGATACGAAGGTACGGAAGAATGTACAAAAATAGGATCCGAATCAGATTCGAGCAAGTGAGCACGCGTTGACACGTCCATATGTATATTCATACAATTATTTTTATGTCGCACGTCAGATATCTTAGAGAAGCTAAGAGTATGCCAGGAATTCGAGGGAGGTGGGTGCGCGCGCGCTCGAGACGCGACCGAAATTCGATGGGAATGCCACAAGTGACATTAAATCAAATGTTAATCTGCTTAGGAGAATGGAAACGCGACGCAAAACACGGCTTCGGAGCCTATTATTACGCGAATAATGACATGTACGAGGGCTCGTGGAAGGAGAATCTTCGCCACGGTATGGGAATGTATCTGTACGCTGATACGGGAGCGAAATTTATGGGTACGTGGGTGGAGGATCGCATGGAAGGACCCGGACAGCTCGTTCATACGCGCTATCGCTTCCACGGTTTCTGGAAGCGCAACTTGGTACGGAATAGGAAAGTAATCCAATTGTTTGAGTCTCAAGTAGGAGAACGTCTTATTAGTTATTTATAAAAGCCTAAGCCGAAGAGATACACGTATCTGATTAATAAAGATATCGCATGATACAGCCGTACGGACGTGGTTGCTTCACCTTTGACAACGTATGCATGCAGCATGGTCATTACGTACACGTGAGAGATTCCGCGTTTGATGGCCCGACTTTGATAGTTGCGCAAGTAAGAAATTCTCTCTCTCTCTCTCTCTGTACCATTTCCTGAGCCTTGAGCAAAAATTTGGTAAATGTAATGGAAATTATAATGCAGGAGAACGACGATGAGGAGGAAAAGTCAGCGTTGAAAGGAACGTCCTCGGGGATAGATGTTCGGCCGATGTGGCGTGCGCGTTGTATCACACCTTACAACCCAGAGTTACTGCCGCCGGAAGCAATGCCCCTGCGAGAGCAAGTAAAGACAACAATCTTGTAATCGGGTGAAGGCGCATTTTAGAGCTGTGACACATTTGTCTCATTTCATGGACATAGGCGACGTCGGAAATTAATATTGAAAAACAAACTCTATATCCGGTTACCTTTGAGGGGGGGATTTCCTTAATACTGTCTGTGTCATCGGAAGCGGAAACGGATTCTTCCGGTAAAATGAATTTTAATCGACCGCCTTGTACTAACGAGGACTAGCGAGTATCCGGTCTCTATTTCCAGCGCGTCGCCAGACTGCGCGTTTCCGTATAATCATTAATAGAATTACGATATCCGGACAGGCTAGTAGCCGTCTTTCTTTTCAAACCGTGTTTACGTCGCTTCTCGTTGCTCTGACACGTATCACCGGCGTATCCGGGATTAAAACCTAACGTGACGCATCCCAAAACGTTTCAACCTGACACAAAGTTGGCGTAGGTGTCAACGGAACCCTCAATCACCAAGGGCGAGGGGTACTCGGATTATCCGGGGGAGGACTATCCTGGAGAAACATCGCCCCGAATCGACAGTCTTCAATTGCAATAAAATAGATGAAACTCTCAAGCAGTCAATCGATTTGCAAACATACGTTCCTCGCATTGTATGTCAACTTGCCGCGCGGGTGAATAAAAGAAAGCGTGCTTTTAAGCGCTTTATTTAGGAAATTGTAACAACGAATGTGTGTACGCCATGCAAAACGTAGGAATGCTATTACATCGTCAGAAATTATTCTCGTGTTTACATTGTAATAATATAATAAATGCAAGATACCGTCTTTGCGCGCACGGTTGATAGCGCTATATACACGCACACACGCACGCACACACACACACACACACACATACTGATATATATATGTACTCAATATACTGTATATATACTCAAGTCTCATACATTATTTACACTCTATCTCCAGTTGGTGCAGTGTCAAATGCTGCGACATTAATGTTACTGTTAATGTATACATATACATGCAGGTTTGTATATAACGCGGTGGAATTATATACATATATGTTCAACGTGTTAAATGCGAAATTGAAAGCGCAAGCTCGGTTATTGTTAATCATTATGCGAGCGCAAGCACAAGTTGATGAGGCGCTGTGACACAGGCACAATTATATTCTCCTGACGTGTGCCTGCGCCCAAGTTTACAGATTGACGTCTACGCCTAAGCTTACGCCTCAACACTCGAGTTTTATGCCGAGAGAATAATTTACCAAACTGAGTAAGGACTGAGAGAGGAAGACGTAAACATCAGTCGGGGAAAAGCTGACAAAGTTATAGGAAAGTGGAAGGAACAGTAGTATAAAGTTATTTACAGCGATATTCGTAATATATCTGATAATAGAATCGTTAATCGAATCACAGATTCGTCGTGACGTGACATTAGAGACATACGGAGCGTGTTGATTTTTTTTAAAAAATAACAAGCTCCAGCAATACTAGCGAATACTGCTCATTTGTAGCTTTCTAAAAGACATGTTTCAAAGGGAAACGCATACATTTAGGCGTCTTTCTAATCGATTGCTTCGCGCGACTTGTTTCTTGCAAGAAAACGAATCGTGTCAAGAGACACAAGAGATCTATAGAGACGTAAAAGGACGGAGGAGAGGGCGAATAAATATAATAGATACAATTGTCGCGTAAGAGATCGCAGTCTTTTGAGAATAAAGTTACGAGTCACGAGTATAAGCGTGCTATCGAGTCGAGTCCATAAAGTTGACAGAGTGCTTAACACAGATAAAAATGTAGTGTTATCGAGAGGACGATGCGACGACTAACATCCATATCGTAGAATTATGTTAGACCGTCGTACAAAAGCGTCATCAGCGCTGATGTGCTAGCACTTTGGTCTGCGGCTCCGCGTCCACTTGGCACAAGGTTTAAAAAAACTTTGCGAATAACGCGACGTACACACAGCCCTTGATTTCAATTTCTCGCGGCGCCGCGAATCTCGCAACAAATTGTCGAATAACTACCGCGTTCGTTCGTCTAGTGTGCGTTTAACGATTTTCTTCGAAATAGTCGTTTAAGCATCTCAGGTACGTAAACGTGGACGAAATTTGTGCACTCGTTTCGGCGGGCAATGTGCCACTTTGTGTGTCGCTTCGCTCCCACAATGCTCTTCCTTTTGTGCGGCATTTATATACAAGTTGGAGCTTTCGGTTTCGTCGTCGTTGTCTCGATATTTATCGATCGGTGTCACATCGACGAGTGTCCCCGCGAGACAAATCAGAGAGTGCCATTATCCACGGCGTCCTGACCAAGTAGATGTTAGATGCGCGTCATTTCGGAGACACAAAGCGGCTAAACGACGCCATCTCACATCAGGTCCGACGGTGGTCTCTGAAATGCGATGCTAGCTACGGAGATACTGCACAGCCCGGCAGTTATAATACCCATGCATATGTAGACCGACGTGATTAGCCAGAAGGCGAATAAATACAACGTCTTATTGCAATACTTTCCCAGTGCTGGGTCATAGTTTGGCTCGTACTCCTTGTACACCCACATGGAACCTGTAACAGAAGAGAATCGCAAATGAAACTGGTAAATGAATCGACAAAAACGAAAAGCGATAGATATATATATATCACTACCGATTATGAACCATCCCAGCATGAAACAATTGATGAGAGTTTGCGTAGGCGATTGCCTGATTCTCTCTTCGTCTCTTTCCTCTTGGCGTTGCCGCACTCTGGCTGACAAAGTTAACAGTTGCTTAAATACACCAAATCCACCGCCTACCAACAAGTACACGGGAATGTATTCACCCTGTGGACAGTCGTAAAGGTACAGTCCACCGATCACCATCATGCAAACTGGTACCACTATCGTCACTCCAAGAATGATGGTGCACCCGACTGGAAAATGTCAATTTCATACATTTGTTAAATGGACTTTTAACACAGATTCGACCAACATTGTCGACTTACTTGTGCCCAGGAGCAGGACAACGATATTCTTTAAAAAGTCAAATATGCCTTTGGATATTTTGCGGGCCTCCCTCATCCGGCCAAAGAGAGAGTCATAGGACGGCGGTGGTGCTGGAATGAAGAGAAACCGAGGGAGAGATATGCGTACGATCTGCACGGGTAAGGTGTCGCGACACAACGTACCGTTAGGATCTATCGCTTCCTCGTACGAGGGTGGCGCGCCACGCTCGTTGGTCAACGTGGAGGGATGGCCAAGGGGTAAATTGATGTTGTGATAGGACGGCGGCGGGGTGCAGCAGGTCGACGTGCTCGTGCCGGGATTGACGCTCTCCGCCGTCGCCGTCGCCGTCGCCGTCGCCGAGGAGGCACTCGCGCCGCCGCGACTTATCGAGCTCAGAGGCATCTCCTCCCGTATGGTGCCGGTCGCCGTCCTATTCCAATACATATGGACTCGTTACCAGGACTGCGCGCCAACTGCCCACGCCCGCGGCCCGTCGCTGTTTACATTTGGCGAACGCTGGCCTCTATAACCTAAAAATCCCACTTTCAGAGCTTGTTGTTGCACCTCCCCTCCAATGCTCCAATCCCGACGTTTCCGGAAGCGTCCCGAAAAGAGACGTTGAGGCAGCGAGTCTCCGTTCCCCTACTTTTGCCCACGATCCACGATCCACGATCCACGCGATTCCTACGGATCTCGCACGGCCGCACTCTGCGGCGTCAGCAGGCGTCAGCTGGCGTCACCGACTCCACACACATTACCTCTCGAGGGACAATTTTTATTAATATGCGTCATCATTCCTTCGCAAGATTCGACAAAAAGGAATAAAACACCTTCAACATTTCCTTGACAAAATTTCAAGTGGGCATTCAATTTTCTGCGATGTCATCCAAGTTGGCCGTAATGCGCGAAAAATGAATAAAATAGTTGTATTGGGCAAGGGAGAGATCAACAAATTAATTGGACTATTATACGCGGTGCGACGTGTTGACATTTGCAAGAAATGACGTAACATAATTTTTCAAACTCAGATATTTGCGTATCTACAGCGTATAAATTATATATATGACATACCATATATATGTTTCTTCGGTTAGCGAGTGTTGTTGAGCAAAACACACCGGATAAATCATTATTTGATAGCCGTGTTTTTCTCCAATTGTAAATCTAAAACAATAGTAAAACAATAGATTTTGTAACACAATTGTCATTACTGTGCAATATATTGACTGAGCACATTTTTATTTTGCTACTTTTCTCAACTTGCTGCGAATGTTTAACAAAACATGATTGAACGCCGAATGTAAAATAATGACGTGGTTGCGACATCGACACAAAGATGAATAAATCGGCGACAAGGTTTTCGCTACAAAACTACGTTAACTTCCGCCTATATATATCAGTCCTCTTTGATTCGTCGAATCTCTCTCATCATTCTTGTACGAGAAAAGTGCCCTTTGCCCTTGAATCTCCGAGAAGAGAAGAATCCGAATTGACCCGATAACAAAATAATTCGTTATGTAGTTAAAGTCACATTATGTCGCGACGGCAACTTGTGTTTACATTGTGTGCTTGCATAAACTTTACCACGTTAATTTGTGTCTCCGCACAAATTCCTAGACCGAATAACAACAGCAAGACCATTAGCCATGCGCCGCCCGCTTATGCTATTGCTTCGGTAGCTTCGAGTCTTCTCAACTCGACGTTGTGTCAAGAGGAATTACTCAATTTCCGAAATGCTGTCGATCAACGAGTACTCTGGAGTTTGAAAAGTATGTAATATTTAATATGATAGTGAATCGTCAATTTATTATAATAATTCTTTGTAAATAACGTTTGTCTTCAAGTGTTGGATTCTAGCGGGGATTTTCAATCAGGTTTCTTTTATGGAAATAATTATTGGCTGGGCAGTCGTAGTCAGTGCATCGATACGATGAGTACTGTCCCTCTGCAGATTTCAAAATCGCGCCTATTAAACAACACGCTGTATCGTGATCCACAAAAGGAGATTCCGCCTTTCAAAGTAAATTACTATGCTGCCTACTTAAAACACAACAGTACTCTACAGTACCACGTAAATTTCCCTAACGAAGTAAGTTTTAATGTAATAAGTTTAATGTCAAAATGCGTAGGTTTAAAAAGTGAAGAATGTACTAACATTGATAAGAGCCTCAAAGTTAACGTACGCGCCGTGTCAAATTTACAATTTTGTCAACTAATTTTACCTTATCGTAATGAGAGTATTGATAATTATTGGAAACGCAAAGTAAAACAAACGAAAAATTTGGCAAAGTAATTTCTCAATGCGCAATATAAATTCAACTCGCCACGTATGCCATCGGACATAATAATAAATATTAAACATAAAAATGACGTTGAAGGATGTGGCGGCTATAAAAAAGGTCAAGTAACGAAACTTTGTCATCACCAAGAGTCGTCGTGAAAACACTTTTCAGAATTTTCAGAATTAAAAGTAAATGTCACCCATGTGTGTGAAACTGTAACGCTAAAACGATCATCTTTTCAGCATACATCGAAAGCTATAATTGTTGTTAATTATTTACCGAACATGTGAAGCTATTATTCTATTCTAGGATATAATTACACTCGGACTTTGTTTACCAGCATCGTGCTCTGTACATGACATAAGTTTCATTCTGAAAAGAATATTCCACGACAGAGTTCTTTTAATTAATGGTCTTTACTCCGCGGACTTGGAGCTGATCCAAGTTAAAACTCTCAAAAACGATTATAAATGGTTCAATGGTGCTGCACTTGTCATTTGGTACGTCAAAAAAATGGTAAAACAATTAATAATAGAAATAGTTAAATCTGCAGTGCAACATCGAAAAGATATTTCCCATACGATTTATATTTACAGCGTTATTTTAGTGCTTTCCGTTTTAATGGTAATAATCGGAACAATATACGATCGATTTGTCAGTTCAAATGAGGAGAATAAAATTGACACTAGTGAGTATATCGTTATATTGAAGTAAAAATGAATAATAAAATTTCTTTATAGCCATGCATGTGAGATGTAATCGAATTCGGTAATTCATATATGTATTACCGCGGAGCATTGTGAGATTTCCATATATTTATGTTGTATTAATACCGTTCTGAATTGCAATTTAGATGGAAACGGTACAGTTGAGGAAATGGAAATGGAAGTAGCTTCGTCTTCAGAGGAAAGTAAAATTGGCAAAGTATTAATATGCTTCTCCGCTTACGCGAATACAAAAGTCATATTTAACACGAAAGTGCACGCCGACACCCTGCCTATTATTCACGGCTTAAAATTTCTAAATATGTGTTGGCTAATCATGGGTCATACCATATTATACATGATAGACTACATCGGCAAGTAATTTGCAAGTGATGTTGCAACTCTTGTTATTCACTACACATAACACAGATATTGTTCTTCCGTACATAGACAACAAAATATGGACTCTGAAATTCACCGCCGGTTTCATCAATCAAGTAGTAACCACCACACCCATAGGAGTTGATACCTATTTCTTTTTAAGCGGACTTTTAGTCGCCTATTTTTATATAAAAGATAAAATGGACAAAGGTCGAATACAACCACTCACTTACAAAGCAAAGTTGAATGAATTCTTCGTCCTTGTGACAAGAAGATTTATCCGGTATGTTTTTTGTTAGCCTGACAGCAAAAAAGCGATAGCGATAAAAGGTTTCTTCTTTTGTACATGTCCAACACTTGATTTTTAGGCTGACTCCAGCTTATATGATGGTACTAGCGATATCGCAATTAAGCTCGGCTTGGTTCAACGAAACCTCGCAATTTTACGTACACGAGAGGCCACACGAGACCTGTCCAAAGTACTGGTGGAGGAATCTTCTGTACATAAATAATCTGTTCGGTTTAAAAACAATGGTACGATAATACGATATATTTAATTTAGCACGAAATTACATTTGACAAATCCTTCTTTCTTTTCAAGTGCATGAGTTGGAGTTGGTATTTATCTGCTGATATGCAATTCTTCAGCATCGCTGTTGCGCTGTTAATTTTGTCGACAATGTAAGTTAACTAAGGAGGGTTGTATATATAGTACGTAGTACAACATAGCCATTTGACTGAAATTAATTCGAAATTTCAGATACTTTTACATAGCAGTAGCTATATTGGCTGCACTCTTGATAGGCTCGATTGTTCTTACCGGTTATCTTTCGTACATTTACGAATACGTCCCGACGTAAGTTATTCAAAGGTCTTGTTGATTAAGGTCATTAAGGAAATGATTAAAAGCCATCCTTGTCGTTACAGGCTAGATGAACAGTACAGGCTTGTAGATGTTTTATACCTCCCACCATGGGTCAGGATAACTCCATATATTGTCGGAATGATTACCGGTTATATTTTAACACAACTCAATGGAAAGTTGCTTTTGAAAAGGGTAAACGTTTCATTTCTATACATATAATTGATACATGTAAACATTTTATCTATGACTATATAGCTTTAGAAATAATTATGCTTCAAAAAGCGTATTGATTAATTTAATGTAAATTTTAGAGGACTATCATTTTATGTTGGTGCCTTGGTAGTGCTTGCAACATTATCGTGTTATTTAGCATGCACCAACGACAAATACCCATTCTACCGTCTGCTATTTATATCGCATTGCACAAAGGCGTTTGGGCTGTAGGTATAGCATGGATCGTAATAGCGTGCCTTACTCAGCACGGTGGTTAGTTCATTTAACAATATTTTAGTCAATCTTTATCAGATCTATTATACACATGTATGTAATTTTACTTTTAATTTACGTGCCAAGATACACTTTTGCAATAATGTGAATAGTAACATAAAAGTAATTTATCTAAATGTATCATATCTATACTAATTATCAAATCCTCTACAGGCATCGTTTGTCAGTTCTTATCGTTTAAAGGCTGGGCTCCTTTCAGCAGACTGTCCTATTGCGCTTATCTTATAAATCCTGTTGTTATACAGTCGTTTCGTCTGCTGAGTGAAACATCTGTTCATTTTGAGTTTATACCCTTGGTAAGTAAACGGACATCCTAAAATTCTCAAACAATTAATTTGTTATTATCGCAACTTTTTGTTTGCAGACCATCTTCTTTGTGGGATACTGTATAATTATTTATTTGTGTTCTTACATATTGTCCTTGATAGTAGAATCACCGTATATCTTGCTAGTGCGAAGAACCATGCAAGCTCGCAGTAGAAGAAAGTATAAGTGGCGTAACAGTGAGAAATTGTAATATTGCAAATGTAATTGTTAATAAAATCAAATATGACGTCAAGTAATATCAATCTACTTTTTCTTTACGTAAAGCAAGAAACAACATTTTACACTTGGTTTAAATTCTCAATAATCGTCAAAAAATCCTGGAGATATAACGTACTAGCTACGATCACGTCAACTTTGAGTTGACAAAATTTCACTTTTCATTTCGTTGCTAAGAAAAAAAATTATATGATCGCTAGCATGTTCCTTAGTAATTTTTCGAGACAATTTGTTTTCCAGGAAAACAACTGGAGAACCATTCAAGATACAGGTCAACAATTTATTGTGTTCTTTTTAATATCATACATACGAGCATATTTTCTAGCATATCATTTAGCACAATCACAAGATTCTTTCAAACATCCTTGAATCTTGACAAAGCTTTCTTTTCCATCATTGTAGATTGATGCACATTTTTGGGGCTCCAAACTTGAACCAACTATTATGTAAATATGTAATAAAATTTCACATATCAGTTATACAGTACAAAAAAAGTTTCCTTTCATCTTTATAAATTAATTAACTAGACTTACATAGATATTAATCTTTTCAGATTTTGAGTACGCGCGCGCGCGTGTGTGTGTGTGTGTGTGTGCGTGTGCGTGCGTGTATACACGCGAAACGTTGCCTGTGGTCGTACGAGCGTGTACACGTGCTGAGCTTTTTTTTAATTTTATCTTTGAAACAATTTTTATAAATAAATTTGTATAAATAAATAACAAGCTGGTGAAAAATGCAAATATTTCAACACAAGTCCTCCACCGAATACTTGGTAAACTTGACATAGAAGAGCACTCCAGTTATTGTTGATCGAGTTCCGGTTCATGTAAAATACTCAGCATCACGCTGCTCCATACTCAAAGGATTAAAAAGATATAAACTAAACACAGGATACTAATTGAAAAGCTAAAATGTAACGTTACGGTACTAAATTATCCAAATAAATACATACTCGGATACGAAAATGTGCACATATAAACCTACATATTCATTACGAATATAAACTGGAAACATGTAATAAAAATGAATTGTAAAAAGATTTTTTGCAAATAAGAGTTTTTGCAAATAAAGAACTCGCTATATGGAATTGGCATACATGACTTGTACGATATTCATTGATAATAATGTCTATCCAGATATAGCAGTTTTCACACGAATAAAGTCCTCACTGAATTCGTATGTAATATTAATAAGAATTCGTGTGCAATATTAATAAAATTGCAAATTTCAATAACTCCAGTTTTAGCAAACCGTTTGCAAATCTGCATTCGCAGTTCAACATTTTCACGTGTAAACTATAAACGATAAACGTCTGTAGATTCTTTTTATTCGGGAATACACTTGCATATGCGTTGAATGAGAAAGGAAATGTGAAATACATAAAAGTGAAGAATATTAAAATTTTACCATTTTAAAAACTTTGAAAATTATATACAGGTATAGCTCAATCGTCTAACAATTCCAAAATACGACAATCTGTTCCAGGTGATTTCAAGTATATCAAAAGTATCTAAAGTATGAATCGATATTGTATATTGAAGGAGATATTGGAATAATATGGACTTACTTAATACTGGATACTAATTTAAAATGCAAAACTTAATAATTTTGCTTCCTTCGTTTCTTCATCAAATATCATCGATCAATCGTATCCTTGTTGTTGTTAAAATTGTTATTTGCATTATTGTAAGCTATTGGAGCGTCAGGTACATTTTCGTCATTTTTGTCAAGACTTTTGTTAAAACTTGAATTTAGACTATTGTCAAAACTTTTACTCGTCGTTGGTTCAACATTATGGCTGTTAATAAGATTGGGTTCTGTGTTTAATGTCGTATCACGGACACACTTGCGTATTTCGTGACCAATAGCAGCTCCCAATGATGGTGGTACTGCATTACCGATTTGTCGATGCTTATCAGTTATTGAACCGAAAAACCGATATGAATCAGAAAAGCCTTGGGATCTTGCACACTCCCTTACACTGACCACTCGATTTTGCACTGGATGCAAGACACGACCCTGAAAATTAATTACATTTTACTTATCGTCTAATTGTATGCTGAATTGATGAGATTGTTGATGAAAAAGTATCGAAATATCAATTCATGTCACATTTTGTTCATTACTTTAGATACTGGATATGCATACCTGTTTACCCATTGGTTCCGGATTAGTAACAGTTGTGCTGAAAAATCCATCCCATAAAATTCTCCCGTATAAACCCCTCCAATTATTATGTCGACTCGAGGTATGCGGCAAACACCATGGAATCAAAGTATTAAATTGCTTGTCGGTAGGATCGCATGGTTGACCACTGCTACAACTACATACTCCGCGAAATGCATCCGTTGAGCTTTTCCCAACTTTTATATCATTGTGCGTATATTCTCTAAAAGACAAAATTCAGATTTGGTTCAGATTTGGCTCAGATTTGGCTCAGAGTCAGTTGATTATAATAAAGGATAAAGATGCTAGACAGCTCAATGCTAGATCAATCGCTTATCACGCAAAAGATCCGACCATATGTATGTCACTAAGAATTCCAAGTAGGAAAACATAATAGTATGTGTGTGACAGAAAGTTGAAACAAAATAAATCCAAATAGATACTGCACGTACAATTTCTTGGAAAAGGTGCCATCACTCAATTGCACCACAATGTTCGGTAGATCACGCCAATCGGAATTGCTTTTAGTTGGAATGTAGCTCATTCGTGCTTCTACAAGCGGAGACATTTCTTTGCATATGTGATCTGTCAATATAGATCGATACGGTTTACCCCTCATCTGGAATAAATAAATGAGTAATGTTCGTTTCCAAACATATACCAAGATGTCTTTCTACAATAGTACCATTCTCTGAAAATGTGTTATCGGTTCACCACCATAAGACATTTCCTCTATTCTGGAACCACTTTTAATTTCCGGTAAATCGTACAGAGCATCTTTTACAGTGACTGTTCTGTATGGAGCAGACTCATTCCGAACACAATTGGTGTCATACTATAATATAAACATAACGTACATACTTAATTAGTACAAAGAAGAGCTTTATTGCTTGCAATGCGCGATTGTCCCTACATTGTGATTGTCGCAAATTATATGTATACCGTTATGATATATACACACATACATATACACCTTACCTTTTTATTATCTATCATTACAGTCGACGAACAACATCGTTTACTGAACACATGCGTAGGCTTTGGATATGTTGGAAGTATCTCTCCAGGTGCAGCGGCTATTAGTATCATTCTACAAATCGATAAATCATCGTTAATAAAATGAAACTAGACTACGCTATCAAGCAACATTGTCATCATAAATAAAGGGAAAGAAATGAAACCTTCTTCTTGTTTGTGGTATCCCATAGCTTCCAGCTTGAACGATACCAAATGCACACTGATAACCCATACGAATGAGACATCTTAAAGTTAATTTCAGCACCATACTTTTTTTACAGAACACAAAATTTCGCACGTTTTCCATCACAAAGAATTTCGGTCTATAATAATCGCAGTAAGCCAAAGTCGTAACAATGAGAGAATTTTTAAATAGTGAGTATTGTCGCAAATTGAAACGATTCATGCCACTGAAACCCTGACACGGTGGTCCACCACACAAGAGTTCAATATCTCCTTTCTGGGGAAGTTTTTGGCCAATGTCATCGACACGATCGCCCTGAGAAGAGGCAGAAAACAATTTTTTTTTTTAAATTAAATTACATTGTATTATAAAGAGAATTCGTTATTTAACGTGATAGAAATTTACATTCATCACTCTTTGTAACAGCTGATTGGAATCCATCGAAAATACTGTAGTCTTGGGATTGTTCAAGCGATATGCATTTGCCGCAGCATTTTCTTTTTCAATAGCCCATAGGCTTTCGGCTACGCCAGCTTGATGCATCCCTTCAGATAATCCTGTTAAAGAAACGTGATTGAAGTATGCAAATGAGGGATTGGAGAGGCGAAAAATGAATACTATGTTATGTACCTCCACAACCAGCAAAAATGTCCAACATTCTCAATCGTCTTGACATGGTAGAATAGTCTACGGCTGTCTCAAATTCCTGCTTCTTTTCAATTCTTTCCGCTTTCTTTGCTATAGATTTACCCTTTCCCTTTCCTTTTCCGAATTTACTTGTATTAATAATATTATAAGGCGGTTCATCGAATGTTTTTTCTTTAGGATTATATGCTTCAGTGAAATAGAATCTATTTGGACCGCCCATAGACCATTCTTCAATGGACTCGCTCATATTTTTAAAGTAGGCCAAGTAGCATTTACCGACAACCATGGAGAAATTTACGCTGCATACTGTACAGAAAGAAAATACGGAGCATTTGAATTATTTAAAAAAATCTAGATAAATGTAAATCTTATGCCAGATGGATACACTTTTTATAGAAGAAATGTTACACTAGAAAACATTACAATACTAATATTGTCGATAACATAAAATAACTTGTTGAAGCGTTACAACTTACTATCGTTGCTCCAATAGACCATGTTAATGTCCGATTGTTCCATCAGTGCTAAATCTCGATGAGTATTCTCCGGTCTGTACATTTTATTCACTTTAATGCATATGTTCGAGGGCGACACTAATGCATCAGTTGTCGTAGCGTATATTGTGTTAATGTAACCAATATAAAAAGGTTCGGGTGTATCAGCATTTGAGAATGTTATTTTGTCATCTCCTTTTCTATAAAACTCCGGAAACATATCTTCGTCTACAAATTTGTTCCTTGAACCTTTAGGCTCTTGGTATATTCGTTTATACTTAAAGTCGAAAGCATGTGGGTAGAGGAACACCGCACTACCGACTCTATACTCTTCACCTTTGTATTTTATCAACTCGTAAGTCACTTCTTTACTGCTTTTCTCTTCTATTCGATTATAGACCTAGATATTAGATTGTCGAGAATATAAGTGTCGATACAGATTTATGTTTTAATAAAGTTTAAGAGATTCAATCTCGTTACCTTAGGTATACCGTGTTGCGTTGACATTGCCAACCGGATGCAAGAAGGACAGAATCGATGTGTGATGTGACTTGGACATTCCGGATCGGGTAGTGGATCCGCAAATCGGGCATGTTCAGGATCATATTTCATTTGATAAAAGAATGTCTTACCATCTGTATCCTTTATATCATTATCTATATCCATGTCACCTGTAATGTAAAAAATTACGTCAATGCGATTATGTATGTAAATATACAGAGACGAGATGTGTGGAGTGACGCGTGCATTATTGCGAAAATAACCGACGTGTCGCGACGTGCCACATACGCTTGATATTTCTTGAGCCTTGAGTTTAGAAATGTGGAGGAAAGGAAACACGAGTTGTCTCGTAAGCCACATTAGGTTGTTAGACTGATGAAGAAGCTAATATTCTCACCTAGTTCCGACCAATTCTCGGGCGCTTTTTTATGGATAACCGTTGCCTTTGATCTAATGGACGTAAATGATGCCTCGCAACATTGTCCACTTAGGAATAATTCCGTAGGATCCGAAGTTTCACCAAGTATGGTATCGGTGCCTCTATGAAGACGGTTTGCATGAAATCGTCTCTCTCCATTCTCGTTCTCCCACATGAACACAACTTTGCAAATTTTTAAAGGAATGGACGGATCTCTAGGCTCTAACAAGACATAGTCGTTTATTTCGATTTTTTCGTTTCCCACCGTAACTGATTTATAATATGTTTTCTGCCCATCGACGATCTTATCTTCTTTCTCCCATATTATATCTTTCTTAAGTTCTTTAAAATCTTCATTTTTACTTTCTCGATCTTCTTGTGCAGTTTGCTCCTCCGTTAGATTATCATACTGCTCTTCATTCTCTGGGTCAGAATCATCTGCTTCCTTTGTAAAGAAACACGTAATATCGTTGTAGTTTCAATGAAGAAATACAAGTAAAAGGATTTAACAATGGAAATAATACCTGAATTGCCAAATTTGGACATCTTCTTCTAATGCACGCTTGCTTAAGATTGCCGGTGCCTCCGAATTTCGGCATATTTTTACAATTGTAACATTCACCACAGTCAGGTTGCTGACAGTTATCGCAAACACCACATCGCTGCCTCCTTGGGAGTTGCTAAGGAATAACAAGAAAATACTTGACGAATGTACTAGAAATAAAATATATTACGATGCGTACCTTGTTCTTATCAGTGTGCTTGGCAAGTTGGCCAGCGAAAATGTTTTCAAACATATTGCTAACCAATTTTGTCGTAGTAGCCATTGACCAGGCAAGCTCTTTGCCTCTCCGCTCGCGTCTACCTACACGTATGGCCGATTTCTTACCCAGAGTCACGCCAGAGAGTCTCATGAGAGCTCGCATACACGGAGCCGTAATGAATAGAGTATCGTCAGCGGTAGCACAATTATCTAACGAGACAACTTGATCGCAAATGAATTGCGCATGGCGCAACAACGCGTCTTCCGTCAAATTGATCGTGTCGTTGGGCGGTGCCACTGTCTAACGATGAAAGAATAGGATTGAAACGTTTGGCGAAACAACGAGTAGGAAAATGTGAGATGACAAACCTACTTGGAGCTTGTTTAACAAGTCTTCGTAAGATGGATTAATTTCGTCGAGCAAAAACTCTATTACCAATTTGCTCATATATATCTTCTCTTTCACAGCATCCATGAATGGTGCATAACTTTCAGACGGTTCCATCAAGATATATTCGGCGAATGCAGTGCTGAAACCTACCAATGCCAATTCTCCACCGTCGAATCCAGTGACATACCATTCGTTTATCGGACCCATATCTTTAGTCGGTATACCTCCCTCGGGTGAAGAATTATCCTCGTAAATAGCTTTCATGTATCCCGAAAAATATAACAGTACGTTTTTCTCGACGAGTCCTGTGTCGAAAGGACACAGATGTCCATTCATATCATAAACGCTAAAAGGAAACGTGTATTAATATCATTAATATTAATGTTTGTAATAGGAAATTTGCTTTATATGAGAAAGACTCACCTAAAATGAGTTAATTTATTCTGCGGCCTCTCGTCGCTTTCGTTTATATAAGATTCGTCTCCAATAAATAAGCACAACTTGGGATCTGTTAGAGCTACCTGTTCTTCGATCGCACCATTTGGATGGCCTTGATACAATTTGATATCATTATTCAATTTCTGTTTACAGTACTGGCATCGCTCCGTCGTAAGAGATGTCTTTTTATCTGGAGATATCAATTCAGCCTTTCTATTATCCTCCGTTCTTATTCTCTTCTCCGGGTTCTCCTCTTCATTAACTTCCGGATCGTGATTTTCCTTATCAAACTCTAGAGTAGCGCTACCATTCGTATCCGTTGCCATTGCACAAAGATCGGGAACTTTGTCCAACACAGACGGATCTGAATGCATATTGGAATCTAATTGAGTTTGTTCGGTTGCTCCGTCCGATTCCGTATTGTTGCGCTTACTGTTGCTCCGAAGTATTTTCTTTCTGCTGGAACCTGCTTCGCTCTCTGTACAATATTACAATAGACATTGACATAGGGATAATTCTTCTCAATGTGAAATCGAGCTCACCTCGAGGTTCGTCTCTCGCGAGCCGGGTAGCGATATTACGCTTCGGCACACGACGCCTTCCGCGAGTCATCGCGACCAAGAGTAAGAGGAGGACTCGTCCGCTTGCGCTCCCTGGTTCCCGCCAACGTCCAACGTCCAACGTTCAACGTCGGCCGGTGGATATCACCATACGGTTATATTTCCCGCCTAACCGAAAACATCCCGCTGTTAGATCTATCGGCCATTTCCACAGACTGCCGTCCTTACCTCTCGATCTATTCCATCTATTCGATCTATTCTATCAGCGATACCACATATTTTAACATCCTTTTACGTTGAGCGTCGATGCAGGGCTCCTTGATAAACACATAGTGCGGCACGGTTATGTATGTAATCGTAGCCGATTGGCCATCTGGTGATATCAGTGTTGCTAACGCTACCGCTTCTCTTGGCGCGCATGCGCCTACGAAAATTGTATCGTTTATTAATATCAATTAAGGACCTTCCGATTCATTAGTTCACTGGGAAAACTCCAAGCTGTCATTCATTATTATCTCTTATATTCTTCTCTTTTCAAGCCTTTTTATTTTACAAAATATTAATATGAATTTTCACTTCTAGTACTTTATTCGAAAACCTAGGTCAAGCTTGACCGCTTCAAGTTTGCAAGCGCGCGTGTATAAAAGCAGAGAAATCTGACAAGAAAACTTGGCGGAAAGCAATGGCGAAGAAAAGGGAGGACGAAGAGGAGAATTTAAAGAATACAATTGAATTACCTCATCTGCTTTACAAGGTTTTGTGCTACCCAACCAGGGAGATATGAAAAGATATGTTACGTAATTGTATTCTACTTTTTCATCATGATGTAATCAAACTGATCAATATTTTTAGCTCCATCTTTTTCGTACGAGCTTTAACATAAGCTATTTATTAACAGATTTATCTTTTTAACAATTATTACTATTTCACGTTTAGTGGGATATTGTTTGCTCTCAAACCGACAAGACCAATTTATCATTAAAACTATTACTTCTAATTATTTGTGTGTGTGTGAGCGTGGGACCTCATCCGAATGTAACATTTATCTACAAATTGACGCTAGTATTAATTAACAATCATCACAGAAAAGATATCAAGCCTCATATGTCTTTATATACTTGACGATTTCCGAATCGTGAATTATATATTATGCGGCAATTGTTAAATCCATTATAAAACTTGTATTTTTCTATAAAATATAAATTTTATAAGAAATTGATATGTACATATCAATTTATTGTTTATAAAAATCATGTATTATACATATTTATACCGCAACTGATGTATGATAATATAATTTTTATAAAAGTGTAAACTGCCATGTTTTTAACATTTCCTTAAAAGTGTTGCCAATAAGTATAATGTTGAATAGTGTATGTTATGAAATGAAGAAGAATAACCAATGAGAATTATTGAACCAGTTTCAACATATAAAAGCGCTTCGAAATGAATCGAAATACTCTCCGCTTATAAGATCGATATGTCGATTTCTCGCTGAGAGACCACTTGTATATGTATATAAACGTTTCGGAGGTTAAGTGTGCCGTTTCACGTTATTGCCGGCAGCGTCGGTCAAGTCCGATTCCGCGAGCGATCATGAAGTTTCACTGCAAAGTTGAGATTCATGATAGAACATTGTCCGTCTGCTCGCAAAAACGATCGCAGTCGATCTTGGCGTTGGTGAAAAACTCGCACGACGTCAGTGCCGACGACACGTACCTGTACCTGCAAACGCGGCAAAACAAGCAAGGCATCAAGTACCGGGTAGACAAACTGTTTTATTAGATCCGACATTTCCTAACTTTACATACAACAAATAAGCTTCTTTCCCTTCCAGATTGTCGACAATATAGAACAAGTGTTCACGAGGTTTCTCGCAGACGGCAAAATAACGATAAGACTGACGCAGCCCTGTCACGATCTCATCATTCAGAGCAATACGATTCAGTTGAAAAACCTCCTTCATATACTGAATCGTCTAAGAGACGCGCCATCTCGAGACCACAACGTTTTCATAAAGCAATATGCTTTCAAGCCTAACGTGTCCTTCAACTCGAGTGATTTCTCCCAAGGAAGAGTGAAAGTAGCCGTGAGGAAAATATCCGAGTATCCGATTTTACAGGGTTTCCCACGAACGACGGAGCACCTCATTTTAAAAGGACTGAGCAGAAGGTCATTTGATCGGCAAATTTTGTGCCTGCAAAGTTTAAGAATTCTAGACTTGTCAAACAATAACATCTCCTATTTGCCAAAGGAGCTCGGCACCTTACCCCACCTTCAGCAGCTTCTACTGTCCAACAATAACCTTGGAAAGTCACCTAGATCCAAGTGGGCATGGTTAGAGCAAACTGCCATTAAGCACAATTTGTATTTCTTAGATATAAGTGGTAATTTGGTAAGTGGTATCATATTTCGTTGCACAAAGAGATCACTCATTCGTACAATACCCAATATTAATCATTTCTTACAGTTGACCGAGTTGCCAGTGCAAATAAAAAATCTTAAGGCTTTGGGACACCTCAAGGTCAGCCAAAATGCATTGACGCATCTACCACATAATATCAAAGCTTTGAAAAATCTCAAAATTTTGGACGTCGCAAGTAATCATTTGTCCTATTTACCGGCGACAATCACGTACCTGCAACTAGACACTCTAAATGTTACGGAAAATCCCTTTACCTATGACGCTAACAATCACGTTTATAGTAATCAAAGTACAACGGGCGTGAGAGTACCAAGCCTCCTCCAAATTTCAGCTAAAAGAGTCCTCAAGTCTAGGTTCTTATCGCTTTTTCTTTTTTACGTTTCTTCCTGCACTGTTCAACACTCGAGATGCCTGATATACGAGCCAAAATCATTTTATCTTTCTAGGATAACGTACGATGCAAGCACAATACCGTATACATTAGTGGAATATTTGGACGAAGCGAAATGCTGCCACTTGTGCAGAACTGCCTGCTTTGACCACTGTATAAGGAAATTCGTGCATCTACCTCTATTATGTGTCGAGATCAAAATGTCCATGTATACAAATATCAAATTTGAATCTTATTTCTGCTCGTTACTATGCGCCAACAATTACTCTACGTAGAATCCAACTGTTTTTCCTATCATTTACTTTTACCATTCTAATAATACAAGTTTGTAATAAAATTTATATCCGTTAGATGTACCATCGACATCAAAACATCATTGTTAGAGATCAAATATAAGAATGATATAATTTTTATCTCACTAATTTTATATAAATTCCACATTTATATCGATTTGCAGGTACTTGCCCAAATTTATAACGAAATGATGGCACTATTTCAAAAAAGATGGATTAAATACATTCTTTTGTAAAATCATTATCTTCTAAAAGATGAGGGCAAATTTCAGTGTTTAATTATCTTACAGAATTGATTTACAAAAATATACATTTATTATCCCTGAATAGAGTAATTGGATATCTTTTTTTCATTACAGATTCTTCAGAAAATTTCAAGACGAAAATTCTAATACACAAAAATCTGTGATAAAAAAATATCCGATGGGTTTAGTACACCCTGTATATTTAAAAGTTACATCTTTAATTCGTATATAATTGTGAACAATTAGATGTTAAATAACTTATGTTAACTCTTATATCTATATATTTTGCTATTACACACGATAAATGGATAATGTCTACGATTTATTACGCTGTACCATCCTCTTTCTCTACAGCAATTGTATATCTGACAATTCCTATTTTATAATCTCCATACATATTAAACTAAATGTGAGCAATTACAAGTTATTTCGGATGCCATTATTTGTTACGTCCAACTTTTATATCTATATTATTTGCAATGATAAATGGATAATATCTACTGGATATTATATACTGTCGTCTTTCTTTACAAAGTCTAAGAAAGAATCGTCGCTCTCGTGAAGATAATGGTCCGTCGGTGTGACTTTTTTCTTCTTACCGATACGTGGAACGGTAAAATCTATGTCTTTGCACTTTTTTGCATCTATTCCCATTTGCAAAGGGTGAACACAGATTTCAGAATCTTCATCATGGGGAACCGATTCCACTTGGCATTCATCACCATCACACTCGTCGAATGTGCTTCCATGCTGACGTAAGATGAGAAACGTGTTTTCTTACATTTACATTAAACAATTGTGTCTCAGCGTGCTGCACGTATAAAATGTGCTTACCAATGTTTCCACGTTGTTTCTCCTCCTTGCCGTGTTTTCATTGGAATTAGTTAAATCGTGCAATGTAATTTTTTTCGTTCTCACAAGACCCATAATTGCAGCATTTCTGTGGAATATATTCTTCTTAATACACTTATCGTTCGAGTCTTTAGCCTCTGGTCGGTTTGCTTTCGATCTCTTATCATGTTTCATATAATACTCGGATACTTGTTTCTGTGACTTTGTCATACTCTCAAGATTTCTCGCCAGTGTATCTTCCCAATGTTTATTTGAAAGGTCACGGCCCCCATTTACCTATATCACATTAATGTCCTATTTAACTCCTTTCTACGCGTACAATATAGTTGCTTAAACCTTAAACGTTGTCTCTTCAACTTGACTTAGATTTTTGGAGATAATAAAGTAAATTTTACCTTCAAGTCCTAATTGGATGCTATTATTTCCAATTAGAATACCAATTATTCCTTTTGCGCTAATAACCTAATTAAAACAACAATATATCTGCTTACCTCTTTAACAGCGGCAGAGACTTCATTTTTGTCAAAGGTGGGTTTTACTTTACTCCTTATAAAGTCCACATTGTCTTCACTGTCCGTGTCAGAGTCTTCCAGTATCTGAAATTAAGTAAACAAATTATTTATAAATAATATAAATCATTTCTCACAGATTTTGTCATCGACATGCTGCACTGACATGAAGATTTCGTGGTTTCCTCACTTGTCTTTCATTCATCTTTCTATCTTTCGCAGCCTGACTCAGTCCGTTTAGTCGATAGAACTTGGCATCGTTGTCTTTAAAAGTAAGTGACGTTGCTCTCCTAATGTTATCACGCAAATCCATATCTCAGAACCTGAAGAGTATTCTTATTATTCTATACATATGTATACAAGAGTTTTGTCAAATTTAGGTTAAACTGGTGAGTCGAATGCTGCTTCATTTCTGTCAATAACTTCCCTTTACCTTTTATATTACAACTATTAACATTTATAACTTGCACCTTTTCGCAAACACGTATGTTTCTTTAATCCAAATGTTTTTGAAAATGCAAACAGGGTGCTGGTACAATTCTTAGTTTTAACTTGAGATTCGACGAGGATCTTGCTAATCGGCTTATTGTTAGACACTGACCGATGTGGTTCCACCTCTCTTTTGCTTATGTTCTCACCCCAAAAAAAACTACCTCTAATCTTACCGATACTCAAATATGTTTAGAAGCAAGAGTTAATCTAAACCACCTAAAGATAAACGTTACACGCGATTGTATTATAACAATTCATTTTCTCTCTCGAGGTCGTATTGTTATTATAGTTTCATCGCATGGAGCCTTTCAACTTACTTTTTCGCGCAGCGATCAAACTGACAGTTTTATATATCGCTCTTGATTTTGCGCTTGTCTTCTACTTTCTTTCACACTCTCTCGTAATTGCCGTCTGTTTATATCAAGCCATTTGTCAGAGAGATACACAAACTCAACCAAACATCTCGACGAAAGCCATTTTAGTAAACACTGGTTTAGCCATGGTGTAAGGAAAACAAGGTGCATCCATCTCTAATAACCAATGAGCGCGTTGGGCCAAATAGGAGACATATTGATTTATTGGCCAATTGAATTAAGGCCGCAATTTTTAAATAAGATTGAAATATAATAAATTAATTTGAAGTAAAAAAATGAATAAAATAATAGATAATACATGTATGAAGAAAAAGTAAAGAATTTTCTGAAATTTAATCAATATTATAAGATAAATGTTTCACCTTGTATCTTTACACCATGGTCACAGATATTGGTAATTTCAGTGGTCGCGATTGCCGTCCCTGATTCTCGTATCGCAGGAGGGCGGAGATTCGATCCGTTCGCGCGTGAGCCTCGGGGGACGGGGTGGTTGCTCCGCTAACATTTATCCGATATAGGCGACGGCGGGATATTATGCGGCGCGGGTACCGTCACCTAGACCGTTGAGGATCGCTCTTCCGCTCTTCCCGTCGCAATCGTCCACAATGGCGCATCTCGGCGTGTCCACGCGGCGCGTCCTGCTCCTCCTGTTCGTGCTGAGTCAGACGGGTCACGGCCACGATGAGGATGCGCATACCCCCCTGTATACCCACGACAATTTTTCCGCAGAGGTCGGCAAGAGGAACCACTTTGTCATGTTCTACGCGCCATGGTAAGCAACTTGTATCACTGAATCCAACTAGCAAATCCCACATTGAAAATCTTGTGCCTAAGGTGCGGTCATTGCCAGAGACTCGGCCCCACGTGGGAGCAGCTGGCGGAGATCTCCAACGAAGGGGACAATGATATAAGAATTGCTAAGGTGGACTGCACGACCGAGAGCGTTTTGTGCAGCGAGCAGGACGTTACTGGCTATCCCACGTAAGATGCTGCATCAATCATATCTTTGTCTCTTGTCGATTGCACCTTGTGATATCTCTGCTACTTGCCAACTCAGGCTCAAGTTTTACAAGGCTGGAGAAACCAAAGGTATCAAGTTCCGAGGTACCCGGGATTTACCTACATTGACTTCTTTCATTGTTGATCAGTTAGGTAGTTCTTCTACGGTACGTACCATTACATTCCAAGTGGCAGTTTGCCAATTCAAATATTCAATTATTAGCGACACGGTGCTTCAGGTCGAGGACGTCGCGCCGTCTCCTCCGGAAGCTGTCAATGGATTGTTGGAATTAACGGAAGATACGTTCGAGAAGCACGTATCTTCCGGGCATCATTTTGTCAAATTTTATGCACCCTGGTGCGGACACTGCCAAAAATTAGCTCCAACATGGGATGAATTAGCTAATAGTCTTCGCAACGACGACGTAGTCAGTATTTCCAAGATAGACTGCACGCAACATCGAAGCGTCTGCGGTCAATTTGACATTAAAGGATACCCTACGTTGTTGTGGATCGAAGATGGGAAGAAGGTATCTCTCTCCCTTACCGAAACAAGATCGGTTATTTTGCTGAGGAGAGCTTTGCTCAAGCTGAATATTACAACTTTCTAGGTAGATAAATACACTGGCCAGCGTACTCACCAAGAGCTCAAGGCTTATGTGTCGATGATGCTGGGTAAAAATGCCGACGAGTCGAGTCGGAAGAGCGAAAATACTGACGGAGTTCCGCATGCTATATTGAGCCTGACAGCCGACAGTTTTAAGCAAGGTATCGAGAAAGGTCTTTCCTTCGTCAAGTTCTTCGCACCTTGGTGTGGACATTGCAAACGCCTGGCTCCCACATGGGAGGAGCTGGGCAAGAAATTCTTTGGCAACGACAACGTCAATATTGTTAAGGTCGATTGTACGCTAGACGTAAGCAAACAATTGTGCAATCAACAGGAGGTGGATGGTTTCCCGACGTTATACTTGTATCGTAACGGTCGCAAGGTCTCCGAGTACAATGGCTCGCGTAATCTCGATGATCTCTATGACTTTGTGATGAATCACTTGAAAACGCACGACGAATTGTAATCCTATCTGCCGTTAGAGCGTTTAAGGTCTCGTAATATTTCCAATAGTATTTTAAACAATTGATTTGTGTCGATTTTTCCTCGTCGGAGGGAAGCAGAAGCGGGAGGTTTTTCATTTTTATACCTTACACATCGAAAAGAACAATGTGCTGTATACAGAATGTAATCCCGTGTTAAGAAGAAACTAGTACTTCCAAAATACATTTATTTATTATCTTATCTCATTTATTTTCTATTTGCACGTATACAATTTTTCTCTCTTGCTTGCTTCTATACTTTTCAAACTGTTGTAGTGAGCCTATTGATTGATCCAAAATTGCTTCTATTTGTATCGTGCATGGAACACAAGTGATATTTTTTCTCTCAAGATTTCTGATAACGAACCATTAGACATTAGTAGTGATCATTTAGATATATGTATATTATGCTATACATTTTTGTATTGATAGTGTAGATGGAGCGACAATTGCAGTTTTCTCTGTGCGCACATTTTCATTTACTATATTGTAACGAGCTATATGCGAATCGGCCTCGCATAAAAACATGGTCTGATCAATCCTGCGCTTTCGTTCGATTCTCATTGTTATCAACAATCTGTCGTGAATCGAATTAATGTACACATTTTTATTATGTATTTTATAATTATAGAAATATCCAGGCATTCCTGCCTGTCTGCAAACTTTTCTTTTTACAAACTTGTTAACTGACATTACAGAGATGCACTCGAGTTCGGCCCATACGATTGCGTTTTGCAATCAAAATTATTCTCATTTTCCGTCTTCTCTGCGTGGACCTTAACAAGGTTTACAATAAGACGTGCTGAAATTCTCACTGTCGATGATGCGGTATTGATAATTTTTGTAGGTGGTAAAGTCTAGGTCGCGCATGTGGAAAACGTGATCCATGATCTTCTTTATCACCGGCGCGAAGCTCGGTATATTCGCAGCGGCCGCGATCTCGTCGTAGTACGCCCACTGCCTGTCTTTGAGCTTATTGATATGCCTCAACTAACGAAGAAGAAAGAAAGAGTTGTATATAATACGGCGTCGTCTTTCGCGATCAATTCAGAGAAATTAATAGTAAGTTTAGTACAGGAATGCCTTGAGCCAGCAGGGACTTCTTCTCCATTTCGTATTCCTCGCGCATCTGTTGCGGCGACGGTAACTTGACGCGGTCCTCGAGAATCCCGAGGATATACTTGGCCTGTATATGAAACATCGGAAACGGTATTACGAACGCTGGCAAGCCCATGAAGAACAGGTTCGCGTAGTCCATATGCACCAGATGTTTGTAAATAGGTTCCACGTGGTCGTCATCCGTACGTATCTCGACTTTAGCCGACATAAAGGGATACGTGAACTTGTAACCTGAGGAGAAAGCATTTGTCGCCAAGGTCAAGTCTCACAATCGATTTCTCAATTGATTTACCGGTGCAGAATATGAAATCGTCCACTTCCGTCGTGGAGCCGTCGCGGAAGATGAAGACGTTCCCCCGGACAGACTCTACACCGGGCCTCTGCTCGACGTTGCTCGACATCTTCGAGTCGAGCTGTTCCGGTAGATTATGACTCAGATATACCTGGAATCACCGAGAAAAACCAATCATCATTTCTACGCGAGAGAGCATTGTTATTATAGGAAGACGATAAAACTTGTGCGCCAGCGTACTTTGTTGGCGTATTGCGAGACTTCCAAGGCGATATCGATGCCAGACCAGGACGCGCCGAGTATGCAAACCTTCTTGCCGGCGTAGATCTCCGGCACCCTGTACTGATGGCTGTGAATGCGTCTACCGCGAAAGCTTTCGATACCTGGAATATGTGGAACATGACCGACAGTGTAATGACCGTTGCACAGCACGATGGCATCGAAGGTCTTCGTGGTCTCCGCTTTGGTCTCCAGTGACTCGTACGTCACCGTCCACAACGTTTGACCATTTCTCGTACTTTCCGGCTCTATGTGCTTCACCAAAGTATTCAACTGAAAACAAACACAATCAATGATTTTTATTATATCTGCACGGAGATTCTGTCGAGATTGGGAATGTTATCTTAGGTATCAAATGTTAACTCCTAAACCCATTCACCGCTATAGAGTTTTATGCAGTTACTTTCTAGGATCCTACGGAAAATGTCCTTCCCTCTCATTTCACCTATATGTTATCATTCAAAAACTTACTTTAATATAAGGATGTAGATTAAAGTGCTTCGCATAGGCCACGAGATATTCTCTTATCACGCTGTGACGAGCGAAAGACGGGCCGTTCGAATCTTGAAAGGGAAAGTCAGGTATCGCCATTATTTCCTTCGGTATGTTCGTCCTGTAAGAAAAAAAAAAAACGACTCTCTCTCCCTCTCAGATAATTCCCTATTGAGGTGATGACGCGCCCGATTTTTATTAATTTTTACGCGTCGCGGAGTTGAAAAGATACGACGACCCGTAACCCCCGAGAATAGCGATAAACAAAGTTGCTAGTTGTTAGCAACTTGGCCCGAAATAAACTTTAGTCTACTCTTTGGACTTTACTCGATATAAAATTAGACATAGCTGGAAAGCCTGTTTTATTCTTTGCTCGCCTGATATTTTTTATTTTTCAAGTTAAAGTTGGCTGTCTAAGATTCATAGAGGAAAGATAACTTGGCAGTGATATAGAATATGGGATTATATTATATAAGAATTCGTTACAGATGGAGTAGATAAAAAAAATTACATTATCCGCGAATGCAAATAAGATGTTTGCATTCATAATGCAATCGATGTTTACTTTAATCAATTTCGTGTAAAAGTGCCGATATATCTTGGCCAGAATTCTTCCGCATTGTCTTCCAATCCACATGTTACTTCGTGTTCGATTCGTTGAGCATTATCGTCGGGGTATTCGCCTTCTTTCCGGAACTAACCATTCAAGAAATCGATCTTGTCATTAATATGTCGCAAAGTGTATCGCGTGTCGAGCAAAGTTTATCGCATTAATGCATTAGATCGGGTGTTCCCTGTGTAAACGGAGACGCTGTATTTTTATCCGCGATAGACGAAGACATATCTCATTACCCTACAGTCGAACAACGTGAGAAAAAGACAAACTGTTGTCATCAAATAATTTTATCTACTGAAATATACATATATAAAATAGCAAGTTGTAGAGTCTACAGTACAAATCGACTCATCTCTTTCGCAAGGTCGTATCTCGATTTTACACAATTTCCGATTTTTCAGTTTAAACGCTCATTCTGGTATTAAATGTATTGTTGTCGTTCATTATTCTAATTTCCACAAACAATCTACAACTGTGAATAAAACCAAGCGAAACGAGAAGAAAGCGACAAGGAGATACAAACTTTTCTCTTAGTTTTCCAAGGGCTCACATATAACATTTGCTTGTGAAACATTATAGTGCATTTTCCATATCACTTACAATCGCAATATTATGACATTGCAATTAATTTGTATCGTTTAGGAATTATGAATAGTTGACCAAAAAAAAAATGACGCAAGTAATGTAGTGATACAACTCATTGCCAATTGGTAAACAAGAGTACGAGTAAAGGAGCAAAGTGTCACCCCTTTGGCACGCGCCACTTATATAAGTTTCTCTGTGATAATGTAATGATAATATCGATATCCTCTCCAATAATCTATATGCATATACTTGACTTTTTATGTTCTTCTCTCTCGATTGAATCACTCAATTTTAAACAAGTCCAAAGTTTATCTCGTTGTATAAGTGAGAAAGAAAATTCATTCACAAACTTAATTGTAATAAATAATTGATGTCAAAGCAAAACGTGTATTAACATTGATTTCATGTGAGTTACATCCTTGTAACGTAGAGCAATTATGATCTATACTTATCGCGGATGAAAAATCTTGTATTTACCAACTCTCTCCTCAACTATTATAAGATCGCCAAGCTTACCTGAGATTTTTATACATACTGCTGTGTATCAAAAGCCCGTGCTTGTCGAGATCCGTTTCATCGGTGTAGACCCATGTACCACCGATCTGATCGGTTTGCTCGAACAGGACGAGACTGTAAGTGTCCAACTTGGCCACCGCGTGACGGGCTACCACCAAACCAGCCACTCCACCACCCACAATAGCGATTCTCGTTTTACTACTCGGCATGATGTTTCGATAAAAAGCCTAAGACAGTTGTATATTAGCACCACTCTGAAAACTTTTGAGAAAAAACAGATAATCGGATATAAATATAATATAATTTAATTGATTAATTAAAGCAACAAGTTTAGTTTGATATAATAGTATTACAGACGTACAATTCAGTATTGAAATTCTCCGATACTAGCACCACGGCTATAACTCTTTTGCTCGTGGACCGTACAAACCGTAAAGATAATATCCCGTCAGTAAAAATGGTCCTCGGTCCGAGATATCGAAACGTACGGAAACAAAGAGGACGAACGATACTTATTGTTAGCGGAACAAATGAACCGAAGACGAACTCGATTTCCCGATCTGGTTCGGTCAAAGGCTGAATTAAGACTGGTCAAAGCAAGACCACTCTTGTTAGCCGGCCTCTTACATACTACTAACGTCCGCATATAAAAAAAAATGTCTTTCCCCGGGTTTACGGCCTCTATCCCCTTCTTCTGATGAAATCTCTGTGGATTTACAGTCAACATCCGTGAGAAAGAGGGAAGGGGGGAGGGAGAGAGAAAGAGAGAGAGTGTGTGTGTGTGTGTGTGTGTGTGTGTGTGTGTGTGTGTGTGTGCGATTAAACTCTCTTTAACAAAAGCATAATTTTAAGCGGCAAGTTTCGGGGTCATCGCGGTTCGCGGATTAATGCAGCAAGTAGAAGATGCAAATGTCGTATGCATAAATATAATATTTTAGAGCTCACGGCGAACCAGAAGCCGAACATCCGATTAAACGAAGAAATTAAATTGCTGCGCAAATTAAAGTGAAATTCTTAAGATGAATTTCACCATCTTATTCGTATTCCGTGCTCGATCGTGCGACTCGCTCACGGAAAAAGAAAAACAGATGTGGAAAAAGGTATCGAGATAGACCGGCATATCTGAAATGCGGCGAGTGGGAAATTACGTGTTACGTTTCGTCATGCCGTGTTTGCAACGGGGAAAATTTACGGTGAAACGAATCGTTTCCCCCCTCCCCGCGATCGTACGTAAGATTACCATAATTATCTTCTGACTGGTTTGGAAACTGCTGGTTGATCGCGACGCGGAGAATCTCGAGAAGAGAGAAGGCGAGCTCACGATTTCGCCTAAAGCAAATTCTGAATTAAATCGATATTACTCGTGTGACTGGTCGCCTTGCCATTTCTTTTCACGACTATACTTATTCTTTCCGGTTCCTCGTGGTTTTTCAAGCAGTAGAGAAAGTGGAGCGATGTCGCATCACGCAAACTGATGTCATGTATATATCAAATTACGATGACCGTCTTAGGAAGTGACATAAATTTCGTAACATTGTAAACGAGATTACAGTCAGGCGTGACGTCTATCCAATTCTAACAATAACATTTATTCGGCATAATAATGACAATTATCGTGAGAAAAAATGAATTAAAATAAAAACGAGCGAACCGTCGTCGCCTTAATGCCACTATCCTTGAGAGATATCCGTTTCCCTTTAAAATGCATACTTGGCGAATCTGAGAGTGTCGTTTATCGTAATCCACTTATCTTCCGATATTCGCGCTTATTTCAATTGCAATGGGACGAGATAGTGCTCTTTCTCACTTCAGGGTCGTGGTCAGTCAGTGCAACGAATTAACAGATGCAATATATGACTGTTGTAAAGTTTACGGCGAGTGCAACATGCGTGACTTAAAATGTGCTGCTGCAAATTTGGCGCGAGTCCTAATGTAACTTCGCTTCTCAATCAATTTCACTTGTCGCGAGGGACAAAACATAATTTCCACATCATACGATTCAGAATTTCCATGACGTTATCACGGGGCGTGATATTAAACGAATCTGGTAAGGCGTCGTATCGGGAAGAATGAAATTCGCTTTAATCTTATCGCCTCTCGTTTTTTCACTTCGACTGTGCATTTCCTAAAATTAAACAAATGTATATTCGGCATACGCCTGAAAAGTTCAGCGAGAGAAATCCTTTATCTCCATTCAATTCGATAAGACATCTCGTTACAATTTCTCGAGCGTCGTTCCTCATAAAAGTGTCTAAAACGCCTTCTTTTACATACAAATTTGCATGGCTTAAAATACTCGAAATATTTCGCAAGCCAAGCATTGTGATAATGATAACGAATTAACAAGGGAACTCATATTTTCATACAAATTATTAATACGATCGTCCAGCATCGATTTTACCATTCAAACGTCCGATTATACGAATAAATATACCAGTCCCTTCTTTCGAGTCAAAATAACACAACTCAGTGTATAATGTGGCATTCTTAATTTCTCAATTAACGGTAACGCAATGAGAATAATGTGCTGAAAAGAACTGTATTATCATGCAATTAGAATTTTCTATTTAAATATGTGATTGAAAAAGAGGATAGATTGCACTGAAATGTCGTTATTCAATCAATATGATATTAATCTTGCATTTTTAACGCAGTCAGGCGTACTGAATGCACAATTGGTACTTTGCGGCAAAATTAAAGCAGAAGCTAAGCAGACTAGACATTGGAAGGAAGATAGTGGGTTATTTATCAAGTTCTTTGATTGGGTGTGTGAAGACACAGTTCAATGATGGTCCCTGTTTACACATAGGAATCTTCCGCTATAAAGAAAATAATTTTTTACCGTTACGTAGCTAACTTAGCTATTTATCTTATCTTCCATTCGTTGCAACCTATCGCTGAAAGTTTACGAAACTTAAGACACTTGAACCGGGCCAACTTACGTTGTTGTATTTATATTGTATACAATAACGCTAGACAATGGCAATCCTTTTGCAATTCTAGAAAGATGAATGCAATCTACATTCATCAAACAAGAAATTAATTAATATACCGATTAATTATTCAAGAAAAATTTACCTTGTCAAATTTCCGATAAAGACTCGAGTCCAGTTTGACCATAAGAGCCTGGAACATAAGAAAATAGGGCAGTTGGTAAATGAAATTCGGTAAATCACTCCATGCACCAAGGGGTAAATAACCACACGGCGTTTTCACCTTGTTATCTGCGCGGTTTGTTTCCGACGATGTGTGTCCCGATGAAGAAATGTAAGATTAGAGTAAACTGGAGATAATGCGTCAAAGTAATTATCAGACGCGGATGATTATGGATGCACGCGTTCGTTCATCGCGCGTAAATTGTTATCGCTATTGTGAAGCAATTAGAGAAGACGATTGGAATTCCGGTTGTAACAGGAAACGAAGACGCGGGGAAACAATGCAGGCTTTATTTATCAATAAAATTGAATGATTAATTTTCCACGGTTCAATTATCAGACGTTTCCTGTGAAGGAATAGATGTAGCTTTTCCGCTGTTATCTCAGTGAAAATTAATATTATTGTAATTACATACGAGTCTCGCTTAATGTTAGAAAAACATATCGACCCCAAAAATCCGTCACTTTCATTTTTCGCTGTAAAAGTTCATCTGCACTAGTCCCGAAAACCCTGGATAAAATTTAATATAAAAGAATACTTGCGAAACCCTTCGTAATGCTTCTGGGAAAATATTACATTTTTAAATCGAAAAACCACTTTTAAATTTAATTATCTTATCCTATTATCACGCTTTTAACGCACAATTTATCCATATTTATTATATAACATGGAAAAATATAAAAATTAACATCAGCTGTAGCAATTGGAAGAGAAAAGAGTTGGTAAATTCGATACGCAATACAGTTACGCTAACGTAATAAGTATTGTGCAATATATGAGTAATATCTATTACACGAAATTGTGCTCATCCTGCAATTGACATTCATCCATTTAACAGTTTATAAAGTTGTTCCCAGAGGAGGGGGAAGAGGGAATCTGACTTGCTGGACCACGTTTCACAGACGGTGAAACGTAAAGAACGCTTCGTTCGCTCGGGGATACAATGGTAATTAATTGCGATAAGCCGCATCTTAATTGTGCAGCTCTTAACAAAAGGTTAAGATGCAATTAAACTTGTAATCGTGCGCAACAAATCGGCACGATTGTAAAAGTTATTTACAATTCAGATGATTTCAAGCATCAAATGTAGAAGGAAAATAAAGAAAGTCTCTATTTTCGCAAAAGGTAAAATTAATATTGACAATTCATATCGCTAATTAGCGCAGCTCAGAAATCCTTAAGTAGAAACGCTCGAACAAAAAAACGGGATTTGTCATTTTCGCTACAGGTCACGCGCTGACAATGAAAACAGATTTAATTATCAGTAACTCGATGCATAACAAATTAACTCGTTCCGACAATTAGAACGAAATGTATACTCGATCACGTGTTTACGTCCCCGCCGTACTAGGTAAATGTTGGTTGTGGTAGAGGGAGAGAAGGAGCTGATTAACGCCATTGGAAACGCCATTGTTGCATGCACGATTCATGATACAAGTAGAAATTTTATTTGTAAAAAAGATAATACTTTGCCAGAGAAATGCAATAAGATCACGCGCTAGATATATATTATATAAAATCGTGATAAGATGAAAATAAATATTGCATATACGTAAGCATTTTTATCGATGTAATTGATAAAATGTTATGAAACAGCTGATAACATAAACGTCTCAAAATTATAAAATCAAAACTCGATTTTTGCTTTGTAAAAAGTAAAAATTCTTATAATAAATTGTTAAACGAAACAGTTTTGCTTTTTGATCCAATTCAATATTATGACTAACTCGTATTGGACTGACTTTCATTCGTATAGAACGATTTCTTCCATCCTTTTTATTGTACAATGAATTGTTGCGGCCCTGTATAATAAAATGAGTATATGTATTGTATTTTATCAAGCGAATATATTTCGACTGTATGTAGTGTAAAGTCAATACCCAAACAGCACCAAGTCGACTATTAGTTGACAAGCAAGCGAGCGTGCATGTCGCCATACATTTTGCACTTTGCCGAAAAAATAAGAAAGAAGGTGACTTTCAACTTGCTGAAAATGAGAATATCATATTAATCAGCACACATATACACATCTTTTAACATGTAAGATTTGTAAGTACATGTTTCTTGCTTTTAACGTCATACACCTATAATTGCAATTAGCTAACTTTCACACTGAGATAATGTGCTATGTGCAACGTGCAGCTTCCACAGTTAACGTGAGAAACAGTGACACTGCTTTTGATTTCAACCAATCAAAGCTTCAATTCGCACGTAGCATGCTACCTCTCTGTATGAAAACCGGCTGAGAATCTGAGAAGCACACACACACACATATCATGAGATATCACTAGAAAAAATATTGAGAGAGTAAAAGACAACGTAATGACATCTATATTGTACTAGTCGTCGCTCTTCATCATCGTTCTGCGTAATATTTAATATACAAAATATCTATTTTGAGTAATAAATGAGACAGATAAATTGTATGCTTTGAATTAGTGACAAAAGAACTTTACTTATTTAATTTAATTAACAACTATTGAAAATTAATAAAGAGTGACAATATCTCGTGTGATGCACGTGTAACGAGAACGGACGAAACATTTCGTCTCATCGTGTCAATGATATTTATTAAGCTTTATTTTAAGAGACATCAAGCATCAATAAGCGAACGTCAATAGTGACCAATTGATGCAACTCCGTTATCTCTTAATTATCCGTAATACATGTTATCATAAAATTTACTAGATAAGAACAGATCAAATGTTCGATAATCATGAGTGACGTTTTACGATTATTTAAGATATCGGAGCAAATATGTCGTTAACGTAACAAAATCATCGTCCGGAATTACCGTCGCGGGGACACTACGAGGGCATTTGAAGGCTTTTATGAAACAGAGGCGTGTCACTTGTCGTGACTTCTGCGAGAGTAGAGGATCGTCAACAGATTCCTGCGGGCCACATAATTCTGTTGGAAGAACAGTCGTGCAGTGTTTGTCGTGACACTACCTGATTAACATACGCTCGGACGTACCAAATATATCCGGATATATATAATGTACGAAAGGAAGAATCTGTATTCGCTGTAGAATGAGTTCGTATTATTGAGATCAGCAGTTGCTCCAATATTAAAAGTAGAATCTGTATTATCTCAATTTACATCAACTAATTGTAAGTGTTGAGTAAAACGAGATCAAAAGTGATGTGCATTAATAAGTGATCATCTCCGAAATATCAAGGATGGTTAAACAAATAGCAAAAATGGATAAAAGTAAGTAAAGAAAATTGTAATTCTGCTCTTATTCGTCTTGGGACGTTTCAAATGCTTCGTCAGCACGACAAACTAGTAAAGACTTTTTCAGATTTATTCGATTGTCGCAATTCGTCTCACGTACAACGTCATCTCAATTAAAACGTCTATTCAAGTGTACAACACTATACCTGTGCATATCAATTTAACTCGTGTCACGACGTAATTACTGTTCGATCGTGATAGAATTAAAATTATACAAAATCTCCCCAGATTAATGTCGCTCGCTTGAGATTAAAAAGAAAAATTAATCTCGCTAATGAATTATCGGTCTTTTTAGATCAATAGTTTTGGCTCGAGCAAAAGTAAGAGGAACAATTATTATCGGTCTTGCGCATTTCTTTGCTAATAAATACAAGTAGACTGTATATCATGAATGACATGTGTGTGCATTTGCGACTGAAAAGCAACGATTTATACTAAAATGCTGTATTACTATTGTTATTAAATAAACATTTTGATTGACTAAAAAAACAACAATTTTTGTCTTGAATAAAAATCTTCCTTGAGATTGATATCACACTTGAGGTTTTTTCAGAGAAGGAGTTGATTACATGCCGAGATATCTTATGGCTCTTAGTCCTTTTCGGCTTCGCCATCAATTACATGCTGCGATTAAACTTGAATCTCACCATCGTCGCGATGGTGATACCATATCCGAAACCAGCGGCGATCGCGCAGTGCAACGTGGAGATGTCAACTGTTGACGTTTGGATCAACGAAACGTCTTGGGACGAGAATGTCTCCATTCCGATTACAACGCCGTCCTTCACAAACGTTACGGTATCCTGCGGACAATCTCTTTAAAGGCTTTTCTTTTACGAATAGAATTCACAAAATATGCTTTTCGCGTACGATGTTAAATGTTTAGTTGTGAAAGAACAGTGGCATCCTTGTTCGATATTTTCTTACGGTTTTGTTTAGTATGCAGACCGATTCGCCTGGAACGAGTACGAGCAAGGATTGACATTGGGTGCCTACTACTGGTTGCACTGGATGTCGCAGCTTCCCGGTGGTCTCCTGGCCAGGCGTTACGGCACGAAACTCGTGTTTGGCTTGGCAAATCTTTTAACCGCTCTCTTAGGATTTCTCATACCATACGTGACGCATCTGTACATGTTGATAGCTCTTCGTGTGATACAGGGGCTGATCGCGGTAAGCTTAACTTGCGAAATGTTGTTGGAAAAGTTAGGCCTCTTTAGCAGCAAACTCCAATTTCTTTCCCAAAGTTCGCACGTACATTCCGAGCTATTACTAATTCTTTCTTCTCTTCAACGTTCGCTTCAGGGTGTTGTATGGCCGTCGATGCACGACATGACGGCGAAATGGATCCCACAGAATGAGAGAAGCAAATTCGTCAGCGCATATCTCGGTAAGATGCTATGTAAATCGCACCGATTGCAAAATCAACCTTCGTTAGGAATATCGTCTGATATAATTTTTTAGGTAGTTCCGTGGGAGCCGCGGTTACTTATCCTCTGTGTGCAGCCGTTAGTAATTCCTTCGGTTGGGGCGCATCCTTCCACGTGACGTCTCTGCTAGGCATAATTTGGTGAGTGTCCTTGTGAGGAACACAATCAAGTGTCAATATCTTTTGTTTTCGCCCAGTTCGCTTTGGAAATTGATTATCGCGAATTACCGCGAATTATCGCAGGTTCTGCTTCTGGCACTTGCTCGTGTACGATTCGCCGCAACAGCACCCGCGGATTTCCGAGAAGGAAAAAAATTACATTCTCGACAATATCACTGGATCCGTCGAGGATGAGGAAAAGGCTCGGATTCCCTGGAGGTCCATCATTTTATCGAGGCCGGTATGGGTTACCATTATCGCACATTGGGGCATGGCTTGGGGTTTCTTCACCCTTATGACGCAGGCGCCGACTTACTTCAACTTTATTCACGGATGGAATATTAACGCCGTAAGATTCGCCGTGTATAATCTTATCGCATACAAGATCTCGTATGCTATTTCGTTTAGTGTTGGGTATAATCGAAGCCGCAATTAGATTAAATTACTTTTCCAGACCGGCTTGTTGGCGGGAGCGCCGCACCTCCTCAGAATGGTCTTCTCGTACTTGTTCTCAATGATGAGCGACTGGTTGCTACGCACGAGGCGAATGAGCTTGATGAACGTCAGGAAGCTGGCCACCTTCGTTTGCACCGGCATACAAGGGATCCTCATCGTCGCTCTTGGATTCAGCGGGTGTCACCCGTTACTCGCGGTCATCTTCATGATGGCCGGTACGGCGGTCAACGGCGCCGTTTCCGCCTCCACTTTGGCAATCTTCGTCGACCTGAGTCCTAATTATGCCAGCGTCCTTCTTGGATTCGCCGGCATGATCATCATATGGGCCGGATTCATCTCGCCGGCCATCGTTGGCGCATTGACGAATAATAACGTGAGTGCAAACTCGCAAATACCAACGGCGTCGTAAAATTCTCGTGGACCAAGACCCTTCTTTCGCGATAGCGTTGATTAAATCGACCTTTCCTTTTTCCACAGCAAACTGTGGGACAGTGGCGTTTGGTCTTCCTCATCGCCGCCGCCAATTCGATAGCGAGCTGCGTCATATACATGATATTTGGCACTTCAAAGGAGCAACCGTGGAATCAGTATACCAAATTAAATACGAAGGTACGAGAGATGCAGGAGCTAGTACCTGCAGCGGCCGTGAAACGTAACAATGACGCCGAGGACGACACTGAAAAGTCCAATTTTATTAAAGAAAGATAACAAATTAATTCTCAATTCTTTCGTCACTGTATGCTTATAGCAGTTTCTTGCTAGTTTCTTGCTCGATTCTTTAGGACGAAATGCTATTGTGGCGACCGCCCGCCAAGCTATTAAAATGAAATACCATTAGAGTGCTCTCTTTTATTTCAATATTTTGTCGCTGTCATACGCGCAATCGCCAAGAATACCGCTTTAGTAAACTCACTTGAAAGACATTATTTAAACAAAGAGGATGTTAACGATTGATCGTATATTTGGTAATACATTCGCATAACTTATTCCTGGAACATCTCATCACAAGGAACCAAAGGAAGGAGTGACAGTACAGCGTAAATAAATGCTAAACTATTTGCGATACACTGTAAGACGTATTACGATCCAGTTGTATCTGCGATCGAACCATACACACGCTCCACAAATTAAACTCACACACATCGAATTTCTTACAATAATAACGCGTTTTACTTGGTCTTTTCGCATATGCGCAATATGTAAATTGCGCTGCCCAAGTTTCAGTAATCGACGGGCGGCGGATCGATCGTGCTCTATCATATGGCCGACATCACGTCCATCCTACCTTCTTACACGAAAGAATTACCGGAATTATCACAGCTCCTTTTCTGCTGTGAAGCAGATTAAATACCGCGCCTTATCCTATTTCCCGTGGACAAGCACTGTGCAGCTACCATTCACCTTTTCGAATCATCGCCTGTAAATGAAAATACGCAGTAACCCGAATTGTCGAAACGTTCATATTTTCACAAACCACTGTAGAAATAAACTAAGTACAACGTGCAGACGTCTGGCACATTAAATAGCAACGTCGTTATACATATTGAGATATTGCATCTTACAATTCTGTGAATCTAATAAAGTATTAATTTCCTTCGCTCTGTAATAAACACCTCTCTCAGATGTCTACACATTAAGTTTGACCAAAATGTTATTTTTACACTTTAATAATAAATCTTCTCATTTACCGGAAGACTGATTTACGCACGAATAGATGCAAACCACACCATTTCTTCCGGAAGCCACAGCAATGCGACACTCAAATATCTTTAATAATAGATAAATAATAAATAATTTGATACATACTTAAGTAATAGCAACGTAAAATGCACATTTTGTTAACATCTATAAAGTAAATTTTTCATATTTTTTAAATATGAAATTATATCAAAATAAAACTCTGAAGATTAATAAAATAATGACCTTTTCCTGGAAAAAAACACACATACCAAGACTTCAATACTTGAATATTCTACGTCGTATTTTGAAAAACTGGAAAATAATAATCAATGAATAATTTGAAAGATCATTAAATAACTTACGCTATTCACCAAATGGATATTCAAGTTGACACTGACATAGAAACGATTTCTCTCGATAAAATAACTTATACATTCTATCTATGTCATATAATCTAATAAATAGCAAATATAAATACAGGTAGAAAACACAGTTATGCGACTAGTATCGAAAGCGCGTAATAATAACGCAAATACAAATGCGTAATTGGAAGCTCCAAGCTCCTAAGTTTTCACTGATACTTGACAAAGGAATTTTATAACGTATAACTAATTATTTATAATTAGGCCTAAAATAGGAATCTGTCATCATAAAAGATAAATCAATCTTCAAAATGTCCATTATATTAATTCGCGCGCGCAAACCCCGATTTAAATATATATTATTATATATGTATACATTTTGTTTCTATACATATATATTCGTATATCTACATATATGTGTGTACATATAATCATTCTCTATGTTTGATAGAATCTCAAATGTGTGCATCTACACAACAAGTGACTTTTGTCGTTTGTTGATTTTAGGTCTTCCTACCATTTAATATTGATTAATAAAGTTGTGGAGAATCAGAAATATTAAAAATTGCATAAAATTTAAAACATAAGTTCTTTTCTAAATAACGTCAGCAGGTGAATATTTCTTAATCTTTTAGGTTTTGACAATATTTATAACCAAGTTTCAGATCTTTTACGTCACTTTTACTGCACATAAGTTTTATCATATGTATATATAATTCTCTATTTAAATATTTATTTATTTGTAAAAGAGCTCATGTATCAAATTTTATGCAATTTTTCACTTTTTCAATTCTCCTTATAACCTCCTTATAATGTCCTTAATACATGTATAAATAAAATAATTGTTCTAAACCGATTTCATACGCATATCGATAAAGTCTCTGTGAAGAAATGCGTGCACAGCATATGCGCTACAAAATCATTTCAAAGATTTACACAAACAGAAAATAACTCGTAGAGAATAAACAAAAAGGCAAAATAAATAAATATAAATATTTTTCTTACATATTAAAATATTTATAGCTAGAATCAATCGTATTTTTTTTGTAGTTTTATAAATATTTACGTTACTCTTGACTTTTGTTAAAATTTCAAGATTCCTTTCACCATTAACACATATACATATGTCATATATGTATAGCACATCTTTTTCTATGCTTTAGGTCCATTGTTAAATTTGATATTTAGATATTAAGTTTTTGTCAACTACCCTGTAAATGTAGAAGCCCTTAATTATATCGAAAGAATTAGTATACCAATGAGATTTTATCTAAGGATAGAGAAAATTAGTCTCGAAAAACTTTACGAGGATAGTATCCAGATTTTAAAAGGGCAGTGAATTTAACAAGTATGAACACGTTGGCACATTGTAATAGAAACCTTTGTTGCGCATCTCTGTAATCTAGAAAAATGCTCTTGTTCATTGATCCTCGTAGATGTATACCGTGTGAATATAGAATGCATATATATCTGTTGAAAACGTCAATATATACTCTGGTAAACATTTAATAATTACTTCAGCGATATACTGTAACGACAATTTCATTTCGATTTGGTAAATACTGTCAAATGTACTTTCAGTTCCATAGTTGCGTCTGTCATACCTACCACTAGAACAGTTTATAATTTGCCTAACTGGTATCTCGTTTGGACTTGGTGCAACGTCTAATCGTCCTAACCATAGCAAGTACGAATGCAACAGTAGCGCTATTAGATAAGTTAGACAGTCACTATTAAATTCATTACCTATCTAGAGAATGATTTTTTTAAAGCGTCATTAGTCTTTGTTGCCTCTGATTGTTTGGTGTTCACGGTCGAACATGTATGTGTTCGTAACACGTTTCCCAGCTAACATACATCTAACACGAATGCACGTAAGTTTATTTTCACTAAGAAAAAAATTATCTGATTGCAAAAATTATGCGTCAATTATGGGAAGTAACAATGGCACTATTTTCTTTTCAAGCCTTGACGTGTAAAAACTTGAAGCAGAATTTAATAAAAACTCATGACCAATGACAGTCAAATATTTTTCTCGATGCTCTCGAAAGTATTTGACTGTCTTGATTTCAGATTGAATATTGGATAAAAACGTCTTAAAAAAAAGTAATGTTGTAAGTAAATGTTGTAAAAATGGCACTAAAAAAATTGTAAGATTTGAGCGCGGCGCATTGATTGTTCTGTAATATAAAGTATTGTGCAACCCTCTGTTTAACCGTAAATATTATTTAATTTAGTAAAGAACCTACTAAAAGTAGCTCAATAATTTCTGTGCACTTTGTGCAATATGCGCTAATCCGCCTTTTGATTTTAGACCTTATCCTTTGCCCTATGAAAAATTCTGCGCGTCGCGTTGCACGCCGTGTAAAATCAAGTGAGAAAAACTAGACGAGAAGCGATATTAGTCATTAGTTGGTGGATCCATAGCACAGATTATAGCTTTCATTACACTGGCTGCCGCCAGTGCCGCGTAAGGCTGCCACTCTTTGATTCGAGTACCGTCTTTGTAATCGGCAATCCCACGAATTACAACGAAATTCTCGCGGCAATTACCCAAGATGCTCTCTACGACAGCATCCATTTCCGCGTCGAATGCGAGCGCGCCGAATCGACTCGCAAACTTTTGCCTGAGTTGATCGTCTCGCGCGACTTGTCGACCGGACGCTACCGGCGCCAAATGAATTCGGAAGTATCCGTCAATTCTGCAGTAACGAAATATGTTAATGTACACATTTATATATCAAAACGCGCACGTGGTGAAATGTTGAATAAAATTTTCACAAATTACCTCTTATTTATGGAATCTTGGGGAGCGATTGGATGAGACACCTCGATGACGTCCCGCTCCCCAATTGCCATGTACAGCTTATCAGATTCGGGTGGTGGCGCATTAAAGTCATGCTCCGATTGATTGACCAGATTCTGCAGACCTTCTCTCATGTATGTCTGCCACGGTGGAAACGCTTCGTTTTCAGCCTACAGGAAAGGAAACATTGAGATGCTAGACAAGCACATAATACGGTTCAAATTACCTGTTTCTTGAGAGTCGCTGCGATTTCTTGAAGACTGAGATTCGGCGGGCAATACTCCTTGGTCTCAAAATGATAGTTTCCGCTCTCGTTCATCTTGGCACTTTCGCAATAAACATACGCGTATTTCTTATTGAGCGGCGTCGGATGCGATATCACTACATCGCCCAATCGCACGTGTTTATTGTAATCTGTATAATGAGGGACACCACCACCAACTCCGACGAGAAAGACAAAATCCACTTTTTGAAATGTACCTGTAAATACGCGCAGACAAAAACTTGGGTATACTTGTAATATCAAACAAAGTGTCAAAGAAGATACTTAAAATACATACCTAACAATCTAGTAGTAGTATTGCCAGCCGCGGTCATTGCTTCCCTGGTGTGTCCCACAGTTGGCAATTTAGTGCACACAATCCGATGCGTACCGACATTGCCCAAAGTATATACATTTGATTCCCCTACAACAAACGGTATCTATTCGTTACATGTATCTTTATAGATTGTCAAGTTTGTATCTCCTTTTGTTCTCAATTTGCATATGATACATGTGCATTGTGCGGCTATCATCAACAAGTATGACGGAACCTGTGTTCTATGTGACAATAAAATAGGAAACAATCCATTTTTCACGGAGATGCATCTCCAAAGTCTAGTAATAATACTAGACACAATATAGAGAGGCAAGTAGCGTGTCAAAGATTTATTTAAAAATCTGTATGTAGTGTATCTTTGCCAAGTTACAGATTGAATAAATGCAGTTGTTAAAAAATTAAAATCTTTTATTAACATTTTCAAAGACAGAGAGTGTTGATTAAAAAAAGAAACAATATCTTGTTCTCTCTGTTGGAAACAAATAATAAAATAATCAAATTATTGCAATATTACTCGTAGATAATAAAGATGAGAAAACTTGACGAAATAATGCAATATAACCGCACAAAATTAATGTAATACAAAATATGAGTAAGCCCAACAAAAACGTTACACATAACAAAAGACAAACTATACAAGACGTTCACAACACAAAACAAAAACAATAATAATAATTTTACCAATATTGTATACATATGTATGTATAACTATGACATAAAAGAAACAATGTGTTTGAAAATTGCAACACCATTTTGCCCTGCATTGTTCTTCGGTCACAAGCAATTGGCAAGCTATGAAATGACATAAAAATGATAGAGAGTTATGTTACAAACTACTTTACCAAAACGGCATATCACTCGCGGAATCCCGTCTATCGTATCTGTCGGTGAGCTTGCGGTACCTAAAGTTTCATGCATGATGAAATACATCCCCATTATCGTTTCAACATTTGCCGCAGATTAGCGGAGCAATATAAATCAACAGTTATATTTGCATGGGAGTGGACAAACAAGGAATAACTATATAACCGGTCGGAAACTGATTAGCGAACATTTACCGAGTACAATTGTTTTAAAACTCGTTTAGTAACTCGTTAAAAGAAAAAAAACTATAGCTAGAAATAAAAGCGAGGTAGTTAATGAAAATATTTTTCTAATATTCCAAGGCAATTCAGTAACAACTATTTATCTAATGAAAGAGAGAGAAATTAGTTTACTTTTTAGTATATCGCAAATGTTACAGCTTTAGAATTATCGTTTTCAGGTGTAAAGTGTATTTGAAATAGTAATAAAAAAGAAAAGATCTTACCAACAGTGGTGTAGCGAACAAAGGTTTCCTTGTTCTCCATCAACGAATCCACAGCTAGTTTTTCACAATATTGAGCTGTAATGATAGCTATGGTGGGTTGTTTCGCGCTTGCCATCGTTGGCATCTGTTTTACCACCTAAGAATACATTTTATAGCGTTTATTACGATATACGTAAGTTAAAGAAATATCAACTGAAAATTTATATTTAAGTAATAAATTACTTGGACTTGGGTATCTTCAACAACACGTGTAAAAGCGCCATGATCCATTGCTTTAACGAGCCCTTTCTCTTGAAGCTCTTTCAATTTAGTCTCCACAGCAGATGGTTCCCACCCATGTTCCCTAACAGCAACATAACATTGAGAAATATAATTTCGTTCAATAGATTATTTTCTTCATCTAAATTGTATTTAATACAATTGCTTACTTTGCGATGTCAACCACGGTGACTGGATTCGGATAGGCAGACTCAATAAGCTCCAGAACTTTTTCTACCGTTAGCTCAATCACTTGACCCATAACGGTTTCGTCTGTAGATACTTTCAATAAAAAAAAAAGAAAGACTTATTTAATCATGCAATAAAATAGCGGACATTGTAGTAAGTTTGTCAGAACTTTCAAGCCGCACATATGCCTATTGTAATTTTAAAATGACAGTTAATAGCATCGAAACAAGAATACAGCACTCCATAACATATGCAAGTTAAATCATCTGCCGTGTGGATGAGTGTAGATGAATCTTTGCGTATTAGGTAGCTTTGAATCTGTTCAAGGTAGAAATGTGTTCGAAAGTAGTATAACGCTGTAACAAGTGCACAATTTAACTAGTCCTTGTTTCTATAGCTAGAGTCGAGCTAGAACCGTTAGTGAGGGATACACAGCTAATGTATATGTGGGAGTGAACACATGTACGTATATGGCAGCTAGTGACCATGAATAGAAGGTTCGTGCTCTACATGGATGCATTTCCTTACAGAATGAAGACTAAAATGGCTAAATGTCGTTGTAGTATGGTAACGAATAACCAATTGGAAAGACAGAATTTAGGGCAGACAAATAAGTGTGATTTTATGATATAACATGTGCATATGATTCCAATGCTAAAAATTTCCATATAATTTAAAATTAATGCGGAGAAAACAGCATTGTCGAAATGAAATTTTAATCAAATAAATCCATATTCCAAATATAATATTTATTGTGTATATATCTCATATCGAATTGTTGTCATGTATGTTGAGTGTAGGGTATTTCATTGCGTTATGTAATAGTTTCATCTATAATCATGCTGTGAAGGTAGATATGTATACATTGTACACCATGTGTATAGGGAATACGAGATCCAGGTCAAGTGGTTAAATGGGCCATTTTTCACACTCTAGTTAATATATTATCTAATAATTGATCGTTCGGTTAAATAGATTGGAAAAGCCTTTTTTACATAATCAAAGTGCATAACTTTTATAAACCCGTAACATATATCGTCTCAATTTTAATGGGGGCAGAAATATTTCTCCTCTTCTTTCTTTTTACGTTGCTCAACGGAAGCGTCGTAATATGAATCAATGCAATGCAGATCATAATACTAGGCAAACTATGTTAAGTCAATGTTGTTATGGTTACCAGATTATTGTGCCAAGCGATTGTGATTTGTGATGAGACTGTATATGTATCTACTAGCTAAGAGAAATTCCTTTTCTTTTCTTTAAATCTCTAAAATTATGCACGACAAAAATGTATGGACAATCTCTTGTCCAGTAATTGTGTTACAAGGGAATATATTGTGTCAGAGTTTTGTTCGGACTATTAGCCTGTGTATGAGAAAAGAAAGAGAATAGACATCAATGAAATGTGACAAAAATGCTGATTTTTTCATTGTCGAACCTGAGCTCCACATAACTTTCTCAGAGGGAGGAAGTGTGAATAGTAAGTGACCAGTAGCTGTGAATAATAGAAATTAAGTATGAAACAGATGTTCAATACAATCTAACTGCGAGTATAGTACAATGTACATGGGAAAAACCTGACTTTAAATTATATAATGAATATATGAGCCACTAAGAGTTTTAGTCAAGTGTGCATTTCCTTTTGAGTCGCTACGGCGCGCACTTGAGACACGCCTAATATCTTTCAATAAAGAGCCTATTAAGCCCAATCGGCTTAACCAAATAACCATTAACCCCCCTTTTTTTCATTCGTATAAGACTTTTTGGTTTCATTAAGCCAATTACTATTTGAGAATGAGTTTGCATTCTCTCAAATAGTAGAAAATTTACAGACTACAATTCGTAATGCATTAAGCAACTTACATGGCCTGCTTGGAAGGGTGATTGGCTCTTCCAACTGCCTCAATTCCACTTCCAATTTTTTAATACTTGGATATTTATGTTGCATCAATTTCATTATCTTTTTAATAAATCCCACGTAATCTGCAGGAAACAACTAACATTGTAATATTGCACAGCAGTAGAAATTTCACGAGTAATAATAAAAAAAATAGGCCTTGAGAGGCAAACTTTATGTAACACACTTGAATTAACAATCCAATTACAAATCATACGTTTCTGCTCTACTTTCAGCCATCTTCGACGACGCAGTAGCAAATTAATTAAATAATCTCTGCATTATGTAATAATTTAACCGTCTGTAATTTGTATCGGATCGTTAATTAAAGTTACATAAAGCTGACTCGCATACCACAAATTGCGTTTAACTCTCAAGGTTCTTCTCCTTCTTACTAATTAATTTTGGTCTTTAATGGAAAAAAAACTTGTATCAATGAGAGAAATTCATACACGACAAATTGATAAACTCCTTAACACAGTTTAAAATCACATCTTTACGTGTTTATAAGAAGAGAAAGAAACGTTTGGTGATCTTGAGAAGAAACAGTTCCAAGAAGCATTGCTTATTGTTGGATCATGTTATGATTCACCTCTAGGGAACTCCTGCGGCGTAACGAGCTCTCGAAAAAATTCTTGTGCGACGCTCGGCTGTTCCGCCTCGGCGAGTGTATCGACAAACCAGAATTGAAGGGTCCTCTGTTCCTGCGTGTGCTTGCCGGTTTGCGCACTCACCAGGAATACTCTGAATTGCAGGCACAGTTGAGCGGGAGGCAGCTCGCCATTTGTCACTACAACAATTGGATATATTAAGTATTGCCAATCTGTGTTGAGGCGAAGGCATCGTACCGGCCACGGCTTGTTTGTTAATGACGATCCCCTTGTGGTCACCACCGGCGACGTGAACGTTGTTCCCGTTCTCCGTCGGAGGGTCCAGAGCCTGCCTCTCGATTATCAACGTCGTGGAGTTGGCCGTCTTGCACTTTGGCGTCATAACGATGTGCTCTGCCCCGGGAAAAGAAAATGCGCATTCACACAAAGTTTCTTATCTTCGTCCTTATCGCGCGAGATAAAATCGGGGAAACGAGAAACCCGCCCGAAATCTTTCTAGTACGCGCACCGAGAGATCGCGTTTCATCGCTTACCAGCTTTCTCACCCATCTTTACTACGTTCCGCTCCGTTCCGATTGCTGTAACGCACTATCGCTCGTTGACGAAAGTGACAGGAAGGCGCGCCGAACTAGAACGTTTTGTGACGCAACAATCCAACAACCGCTCGGATCGACGAACGACCGCTAACTGTCGACAGTGGCGTCACCGATCGCGCCTTTTCTCTTTCACCACTTCCACCGTTCCACCGCGGATCGGCGCTGTCATGTCAGCAGCCGATGCATCATCCCTCGTTCCCAACCCCGTCTTTTACCCAATTCTTACTCCGGAATTTATGTTGGTCGAGAAAATGTACAGATTTGAGAAAACAAGGAGCCACATAAAGGCCATCGTTCCAATTGCCATTGATTTCTCGTCGATATTCAATCGCAGGTATGACGTCATCGTTATATTTATATAACAACCTGCGACCGATTACGGAAAACAAACAAGAGACGCGCGATGAATCAACGCGCATTAAATCGAGACGTACGCTTAAAAAGGTTTTATTTGCAATATTTCGCAATAAATGTATTTGCATCAACTTAAACGTGACATTACAAAAACGCCTATAATAAATACGTTTCTTAAAATAGCGATTATAAAAAAAACACGACTAAAACAAATTACTTGAGTGGGGAAGTACATAGATACATCGTAAGCTCAACAAGTACCTTCTTTACATTACAATCGAGAGAATATCTTATCTTTGCAAGTTCCCATCAGTGGTTTGAATTTCCTAAATTTGGCATTATGTAACATTACCGCAAGTGCTGTCGATACTGATAAATTATACTACGAAACATATTTGAGCTTTATCACAAGAAATATGATCTAAAATAATCCTTCAAAATACAATTAAAGCCTTATTTACAATTCTCAACTAGTATCTTTGATCTTAAACATATATTGGTATTAGAATAATTATTAATTTAACAAGTTAATATGTGTATGTTTTTCAAGCACGAAGAGTTGTTCGATACAGCCAACTTCCATTAACGGCGAAGAATAGAAAATTGGCGACTAATACATTCAGTAAAATGATTGGAGCCCAACAGATTTCTCCCTCAAATATTTCTTGCGAGTGTACTCGCGATTGCTCGAGGACGTTACTATGGCATTTACATCGCTAAAGTTAAATCGTGGTTTTTATCTCAGGGGCATTGACGAAATGGATGTCATAGATGTTAACGAAGACGGGCCGGAACTAAGATTAAGTTTGTCCAGTTCTTCGTCCGCTTTGTTGTTCTTCAGGTCCTGCTGCGTGTACAGGAACTTGTTCCATTCGTCAATCCTTGGATGAGCTAGGTGCTTTATCAAAGCAAGAATCAAGTAGTGGGTGTTTTCATAAGTTTAAACACGCAATATTATCAACTTTAATGAAATGAAATATCAATTGGCATACCTCGGCGACATCGTAGACCCATATTTTACCGGTATCATCGCCGACAGTGACATGCAATCCGCTTGGCGTCCACGACACTCTGTTCAGAGCTGGACACCCATCGACGACGACGCTGGCGGTGGGTACCTCCGTATCTTGATTCAGATTCCACAAGTCCAGCCTACCGGAATCGTCAACAGCGGCGAAGAGCGCTGGATGCGTCGGAGACCAAGCGACGTCGTAAACGTAGTCGCCGTTGTGCTCGAAAGAGTAGAGAGACTTGTTCTCTTTTAGGCTCCAGAGTTTGATAGTCCAGTCGAGGGAAGATGTGAGGAATAGATGGGAAAAGTCTATCCCGCCCTGCACCGCGTGTGCACTGATACCGGTCACCGGTCCCTGATGACCCTCGTACGTTTCCGTCAACCCGGCGCGGCTACCGTGTCGGCAGGCTATTCGACAGAACGTTCAAATATTCATCATTCTTATACATTCTCTTGGCACATTTTTCACGTGGACGATTGCATTTACCCGAGTAAACGGTCCCGTCCTCACTTCCCATGACGAAATTGTTGACGTCGCCGTGCGGGAAGGCCAAGCACGTGGCGGCGATCGCTTTCGATTGCTTCGTGTGCAATTCCAATGCTTCTTGCGGCTGTGACAGCATGTCCAGGCTCCACGAGCACAATTTGCCGTCCGTCGAAATGCTTATTAGATTGTGCGCGTTTTGTGTTCCAACGACGCTCAAGCAGTATACCGGGTGCTGCGCAACAAGTAATGACTCTCCCTTCTTGTACTCTAAGCTCAACTTACTATGTACGATGAGTCACTTACGGTATGCGCGGTAGCTGACAAAGGAGTGCGTTGTATAGGAGTCCTCTTTTGCACTCGATTGTCCCAGAGCACGATTTGACCCGAGTATGTGCCGCCAAGGATCAAATTCGGATGGAATCTGGCGAATGTAGTGGACATAACGGGCGACTGACAGTGAAAGATAAACTCTGGAGTTGTTTTCTTGAATTTCGTGTTCCAGATTAGGCACACGCCATCAGGATCGTTCGGAGTGTCATCGTTATTGTTATACGAAGCGGCCAAAAGCTCGGGGAATTGCGGCGACCAGTCCATAGAGGTCACACAACGATTACGAGACCATCGCTCGCAGATGAACGAGCGATTCAGCCACAGCCGTTGATGACTCTTCTCGTCCCTACAAATTTACATACATCAAGCAAAACAATCAAAGATTGATAACAAAAATCTCCCAATTGTAGCTTTCTACTTACATTCCGTCTTCGCCGTCCATAGTGCCAGCATAATCGGTGTAGATATCGACCGATTCGCCCAGTGCTCTCTCCACGATTCTGCTGGTGCGATCGAGGAATCGTTGGAAGTCTTCCGACAGGATAATCATTTGCTTCTCTTCTTCGCTAAGCTCCCGTACTGTGAGGGTATCAACATCTTTCGTCAGTCAACAGCAACACAACTAACGCGAGGGATCGACACTTGACGCACCTTCTTTCTTGGGCTTCTCTTTCTCTTTCTCTTGCTCTACCTGTGTAACAGCAGGCTGGACTTCCTTAACTTGCGGCAATCCGTGAGGAAGGATTCCCGGTGGCAGCTTGCTCTGGAAGCCGTCCATGTGCGGCAAGCTATTTTCCTCGTCTTCGGCTTGGCCATCATCAAATGTCAAAACTGTGGTGAATAAGCTGGTTCCGCCACAAGTACCCTAACTTCAATTTAACTACCTAGCTACTCATCTACCTATTTATTCAGAATTTAACTATTCTAATGTTCGGAGGTATCGCTTTTGTATTTAAAACAAACAAAAGTAAAAAGCTAATTATTCCGCAACAAATATTGAAATGCTTCAAAAATTATTTATAGCGCAGTAATTTATTCAATCTCTTGAATTTGTCTAAGAGAAAAACAACACTGTGCATTTTGCTAAAAAAATCCTAACACTCGTTTCTGCAACATTTTGCATTTGTCTTTACATCTCAAGTGCCAAAAAATGTTACATGCCAGCGTGTTATTTAGAAGAAAAAAAAATTAATAAATTACGATTGTCTTCTTCATAACGTTCTTTAATATGAACTCTGCACAGGTAACTGTCGACTTGCAAATGTTTAACGAAACCTCATTACGAAGGAGCAACATCTAGTAGAAGCATTGATAAATGCCACAATAATTTACCATGCTGGAAATTTATCATTGCTAAGGTTTCATATATGTATGTGGAAACAAAATTATGAGTGTGAGCCTAGATGACATGCAAAATTAGCCACATGTACGAAAGGTGGACTGCTTGTTGGTGGGCTGTCGTAAATGACATTGATTTACATCTTTTCAACTTATCTTTCTTTCAATGTGTCTCTCCACCCTTTGTTGGCATGCAGCACCTCGATGAGGTGAAACGATGCGTGGAAGATACGGGGAGAAATAAACGTGAACGTTACAAGTAATAAGAGATTACTAATTTTCCCTTTACCAGCGTAATTACTATAATATTACCTATTGTGATTATTGATGTGATTATCAATGGGTGGGATGTAATAATTGCGTGAGGTTTCACCATCTCTCTCTCTTATGACACTTATATCGTATAATGATCAATGATGAATAAATAAAGATCAATGATCAATGAGGGCGGGAAAGAAGTGAATTTACAGCCGCGATCGTGTAAATTAATTCTTCTTGAAACAATAAAACAATGAACAAATGCACATCGAGTGGAGATTTAACGCAACTTTCCAGGTCTCATGCAGTACCGATAAAAATTACAACATTTACAACTGCTACGAATATGAAATAAAGTAGCACCCAAGGATTCTCTGTTGCTTTACTTGTCAAAAAATGAATAAATGGCTAAATTCGTGACCAAATCTTAATTAAAAGTGCTAAATCCTAAATATTTTCAATCATTAGATAGCTCGCAGTGTGCACCGCCATGTAAAAAGTAACGATACAAAGCTCAATATTTCTGCATGCATGATACGAAAAGCGTATTATGTAAAGAAAAAAAATGTAATAAAAACATATATATATATAAATATAGCACAAATCATCAAGCAAATTGTAAACTCTAGCGGTAATTCCCTCTTTTTCAGTGCATATGTAAGAGAGGATAAATTGCAAAGAAAGTTACACAAGATATCAGGCGCAACTTTGTGAGGGTGTAAGGTAGAATTATGGGCATGTGTCTGTGAGATAATTAGACAAAGTGAATCGTCTCTAGAGAGGAATTACCTACCTGTAAATTCGTCCTCCCATTCTAAACCAGGATTTAGATTGTACTCGTCTTGAAGGAGGGAAAAGAAAATGTCAATCAATTTGATATCCTATTTGCCAGAATTGTTTGTAGCGCTTTTTTAAAAAAGAAATATATATATATCTCTCTTTAAATACGCATTATTGATGCATAATGATACATGTACAAAGGCTAAAAGTTACTCGAGTCTTTCACATTTCTTCATCGCGAATCTAACGTGAGATTTCGCCGGATTTTTCTACCGTCACATCATTCTCGCGATAACGTGTTACGCAATATAAGATTCAACTAACTTTCCTTATTTTGTCATGCAAAATACATCAACAATCGCTCGAGAAACTTGAAAGTAACAATTGAAATTGATAAATCATAGTCTGCATATCTATTTACATGCGTACTATATTCCCATTAGCAACGGCATTGTAATTTTCATTTCGAAATATATTTCAAAATACTGATTTAAACTCACTAGAGAGTTTAATAAAAAAAAAACGAGTCTCCGATTAAAATATTTATAAGTTGTTTAACATCTTTGCTTAAATATCGAATAAAAGAATTCGTAGGAATCTCTTCTCATCTTCAATATTCGAGATATTCTCTTTCTCGCGTTAATTGTTATTATAGAATGTGACGAGGTAGGATATTTCTCGGAAAATAAATCTGGCACGAAAACTCATTGTTTTGGAAAAATTTCAGAAAAAAAGTTTCCATAGCAAATTAAAATGAAGACAAGTAAGGGATCATGAAATTGAAATAACAATTTAATACAACACACTGACATCTCCGACTATTGAAATAAAAACTGTACGTTATTTCAGTTCTTTCGATCGATGAGACTCGATATTTATAGTTTCCTTCGAAACCGTTTGGCAGCGAAAATAAGCCTGTCAACATTCATAAGATAGGAAAAAATGCGCGATACATATTTTGAGAACGTTGTACGGCTATGCTGCGACATATTCATGTGGACACATACATCAGTCTGTTGTTTTTCGAACTTTTGTTAGGTCTATTAACTTTGTTGTTGCTATGCCACCCACGTGCTGTTAAGAAGCAATATTCTGCCGAGAAACCGAGGAACCTTTTATTAAAAAAGAAAAAAAAAACCCTGCGCCACTAAAAGCTCAAGCGACATATCTTTATATAAAGTATCAAGATGTCATACATCAGTGGTAATTCACTAAAAACAGAGTCAGAGTGTACCGGGAATAACGTGTGTAAAACATGTCATCTTCAACTTGGACCCAGTTAATATCCCACAACACCTTAGCTCTATAAAATTTGCTTTCATGTTAGTAAGCACTGATGATGCGTTAGCATTCCCAAAGAGGTTTCAGACAACGACCGTGAACATCCCGCGAGAACTCTGGAAGGTGCGTTAAGTTGTGACAAGATTTGCCAATGGATATTTCTCTCAAAAAGTTTGCAATATCCTTGATATGTGACGAGATGGCATCAAGTATACCATTAATAGTTATCAGAGCTTTACAATCGTTTTCATGAAACACTACAATTCTTTCTTTTAGTCTCACATGTCTTTTCCTTCGGTAGCATGCCTACTGTGTGAAATTAGTGATATCGTAAGAGACAGCTCGGAAATATATTGCGAAAATCGTGTTTGAAGAACACCAGGGGACGTCGAAACAACCATCGTCGAAATGTATGCATGCTTTCCGAAAATCAAATATATGCGGATAGATTTGTGTAGTGTGCCCGTATAGAGTCGGGATGTCAGATAAACTTTTGGAAAATAATAGATACAGTAAATAAAGAAGAAATGCACCCAAAAATAGGCAAACTTAACGAAGAAAAAGAGTCGGAAGAGATATAAAAGCATATCCGTGTGAGATAGCCAAGACCGATTAGGCTCCGGGTGGAGAGTCGTTTTGCATTCCTTACTGACATTTCCTATGGAAAACGCCCAAGACACGATACTCTTGATTTCTTTTCCAGTCTCTCGTTATTCCGAACAAAGGCAAGTAAAAGCACTATCTAGTATGTTGCAAGTGTCCCTTAATTTCACCTAATGAAACCTACTGAATTGTAAATTTAGTAATAATTTCCTTCGTCTCAACAGGTTCGTTTTTGGCGCGAATAATTTGAAATTTGGAAAACAGCATGTAAAATGTAATTCAACTAGCGCGACACTCTGGTGCTCGTAAGTTCCTAAGATCGTTGCCTCAAGAGTAATACAAACTGAGTACAAGCTAAACCTAACTCTGAACCTAAAAATCGTTTTCAGAACCAAGAGAAATCATAACTTACCGTAATAGTCGAATGCATGAGCTGAGAAGGGGAGGGAAAAAAATTGTACTTAGTTACGATATCATAAGAATGCACTACGCTAAGAACACCTCTCTACACTCAGACTCGTTAGTTGCAAATAACAAAGAAGTTGACGGCAAAATTCCAAACTGTACTTGTGGTAGGGCGATAAACAATTTTGTCGCTGTAATTACATATATATATATATTATTATCTAGCGGGCTTAATATTCGACTGTATATCCTATAGGGACAACGGCAAATAAATTTGTACGTGCTGTATAATTTGGTCGTGAAAATTTCCAAAGAAATGGACAACGGTAAAGAAAATCGTAGCGTTTTACAGACATGATTTTCGAATAGCTTGTACCTTAAGACAAAAGTTACGCTGAATGTAGTTAGGTGGATATAATTTTGTAAATAATTCTTATAATGTGCTTCGGTTCTCCTATGAGAGAAGAGGAAACGTACATATTCAGAATGTTTATCATTAGGGTAATTAATGTTTATCTTCCATGTTCAACACTTTCGTTTACTAGCGATTGTAATGTACAATACATTAGTCATCGATCCTAATGTTATCCCTACAATGGATGCGCTCTTTAATTAATCAACTGTAATATCTCACTTACATCCCTTGTCACACTTATGCCCACCCCCCAAGTCTCTCTGAAAATCGATATTGCTATCATTGTTCTTGTTAACATATGCGGAAACAATAAAGCAAATGATTTTAGAAGCGACGTGGGCATTTTTCTCTCAATGTTAGTATATCTTAGCAATTGACACTTTACCAAGAGCATTCAAAATTATTACACAGAAAATCAGTTATTTTCATATCTTACATATATACCTATCGTTAAAGATAATTATTTTTATATCTAAAAATGTATTTGGAGAAATATTCTATGTGAGCACAAATACCAATTCTCTACCAGCACGCATGAGCCATGGCACAACAATATCTCGTAAGAATTTCAGTTTGTGATCGTAATTTCTATGTTTTTCCCAACAAACAGGACCCCTAGAGTTAACGTGCTGTGTAATCTTAACTCTCTGTTAATTAATTTTTTCATTAAACTATTGAAGCGTGAGTAAGCTTTTTGTATTATATGCAAGCAAACGGTCATCTGTGTATGTGGAAGTAAAGAAATCATAAAAGGAGATAGCCAACAGTGAAAGATACTTGTAACGTAAGAACTGGTCTCGTTGTCAGTACGGTAACTATATATACTAATTTACAGTAGATATAAATTTCCACACACAAAAAAACTCTTGCACAATAGAAATGTAAAATCGGTTATCATAGCAACTTGTGTGTGTGTGTGTGTGTGTGTGTGTTTGTGTAAATCTTCACGACTCCTCGTTGTCTTCACATAACTTTAAATACATGAAGAAGAACGAAAAATCAAAGATGTTGCGGAGCAATGTTTAAAAAGCGCAAAGCACCCCAAAGATTAGACTCTACATTCCTTCGCTTGGAACGCGACATATCTCTACCTTCCGATGTGTATCTCTACCTCTATAATGTAACGTCGTACGACAATTATGGAAGGGTAGTAAAAAAGTAGACAGAACATACATAGGTAGTTTGGTGCAGACCCACCTTTCCTGGGACGCCACCAGTCAGTCTCAAAGTAGCCTGCGGAGCAAGAGTGAGTTGGTGTTGTTGTTGAACAGGAGGAGTAGATGGTGTATGCAGAGGACGATGTGGACAGTCCTTGTGTCCAACACCGGATGAATCGATCAGATTGTATCGCAAGACAAGGGAACACGCGTATGTTTAATTAACACCGCAAGATCAGTTAGGTAGCAAATGTACAATATGTATATTCTTGGTATAATATTCCTCTGTGTCCATCTTTGGTATATTCATTCAAAGTAAAAAAATTATACAATCGGGTGAATAATCTTACTTCACTTTTATCACAGTAAAGTAGGTGGTATCTCGGAATGAAATTATGTATTAAAAATTTGTTAATCACTAACATATATTGTTTGTCATTATCTTCGTAATGTTAGCAGATTTCAAGATTGAGATTAATCATCGGAAACATATAATGTAGGTGTTTAAAAACTAACTGAATTTGCGGTTGTGTCATGGAAATGAAAATGTTGTATGAAGGAAAAAGTTGCCACCACCAAAAAAAACCATAAACCAAACCCAGATTGATTGTTAGATGCTTACTACCCGCTATGTAATGACCAATAATGTTTGTTATACACATAATCTAAGGCTCACAATAAAAACTGTTATTCATTCTCATTTCTAATAATAATTGTGGTATAATATTAAGAATAATACATTATTCATTTTCTTGTATATTACTCAAATGTTATTAGTGTATATATATTAAACATGTGCTGAGATTAATAATATCTGTGTCACTACATCAACACAATATGTTATCCTTTTAATGCCGAGTGTTGTTTAAGTAACAAAATATTAACAAAATCATGTAAAAGTGTTGAAAACTATTCATTCCTTCATAGATAATATGAAGAATCTGTGCAAAATAATGATTGCGATGTAATGAATTATTAAATTCATGTTTTAAGAATATGTAAGTTTCCTCGCCACTTAAAAATTAATTATAAGAAAACAATTTAGAAGGTTAACTCAATCTTAATGTTATCCGTCATTCCCAAACGAAATTTTTTAAATTGCACTTGTGTGATTAATATCATAATTTACTCCATTCGCAGTTAATACACGAAATAATTCACAAAATAATGCACAAAAAAATATTGTTAAGATACGCGTATGGTTACAGACAGATTGTAACACAGTGTTGTAAAAAAAAAAAGAAGAGATATACATAGAAAAGACGTATCGAGTCTCTTTCTTTACAGACCACCCACTTTACCATAGCCAATCATAAAAATTGTATTTCTTGCGAGAACAGGAATGTGTAATTTGATGATATCTCAGTAATCTTAAAATACGCACTGTGCGAACGCGCTATAAACTTGTAAACTTATGTTGAAGTGAGTATTAATAATTAATGGAATTATTTGGCATAAAAAGTAGCTGAAAATAGTTAACTTGAAAACTAATTATATATTTCAATTCCATCAATATTTATGTACGCCTAAACATTGTGAATGAAATATCACGTGTTTATCCAATATCTAAACGCTCCTTTGTGAGATCACGAGTAAGATGTAACACATATGTGCAATATAGATATAAATCAATAAGTACAAGAGAAATATTGACTCACCGTCGTGGGATGTGTGTGTAGTCTGAATGGTTTGCGTTTGCTTGCTGTAAACGACCGGTTCTTTCGGCGGGATGTTTGTATGCGCCACAGAGACAATTGTCAGCTCCCGATTCTTCCTTCGTCCTGCGCTGCTTTGCATCACGGTGTCAAGATTAAATAAATCCATATTGAGAAAGACGCAAATACATACCTTTGAGCAGAATTTATACTAGACGGTTGCAAACTGGCGTCTGGTGTAGCATTAGCGCTTTGCTCAGGCGTCAGCGAGCTCATACTTGACAAACTTGAGAGTACATCTGCAAGGAAACGAAAAGAATTGGGCGTCAAAGAGGCAGATAGGGAAAGGTACGACTGGTAATCAAACGTGTTGTATACCCGACACTGGCGCTACGCCCAAAGAAGACAGCATTGCATCTATCTCCTTGCGCTGATCCTTGTCCGTGCCAGCGGCACGAACGGTAGCTTCTTCTACCTATAATTCACGAGCAAATGGTTTCGCCATTAGAATCGTCATACACTTTACGTGGATAGAAAAATTGTTCTTACATCCTTCTGTTCTTTCTCCCTCCTGCGCCTCTCCTTCTCCTCCCTAATAGCTTGGAGCTTCGCCTTCTTCCTCTCTAGCTCGGCTTTACGGTCGGACATCATTTTGTTATCTATGGATATCTGCAAAATTATATCACAGACTGTTCAACGATATATGCAAAGTACCGTACGTCTGAAAGGAAGCTAGCACGAATAAACCCAAATGCAGTTATTGATTTCTCAGCGATGACGTCAACGCGAAAAATTGTCGGTAACATTAAACTTTCCGTTGACGATCGCGAGGCAAATTGAAGCATCTACTCGGTCACGATCGGGCGATCACTCGAACCGGAAGGACGCGCCGGTTTAGACGAGACGAATCGATACGGGACGCGGACGTCGAGCGGTCGAGCGGGACCACCCGCTCGATCGAACGTGGGCGATGTCGACGTAACGGTGCGCTAATCGTTAATCAAGTTGGACGGAAATGGTGAGGCTCTTACCTTCGCCGGGGGTAACGAGCGGAGCGAGCACGACGAGCGATCTGACGTACGCGAGCCTCTATTCCATATACATTTTACATCATTTAAATTAATTCAAGGAATGACACAGGAGATCCACACGGTTCGTCCACGAGCACCATCGTTGATCGCTAGTTGTCGCTGGCGCCATCTTGCCTTAATTCGCCGTAAGACTACGCCAGAGTGCGCTAGAAACGGCGCAAGTTTCATTTCGTAAATAACACGAGCGCTGGGTAACCTCGCTTTCTTCACGTAATTGCTTATTATCGTGAGGCTTGTCGATTGCGCGGAGAGTCACAATTTTAAACAATGGCACACATTCCTTCGGAGCTCCTATCGCATCAGCAGAAAGTGTGCAGGCTCTACAAGCGCGCCGTTCGTTGCATGGAGGATTGGACACATAATACACACGAACGCAGGTACAGCCAAGCGATATTTCAAATCTTTCTCTGGGGCTCAAACTAAAGATAACTAATGATTCTATGTGTAAATGAGATCTACGAGTTGATTGCCTTTTCTAGGTACGAGGCTGCCTTGTTGAGAGAGCGCTTTGACAAGAATAAAGATATCAAGGATGTGCGTTACGCAAAGCATCTGCTGGAAGAAGGAGAGAAAGAGCTATTCTCCAAGATTCATTATCAACCGATAACGTTCGCCAATTCGATCACAGGAGGGGCGTACGGCCGGGAGTGCGATGCTCCGGACTGGATGTTGGATTACTGGCATCCCATGGAGAAAGCTATGTACCCCAAGTACTTTGCACGCCGTGAACAAATGAAGGACGAGTACGAGAAGTGGTACTTTGAAACTTATCCAGAGGAAAAGAAGAAGATTGACAGTCACTAGGCGCCTGTAAAATAACATACGTATACTTGTGTTGTATCGACAGCGTCGTTGCTTGTAGATAATGTTGTAATATAATAATGCGCATTGTTACATCAAAGTCTTGTTTCGTACAATTGCTATTCCTATCATTCCCGAGTGGACAAGTGCCGTTTCGAAATCAGCGCATATACATATAAACGTGCTCCGTTTCATACATATTTATTATCATTATATTATAATTAGAATACATAGCGAGCAACCTAGTGTATCTCTATCCATAATTTAATTCATTATACATTTAACACATATAATACTAACGTAGCACAAAGTAACATGTGTAGTTTGAAAAACACAGACAGCAAACTTGCCTCTGAAAATCTCTTCCAATACACTGTAAGAAATTATTGCGCTTGGACGTTTGTAATTTCAAATGTTGTTTCCGTCGTAACATGATTCGTCCGTTTATGTCTCCACGAAAGAATAGAATACTGTCCATGGACATTCGTCTAGCGCACGATTCAATTGACGTTCTTGCGTGATGTCGAGTCGTTTCTTACTAATTTTAAAATGTCCAAATCTTTCGTTCGAAACGTAACAAGTTTTTATGTCCAATTTGCAAATAAGTTGGCATACTTTCTGAAATATTACATGAATGCCGCAGAAATTGTTATCACTTCTGCAACTTCATTCTGCACCTTTATCAAAAACAATATTACCAATTACTTATTCTAAGAGTTATCAATTTGTATTGTATATAATTGTGTGTGTGTAGTTTTAGAGTATTATATATATATATATATATATATTTAAATCTATATATAAATAAAATATATGAACAAATGTTTTACCTATGTTACAATTCGTCAACATTGATAGATTCGACTTCGGAAGCGACGTTCGGAAATGGAACAAAGTAAAAAAAATGTAGAATCGCTGTACTTGTGCTCTTACAGTAGGATTCGTGCGCCACACGTGATTTATGATGTAATGTCATTCACATGATGTCTTGTACGAAATTCCAGTTTATTACTCGCAATTAAGTAAGATCGGTAACTAGGTAAAACTACATGCTCTATGAATACAATGTCTGAATTTTTATGTATACATATCTCTCTCTCTCTTATACGTAGCTTGCAAAATTCTCTTAATGATCACACCAGAATATTCTCGTGACGAGGCAAGATTATACATGGGGAAAAAAGAAAAACGAAATAAACTCATCTGACACTTAAATGAAGGTAATTACATCGTTCCTAGTTTCTCATCTATCTTCATCTTTTTCAGTGACTTGCTATTAGGACATAATGCCTCTTGCAGCTTCTACTCCTCTACCTTCATATTTTCTTCTTCCTCAAAGTTTGCTCTATCTCAATGATGTCGTCCGGTTATTACATAGATCGGAAGTCATTCGTCACGTGATTAGGACTAACTGGTGGGCGGAGGTGGCGGTGGTGGTTGCGCGAGTAACGTCGGCAGCGTGTTCAGGTCGATCCCAGGTGGTGCAGGAGTCTGTTGTTGAGGCGGAGGCGGGACCGGAGCAGCCGGTGGCCAGCCACCCATCTGTTGTGGCTGCCAACCACCGGGGAAGCCTGGCGGCGGCGCCGTGCCCGGCGGAGGTGGCCGCATCGGTCCCTGCTGACCTTGTTGCCACGGCGGTATGCCCATGCCGGGCGGAGGAATCTGCGTAGGCGGCATTTGACCCGGTGGCGGTGGTTGGTTGTTACCGGCCATCCACGGCATTAATGGCGGAATGTTGGGCTGCGTAGTGGAGCCGGGTGGAGGTGGCGGCGGCTGCATCACTCCCGGTGGCGGCGGCATGCTCACTGGCGGCTGCCATTGCATGTTCATGTTGTTCATCCCTTCGCCTCCTTGGCTCCACGGCGGTGGCGCCATGCCCGGCGGCGGCATCATCGGACCGCCCTGCATCATTTGCGGCGGTGGATGCGCCGGAGCTGCCATTAACGCTCGAGGTGGTTGTTGTCTAAAAGAATCATCGTATCCGATATAAATGGTAAACTACATTTTTCCCCACATCATTCCAGGGAAAAGAAAATCTACCTATCAAATAGTCCGGGATAATTGGGATTGGGAGTCTGTCTGTTTTGTCCTGTTTTCGATCTGTCCGGTGGTGGGCCTTCCCCCAATTCTGCCATGAGCGACATGTATTCCTCATCTATCTTGGCCTTGTCCCCAGCTTGACCCATTCCCCCCATTCCGGCCGCTGCTGGACCTCCTTGACCGGGTCTCTTTGATCTACAATCTCGGGCGATATGCCCTGCACCACCACAACTTGAACATACTATGTTGTTGGTCACATTTGGTTTATCGGGACACTGAAATTCCATCAAATAATTACATTAATTGCAGAAATAATCATCCCCTTTCGGCTAAATATTACACAAACCAGCCAAGACTTGTGATCCGAAGCTCCACAATTGGTACAACGAGGTCCATCATTCTCACGTAATGTTCCGTTCAATAAAGCCAACTCGCGTAATTGATTGCGACGTAAGTCATTTTGACCCTCCGGCACTTCCACCCCTTGCCGAATAATTTCATGAATCTGTACATAAACATATAAATGTACTCGTTTACATTATTTTATTCATCTATCTCGTTATCATAAATAAACCAAAAAAAACTAAAAACACGCACTCGTTCCACAGCTTTCTTCACGGCATCTAAATTGTTTGCGGTAATGTATGCGTGTAAAGGTTCATCCTCTCCCGGTAAAGGCTGACCATCTTTCCTGCCAACTTTTCCTTCCTTTACAGAGCCCTTTCCACGAATTATAATCTTTGCGCCAGTTTCCTTTTCCATAGCTGAAAGATTTCGAAACAACACATATAAATTTCTAATCATGTAAGTGTATGTACATCCATAATCTACCAAATGCATTTTCTAGTGCTTACATTTTAGAGTATTTCCACGTGGTCCAATAAGTAAACCAACAAAATTTATATCAGGATGCTCTTCCTGAGGAATCATTACTTTATCGTGAACTCGTATTATTGGTGGCCTGCAAAAAGGGAGTAAATATAAATATTTGTTGTAAAGAAATTCAATTGGCATAAAGAAAACGGATATTTGACTCACTTGTAATCCGGTGGTGGTTTGAACTCTGGATTGATCTTGAGGATCTTCTGAATCAGATTATGACGTTCCTCCTCTAATTTACGTCTTGTACGATACTCTCTCGTGTTCAACCGTTTGCCATCGCTACTGTAAATAGGCTCTGGAGATGGGGATCTGAAAAATACAAAAAATAATACCATATCAAGATATAAATTTTCATCAAGATGGTACTAGCGTACAAGCAACCTGACCCTACTATGACTGTATGAATATATAAGTGGGGAAGAACCGTTTGATTTAGAACAGAGAGTTATGCAGATCTCTTGATAAGGCTCTGATAAATAGCCATTATTATTCAATCTTTTGATACTGTCTTTACTGAATTTTTCATTTATAAAAAAAATCTCATCTATTATTGAAAATTTGGTCTACGGCTCTACGGTATTAGGGAAAAGCTGGTGTAAGAAAAATGGTAAGTAACATTCAACAATTTGACTTCAACATAACAGTATACAGTATTAAACTGTTGATGTACACTAAACAAGTCATCGCATGATTGTATCAGTTTGCTTATGAAATCAGTTATGTACTTTGAAAAGGTACAAAAAGATTGTGTGTATTATAAAAGTTCCCGACAGTGCCAAGGTATCGAAAGAATAGAAAGATTGTCGCTGCCGAATATAGTATAGCTGTATTAGTATTCTATAGTAGGCAACCACTGGAAGACTGCGCGTTTGTGCACGGCAGATATCGGTATGATGTCAGCTGCTAAGACAGATCCTGTGATTATTAAGAAATAATCTTTCGTATTAGTTATAATGCAATCGGTACGTCTTACTATATGTATTAACGGAAACACAATGACATAAAAATAATGGTTCCAGCTAAAATTGGAAAAGTTAAACCTATTGGAATAAATTAATTTACATTAGAAAAAATATATGCATTTATTATTTAAGACCTGTACCTGAAAGTAACGTTAAATTCTTTGTTACAATATTGCGGTACGAATGAGAATTTCAACAAACCGATATTTCCCTGAAATCTGCTCATTAAGTTGTAATTAGCAATAGATATTGGCAAGTCGATCTTAACAATTAAAAAATGTTATAATGCCGTGCAAATCACGGCAGCCTGAATAAAGGGGCAGAATCTCACTCAAGATGACCCATGCATACAATTGCAGATACATAGTGAATCTGATGGTTAATTTTGCACAATTTTGAAGCAACCGTTATAGAAAAAGAATACGATAGGTCACCTCAGAGTTATTCTATGTGTGCAAAAATGTATCTGTACAAGACATATGAACTAGAATACCCACTCTTCTCTTTAAACACTGCTACTAACACGGTTGATGGTATGTCAAATCTATTCAAATCGAGAGCTATCTATTGTCTTGCACGTAGCAGCCAATTCTTCAATTTGAAACTTGAAAGGATAACTTGACGGCACTGTAGCAGTGTTTAATAAAAATGAGATATTAAAAAAGATTAATTAGGGCAAACCAATACTATCAAAATTCATCTTCTGTGTTGCTCTAAGCGAGTCCAATCTTTTCAAATGGACATCGGTATTCCCACACTAATTGAACCACAGAGCCACAGAGATATATCTTTTAGGGCTCCTCTATTACGGGCTGCTGTATGTTCGTAGTAGATAGGTATTGTAGATATGTAATGTTCATTTTTGGTATGTAAGTTTCTTTCAAACCTTTCCTCAGGGTTAAGTGGAATTCCAAGGTCTCCAGTGCGTAGCTTCCTGCTGATTTCCTCAATCTGCAGCTGAACTGTAAACCAACGGGTTAGAGGGGGCGGAAACCCCAACAGTTAGATATTGCCAATTTGCCGTATACATTCTATAAAATAAGCATGTCTCAGAACAGTGATAAGGTATCGCACATATATTTCATTGTCAGTCTTAATTCCAAAGTCTAAAGCTTTGCTTCATACGACTTGCTCGATAACATCTTACTGCACGAGTAAACTTATTATATAATTATTCAAGTGATATGTAACGGTCTATATCGCGTAGCTCATCTAATTCAATTCGACTGTAATCAAAATGCATCGACAGTCCGATTTCAGTTATTCAGCAAAATTGGCAATCCCTCTTGCCAAATTTCATTATTTTACACAGTTTTCAACAAGTCCTGATGCTTACCTCCAAGACAATTTTGAATTTTTATATATATACATTCATTATACTTACATCATTCATAGCCATCTAATCTTATAAATTAGGTTTCAGAAACTTATGTACAGAAGCAATTTAAAACGGTTCCCTAGCCATACTAAACAAAGAGAGAGCGAGAGCGAGAGAGAAGAGAGAGAGAGAGAGAGAAAGAGAAAGAGAGAGAGAGAGAGAGAGACACTGTAAATGTTGCACGAGAGAAAGAAACTTACAAAGATAAGCCTTCTCCTGATCAGGAGTAAGATTTGTCGGTAGTACTGTAGGCATCCCTGGTATAAATGTTTTGTCATGTTCGCTACCACTCCATCTAGTCTTTTTCCTCTTCTTACGTTCTCCATCTTTCGATTCTTTATCCTGTTTACCATCGCCTGCAAAAAATGCTCAAATTATGTTACGTTCTTGCAAAGAAATTAGGCTCTCAGTAAAATAACACGAGTATATAAATGGAGAAGGCAAAAGATGGAACCGTCTCTCGCTGTTGGCGGAAGAGAGGCGGAAGGAGGAAGAAAGTGAAAGGAGAATGCAAAGACGCCTACCATCCATTTCCCGCTTGCGGCTCGCCGTTACAGCGCTCGCCGTGTTTGCGTTCGACTGCGTGCCGTTTGCTATCGCGGCACTCACCGCGGCGGCGGCAGCAGCGGCCGCCGCCGCCACCACCGCTGGGTTCGCGCTCACGGCATTCTGCTGCTGCTGCTGCTGCTGCTGTTGCTGCTGCTGCTGTTGCTGCTGTTGCTGTGCATTCTGCAAGTAGCTAGGATTCAACAATGACGTGAAATTCCTTGGCTGGTTCATAGCTCCGGAGTCTGGAGTCCCGCTCGCGTGCCTTGATCGCGACACCAATATCGTTGACACACTCTCTCCCCCTCTCTCTCTTTCGACAGCAAACAACCGCGTCGACACCCAACAACGGGCGACAGAACAGACGGCGGGTTTACGCACTGAGAAAATGGCGAGACCCCGGCGATGTACGAGTGCACCGTTAACACACCTCCATTCCAACGATTCCAACGATTCCAAGCAATTCCGACGTATCGTCTATCACCCTCCGGGCGCGTTAGCAACGAACGGGCTGATTGGCGCGCTCCAATCGAGCGAAATAATCCGGCCGCGTTCCCATGAATCCCATGCGCTTGCAGCCGAGTGCGGCCGAGTGCGGCCGAGTGCGCCGTCGAATGAGATGGGGCCCGCTCGTTGGAGCACCGTGATGTAACGCTACGTGCGTACTATGCCGAGTGAAGGCATATTGACGCCGGCGGCACGAGACGGGGCTGACGGGAGTAGCAGCGAGCGTCATGAACGGGGGGATCCCGGCTCGAGTGTAGTCACAGAGGATCGACGGCACCGTCGATCTTCTTCTCACGGTGATTGTCACGCGCGCTGTGATGACGATTAGTACGGCAACCAAGACGATGCCGCGAGCTCGGAGCAACCTGAACGGAGCCTCCGTCGCAGCCTGAACGAGACGTAGACGCTTCGCGATCTCTCTGCGCTTTCCTCCTTTCCGTCGAGACGCCGCACCAAGCGCTCCCGGGCGCAATGGCAGCTCACAAGACGGGCGGGCAGAGCGCCCGTAAGAAAGTACAGGTATACTCTCTTTTACCTTTCTGCTGTAATGCCTTGCACCATCAGACCATTGTCTCTTCCTGCCAAGGTGTCTATGGTCATAAGAGACGAGGTGGAGAAGCAGCACAGGGCCGGCGTTAATTCCTTGCAGTACGATCCGGCTCTGCACAGGCTCTATTCCGCTGGTAGAGACAGCATCATAAGGATATGGAATTGCAGGAACATGAAGGAGCCATACATCCAATCCATGGAGCATCACACGGATTGGGTTAACGATATAGTGCTATGCTGTAGTGGCAAAAATCGTACGTGCGTGCTTTTTCTCCCGTCTTACTTGTACCAATTCTAATCGTGTTAATCTCTACAGTTATATCCGCAAGTTCCGACACCACAGTCAAGGTGTGGAATGCGCATAAAGGTTTCTGTATGTCCACTCTGCGCACGCATAAGGACTATGTCAAAGCGTTAGCGTATGCCAAAGATAGAGAACAAGTCGCTAGTGCGGGTCTGGACAAGTCGATATTTTTGTGGGATGTTAATACATTGACTGCTCTCACTGCGAGTAATAACACAGTCACAAGTACGTAATCCCGTGACCGTGTGTACATATCTCTTTTACAAGGCCGTTCTAACAAAACATCTAAACGTCCCGTTGCAGCGTCGTCCTTGAGTGGAAACAGAGACTCTATATATAGCCTCGCTATGAATCAGATCGGCACCATTATTGTCAGCGGTAGCACCGAGAAAGTTCTTCGGGTGTGGGATCCGCGATTTTGTACCAAGCTCATGAAACTTCGTGGTCACACGGACAATATTAAAGCACTAGTTCTCAACAGGGATGGGACCCAGTGTTTATCAGCGAGTTCCGATGGCACTATTAAATTGTGGTCACTTGGCCAACAAAGATGCGTGCAAACATTTAGAGTTCACAAAGAAGGCGTATGGGCGTTATTGGTAATTACGTCTAACAATTTTCTTACTTAAATTTATTGCAGTCTGATGAGGTGTCGCTTTATGTCTAGGCAACGGACAATTTTAGCCACGTAATATCCGGAGGCAGGGACAAGAGGGTGGTGATGACAGAGTTGAGCTACGCGGAGAGGTATACAGTTATTTGCGAGGAGAAGGCACCTATACTCAAAATGGCTATGACGCCGGATCAATCGAGTATTTGGGTTGCCACGAGCGAATCGACCATTAATAATTGGGTGAATAAAATGCCATAAGGTGACGAGTCCTCGTAAAAAGACAATTACTAAGGATATTTCTTGTTATTTCAGCCAATAAGCCAAAAAGATTGGCAGGAATTAGGAATCGGAGATTGTTGCGATTCCACAAGTACTGTACCGGGCAATATTTTAAGGAACATTGAACCTGCACAGAAGATACTGGGTGGTCCTGCCATAAGGCATTATCATATATTAAATGACAAAAGACACGTGTTAACTAAGGATACGGAAGAGACTGTCGCGCTATATGATGTATTAAAGGCATGTAAAATGGAAGATTTAGGCAGAGTCGATTTTGAGCAGGAATGTAAAAAGAGAAACAAAATGGTGTATGTTCCAAACTGGTTTAACGTCGATCTCAAAACGGGGGTATGATTTCCTCTTTTTCCTTCTATGATACTTGTGCCAAGGCCGAGTAAAATTTCGAAATCTTCTTCATCGTTGCAGATGTTGACTATACATTTAGGACAAGACGAAAACGATTGCTTCTCTGCATGGGTTTCGGCCAAAGAGACCGGTCTAGCGGAGAACGACGCTGTAGATCAAAAAGGTGATTATTTAAGCAGATAGCATGGATTCGGAGAAAGTAGACGAATGTAAAATACATCTCCTCGGTTTTTAGTGAATTATGGGAACCTTCTGCTGCAAGCGTTACTCGAACACTGGTGGAGACCGTTACATGCCGACGACGAGAACGAGGGTAACGGTAATGACGGAAACGGTCCTATGCACACGAGAGGAGGGAATCCATACTTTTCAGTTCCTAGTCATACACCTGTCATCTTCAGGTATGCGATAAACTGCCCAAAGTTACACCGTGTAGATTACCATATTGTTTGACTTTTCAGCGAAGTGGGGGGTAGAACCATCTATCGACTATTGGTTCGAGATGCCGCGGGAGAAACTGAGGGTGTCCTATTGAACGAGACCGTACCGCCATGGGTGGTGAATATCGTAGTGGATAAGAATCTTCCACAATTCATTAAAATACCCTTCTATCTTCTTCCACACGCTTCTTCGGGTGTAAAGAGTTTGAAAAAGTATGCACCGCAAGTTTTGAAATCTCCGACGAATCCCCTCACGACAGGATAATTCAATAATATTGCCTGTTATCTTCAAGGGATCGTTTGATAGCAAATGATTTTATACAAGTACGTAAAGTGGCCGAGCATGTTTACGACAAAGTGCTCGGTGCGGGAAGCGACTCGGGTTCGGTGGCTGGTGGTGGAAATACTGTTTCCAGCGGATCCCCGGCTGGCGATAGGACCAACACAGACTCCAATGCTGATAATTCTTCGCTGGCCGAGGAAAAAGTTGAACTCTTGTGTAACGATCAGGTCTTGGATCCTTCGATGGATTTGAGAACAGTATGTATCGAGATGAATACATTTTGTGTAATCATTGAGAATGTTTCACGCGCATGTTTCTCTGCTTCTCAGGTTAGACATTTTATCTGGAAAAGTTCGGCGGATTTAACACTTCATTATCGTCCTGTTAAATAGTTAGGATTAACTACATTGCATCACGAACCTTTACAGTGTGCCTGGTTTTATACCATGGTAAAGTATACTGCATACGCTTTTTCTCCGTCACGTTTCTTTCTTCCTTCGTCAATGCGGTTCAATAGAAATGTTTATTCATTTCAGAATAGTGGAAAATACATGGGCTACTTGCAGAATATGGTACCGTGTACCACCTTCTTCTTAGGAAATGATCACCTGGATTTAACGGATGTTTCATGTGACGTTGAGGCGGAGGCTAAAGAAAGCGAGGCGTATCTGGAGTATTAGGACATAACGTAAAGTTCTAAGGCAATAATGTGTGGAAGTATTAATTGTAAATTGCTCACTTTTATACACTTGCATCCTGCGGCCAAATTCACACAACAGAGAGCATTACTCGATCTGCTTGAGAATATCATGCTTTTTGTACCTGGATATAGAATTTTAAGTGCTTCTTGTCAGCCATATATCGTCTTCCCACTTTAACAGTATCAATAAGATCGTATGGCACAAATGCAGCAAAGAAAAGGGGGATAGACTGCATGGCCGAGGAAATTCTTCATTTCGTTAGGTCTAATGGGGCCCAGGTGATCCTCACAAATGCTTCTCAAAGTTTCTTTATTAATTCTATTTTAGCATAATCAGTACATAGGATTGTCTTCTTTTAGTATTGTAATAAAAGTATTCAATATTTATTCAGAGTATAAGAAATTATACAGTACGTTTTGTTATATGCATGCATGCAAAATGTGTACTCCACACCTGCCTTGTTATATTAGAGAGCGAGAAAAAGGAAAAAAATTATATATATATATATGAAAGAGAGAGATATGTCAATTTACCATTAATCAAATTATATTTGAATAGCCAAATTAGAAGTTCAATATTTCCTATTGTTCAGATAGGAAATAAGAGAATGTATTTGTCTGCGATGTAATAAGGTCAAATTCTGTCATGATCAAAGCTAGTAAGATATAAATGTGAGGCATATACATTTATTTAAAACCAAAAAATTAAATTTGTAAGATACCATTGATAATATATATGTATATATCTGTCCAAGGATATACAGTATTCAACAGAATTTGATCTTTGAGAAAATTTATGAGTAAAAAATATAGTTGTTTTTAAGTTAACATTCGAGTTTGTCTAGATTATAAACTGTGTATATACAAACACGACTGTGAATAATGTCCATTAATAATAATAGTATGCCATGTGAATAAAAATTTAACAGATCTTATTGTGCAAACAACTCAGAGCCAATAATATTTGCTATTACTGCAAAGAGTTAAATTATCAGGAAAGAAATTTTACTAGTTTTAATATACTCTGTGAGATACAATATTGCTTGCGTTTTCAAAGTTATGGGTACATGAGCGCAATCTTAATAATTGTAAATAATATTTTGTTATTTTAATTAGATTACAATTTTACCAAGCTTGGATTTACCTCGATTTGGTAATGCTAATGTTTACGTACATTAGGAATTATTTGCTGTCGCTTGTTTTCGTTTTCTATCCAAATATATATTTTTAAGACACTGAAAGAGAGAGAGAGAGAGAGCATTTCTCAATTGAGTGAAGATACATGCGTGGCTGGCAAAAATTGTATCATCCTAGTTAAGAATGCCTTATTTGTTATCTTTACACGAGTTGTTTCGAAAGAAATTGCAGTCAAAACTTGTATTTTTTTAAAACGTTATTAAATCTTAGAATAATTTTTCAAACCAATGTAAATTAGATTATACTACGAAAAATAGTTGGCTTTTAAATATCTTGATATGATGTATCGCAAGGGATGTAGAAATTGTAAATTGCTTTCAATTTGAAATTATTTTAATTATTTATTACAACTAGTATGATTTTAATCACGTAATAATTCTCTGTAATCAACCAATTGTTCAGTTCATTGCGTATAGTCTGCGAAAATGTACAGATTAGTATTCTCTATATAGATTTCTCGTTGATCAAGGTTCATTGTGTTTTTTTTACCATATACTTACTTCAAATGCATTCGTTACTATAATGCGAGTAATCAAGATGTGCCTGGTCATAGATTATAAGTTACAGGGGGCATTTTAATAATGGCTTGTATTGATATTTAAAACACAGTTGCAAGAAAAGTACATTAACATGTCTCTTTTACATTATCAACGATAAATCATAAAAGTTACCACAAAGTTATCAACATGAATTTTTATATTATATTCTTTACTATTTATTCTGTAGCAAGCATGTAATATTATTTCGTTAAAGATGGTACATTTAAGTTGTCTCATGTTCAATACACGATATTTTTGCACGGACAAACGACGTAATATGTGTTACTATGAGAGCGTTAATAGTGTAAAAATCAAAATATCGATTTAATCAATCTTCAACCCCTACGTAAAAAGAAATACGATTAAAAAAAAAATAGCAAATTCTGGTGCCAAATTTTCTACCGAAAACGATACTCGCAGAGCACCGTACATTTCTGACAGACATTTTCTTTGTGTAAATCAGTTTCATCGTTAGGTACAGGTGTTTTACAGTGGTACTACTTACGACATAAGGCTATATGGCGAAAGATTAAATTTATAATTTTTAGAAGGATTAATATTATATAGACTAATATCGTCTCTAAAGGATGGAATGCTTGTGTCAGTGATTGCTTTGTAAAATATATCTTACTCTGTCCCGACGCGTAAATTACTAAACCTACTACTTTTCAATGTCAAACTGATAAAGGTGAAATTTTCTACAATTTTCTACGAGCATATAACGAGACGATATTTCCTCGAATACTTTCATATTTATCTGAGATTACCTTTGTAATACTATTGATACTGTCTCTATCGGAACTTGCACATTAATGGGCAAAACGACATATAAAGCTCCATATCAGAAAAGGATCGATTAATTTCTATTTGTATTGTGTCTATTTTACAATCATATGGCATCACTTTGGACTCTGTACACTAGAAAATAATCCAGTATTTATATAAAATATAATTTAATATAGAAAACAGATTGCATCGCGCAGCGATATTTGAATAAAGAACTCTATTGCTATTTACACACTTGGTAATTTCGTTAAACACTTTCACTGAGAATACTCTCGACAGCTTCTACAAAAGAGGCGCACACTTTTGCCGGTCCCGGCGCAATCGTACACTCGTCCCCTGCTCTGTACTTGCCAGTTTGTACCAGAATACCTTTAATTCCAGCCGCCTGTGCACCAGCTACGTCATCTCTTACGTCCTAATTACGAGAAAGAATATATTTGTGAGCACATAAAAGATTACAATAAAAGCAAAGATGTCACTTGAAACGTTACATCTCCAATCATTACAGCACGAGCTGGATCCGTCTCTCCTAAAGCTGCCTTGAAAAATCCTATGGTCGGTTTACCAACAACTTCTGCTTTTACATTGCTGGAATATTCCAATCCTTTGATGAACGCCCCGGGACCTAGAGCCAGACCATCGGGGCGCTTGTAATATCGTCCTTCGTGAATGGCTATGAGGGAAGCACCGTTCAAAAGCAATCTGAAATATCGTACGCATTGTGTACGTAGTTTAAACGTACGTAGTTTAAACGAGACGAAAAGGTGCAACATGCTACCTGAACGCTTTGTTCAGCTCGTCATAGTTGAATTTGCTCGGCGCCAAGCCAATCACCACAGTGTCAGGTGTATCGTCCGTAACTAAATCTTGAAAATCCTCCATAGCCGCCGGGTCAATTAACAGCATCGGCTTCAGTCGCCGAGAGACAATTAATCTCCTCGCCGCCGCTAGAGAGCTGAACATTTCCTCTTTCCGCAAGTTGAATCCAAGCTTCGTGAGACGTTCGTACAAGTAATTACTCGACTCCTTGGTGGTGTTGGTGACGAATTTGATCGACAGATTTGCATTCCGTAACCTGCAACGTGAAAATACAGGTTTGTGCACACTTGAAGCAAATGATAAAAATGTATCGTTTCATTAACAAATCTAACCTATTTAAAGCTTGCACAGCACCCGGAATAGCCGTATTATCGATATGCAACGTTCCACTGAGGTCTATCAGCACTGTCTTTATTTGCTTCGCCATTATTGTGCTTGATACTATTGCGCTTGTTGTTTAACTCCATTTCTTGTAGCTGCACTAGTTGGCAATTTCTGCACTTAAAGCGAGAGAAAGAGAAGGACGAAGAATAAAGGTGCCTAGGCGGTTGCGGCTAACATCTCATTTCCCTGTCTAAATATACAACACGAGAAAATATCGCTTCTCTCATACAGCCGGAAGCTAGACACGCGTGAGGAGCGCAAGAGCACGTGGCGAGTGGTGGGCGAGTGGTGGCGAGTATGGCGTTCTCCGGGAGACACGAGGACGTAAAGCAAGTGCCATGGTTATCCCCGTAAGTACCGATTGACGAAAGGAGATTTCGACGGAAGAGACGGATAATGCAATTTCTTGATCCCAAGGGCGGAATGGCACGACGTGTACAGGCAGATTTATTCCAACGACGCGGTCGAGCAAGTAAAAGCCTACGAAGCGCTTTTAGCATGGAAGGCCAGGTAATGCAACGCAACACAATTGGCAGTTTAGTATGGAGATGTGATATTTTGTTCCTCGCAGGATGCCCAAGCTACCAGTAGGCGTGGACTGCACTCTGTCAATTTTGCAAGTGTGCCTCCGCGATCGCGACTGGACGTCCAAGATCGACAGCGGCGAGCTACCCATGTACTGCGAGAACGACCTAAGCTTGATGTACTCGACCACGATAATGAGATTCTTGAATCACTTTTCCAATATAGGACATACCAAGCAGACGTCCATGTTTAAGATTGCCAGCCAATTGAAAATCCCAGAATGGATAGTCCAGTTGAGGCATCAGACTGCCCACGGATACGAACTGCCATCCATTGGAGTGTTAAGGATAGCGATTAATATATTGCTGCATTGGCTGCACGTATGTCTCTCTCCCTCTCTTTCTCTCTCTCTCTCTGGGAAATTTATTCTTTTCACATTTTCTTAAGGACGAGTATTGGGCACCTGAGGCACGCACCATGGACAAATGTTACATCAAACGAGTCAATGTGTTGGAGGAGGAAGAAGAATCCGAAATGCACAACTTTACAGATGTGGTAGAACTTTGGACAGCTGTGAGTTTATATGTGAAGGCTGGTTATAAATTAGTAGCAGACTTACCAGAGATACAGTTACGGTAACTTTCTTATCGCAAATTAGAGCAATAGTTTCATCACCATCTTTGTAGTTAACGAGTCCTTGATTAATTTGTAAATGTTACTCCTTGCAGAGAAATATTACAAGGTTTACGCACATACATGCTGACGCACTATAAAAGCGACATTTCAGATAATGCCGAGAAGGAATATATATCCGTTTACAAAAGAACTATTAAGATTGATAGAGAATATAATTTGCAAACTGCGCAAGCTCTACTTTTGTCCAAGATATCTGTGGACCTAAATGAATCCTCAAGTGCGATGCATGAAAAGAGCGATGCAATTTGTAACGCGTTGTGCAAAAATAAAGCTTTCTTACCAAATTTAGATATCATGAGAATTTTTCGACGGAAAGAAAAGAGAGATATTAATTTAAAAAGAAAGTGTTTGCCGCCGAGGATGGTTGAATTTTGGAAAGACATCATTTTCATATTGCATGAAAAAGGAATGTTGGAGACGCTGCTGTTTAAACTGCTCAATATCGTAAATGGAGAATGTGAAGATAAAGAAAGAAGAAATCTCGCTGCCTTGTGGACAAGTTCAATCTTCTATAGTTTTGTGCAATTGGACATGGCCCAAAGTACTACTCATACTGTGGAATATAAATATCAGAAGGCAGACAGGAAACTAGACACAAAGACTTTGAGTCGACATGTTAAACAATGTATATACTCTAAACGTCCAGACTTTAAGAACGTTTTGTGGTTAGATATATCAAGCACTATACCGTACTTTCTTCTTGATATAAATTTTTTATCAAGACTCTTACTAAATGCCAACGAATTCTCTGCGAGACTGATCGAACCAATTTTGTGCTTGCTTACGTCGAAAATAGGTGTGCAAACAAAAAGACATTTGTTAAATTTACTTGAAATTTACACATTACAAAATCATGACTGTGAGGATAGCAACAATGATGTCGAGAAAATATTTAGTGTCCAAGATCTCAATCCGAATCCAATAGAAAATGAAATGCAGATACATAAAATAAAAGATACGCCTAAAAAGAAGACTGCTCACTCGTTAGCAGACCAAATAATCCGTAATACACATTGGCAGGTAACACATGGTACGCATTTATCAACAAGTTTTTCAAAAACATGTAACAATTTGGAAAATCAATGATATTGTCTTTTTTCTGTGATTTTCAGATAATTATCAATGGGTCGGATATCCCATTGGACTACTGCCCTGGCAGGTAGACTCATTGACGAGTTTGAAACCACTCGAGCTGAATCCATCGAGACACTCTGTTTCAGTTCTGGATTCTCAAATAGTCGCGGGTATTATAAACCGTAAGAACTTGAAAATGCAAAGTCGCATCAAGTGGGACAATGTATTGCGGAAGAAAAGGAGAATAGAGAAGAAACGTAGCACCGGTGTCGTGGATGTTATAATGAACAGAGCATTAGAGATCGCTAAAAATCAGATGTAATGTAATAAAACATTATTGTTTATCGGGTACTGCTGATGCCAATAAATAAGTATATTTATAACGAAGCTGTCCACTTGGAAGGAACATCATCATATCATATCAGCGATAAATATAAGACAATTGTATTAAACATAGAAAATCATTATCTGTGATACACGAGTTGCAGGGAGAAAATATTCAAGTATTTCGCTGCACCTCAATGTATTTGCAGATAAACTGTCGACATCAATAACTATATCCATTTAAATAATATCATTCATCTATTTTCCTGACATATAATTATCACACCATAACAATGAAATATATTAAATTATATAAGTTATATCTATATATAAAAGTATTAAGTTTTTGTGTATCACAACATATCCAAGCACCATCGCTTCGAATTGGGTTGAAAAAAAGGGGGAGAAAAAAGTAGAAACCTCAATGTTCAGATCGCTACGCTAAGATGTGAATTTTGTAGTTTTGGTTGTTTATGCAATTTATACATAAACGCGTGTAATGTACGTGTTATCTTTGGTTCTAAAGAGTTAGACTTCCGAGGGACATAAAAAGACTAAGGTACATAATCACTTTTTAGATACGCATACTCGACACGTCTTAGAAGGAAAAGCTAAGTTGATCTGTAGTTTTAGTTTTTCTGAGCACTTGTTGCAAATTTTTGCTAGTTTCTAGACCAAATACATTCAAGGGTATCCGAGACATCACTGCTATTCTGGAACAGCAATACATGTGTGAAATGAAAATAGTAGATCAAACTCGATAAAAATATAACCATCTGAAATTCTCTCACGATGCTTACCTTCCACCGGACATATTGTAAAGGAATCTCCAATAGGACGATCTCAAGTTTTGTGGCTCCAGTATAGCTGTGTGGAAGAGAAGTGCCGTGCTAAAGCAATACAATAGGATGACAAACCATTTGACTTGAGGCACTTGCTCATTTTCCACCGCATTGTTCCACAGCAACTGAAATAGAAAGGATACATTTCAAATATATCAATAGAATGTGTTAATACAAGTACATAATACCTGTAGTGTCTTCCACATGAAATATAAGGCTATAGTAGTGTTGGGATATGCCATAAACGTGACGCTTGCGACCAGTCCAGCGGGAATAGCATAAATGTGCGAATCTTGGTGAAAGGTTCTTCTCAACATACATGACACTAGCTACACAAGAGAGAAATAACGGGGTAAGCAAAAACAGTTACTCGCCAGACATGTTATTATACAATATTAGTATACCCTATAAAGGCCAGCAAATCCTCCAAGAAACACAGCCAGATTTAAATTTTCTCTTTGAAAGATGGTGCTTTTCAATAACTTGGGCTTCTGAAGTAATCGTTTAAATTGAAGGATTAATTTAAGCGCTACTTGCCCGCAAACACCATAACTGAACATCTTTACACTATCCTTTAAAGAAAAGAAAAAGAGTTAGTTGTATGTAGAGTACATTTATCTATATGCTTTCTCACCGCTAAAATATAATGTGCGCAGCTATAAGGATGTGGACACGAGGCATCCTTGCTTTGCGCTTTCAAGTTGTTAATGATATATTTATATGCCTCAAAAGATTTCCACAGAATAGTAAATTTATGTTTTCTACATGTGTCACTCTTTGCGCCATCAGTCTCGGTATTTCTCAAAGATGTTTCAGCATGTGGCTTTTTCTTCATACGATATTCAGTGTCCTCGTACGGCCCAACAATCATCCTGTTTTTTTTTAATTCACATTAGATAGGGATACTATACATACGGTAACAGAGATATCTAGCAGAGAAATTTGGATACCTCAATATTTTATATATTTGATCCTGCTTATTCGTTTTGGAACGGAACAAGTATAGTAGTACAGCTACGCTTACAGCGAAGATATAGACCTCTCCTTTCGGAATAGGCGAGAAATATCCCCGCCACACTCCCATTCTGAATAATGTTTCCGTTGCCTGGAACAAGACGAGACCATTTTTTTTCGCGCAACCATTATACGATCCAACAATGAATTTTCCACTAAGGAGATTTCCCTCCAAGGGCGAATAAATTCATGGCGGAATCAACTGATGATTATAACCGAAACTCCGCCATCTACTAATAATTCAACTGTTGCAATATCTACTTACAATGTTGGACACGTAGAGACACAATAACGTACGTCTAGATGCTCTTTCTATCACAATGGCAGATAGGCTAGATAAAAAGGACGGAAGAAAAGATACTGTCGGCATATAAAAACGTCCAAGTATTCGCCTGAAACACAAGGATCAATTACGTCTTTCTCATATATCCAAGTATTGATGCATGAAATACACATAGAAATTACCTCAACAAACAAATAAACAACGAGTAAGAGAAACCACTCCACGAAAGGAATGCTGTGGATTGAAGAATGCCTAGTATAGTTTTCTTCACGTCTTCTTTCGATGGTACTTTCCTTCTCATTAAAAATGCAATCTAGAATGGCAAGGAAATCCGTTATCATTTCCATTACAAGCTGTTAATAAATGGAGTATAATCTTATCTCATTTCTTCCTATCTATTGCAAGCAACATTTTACAAAGCTAGCGACAATGGGCCGTTTATTCGAGTCGTAATCTTCACGTACTAATGAGTCTAGTTAAGAACGGATATAAAAGTTTATTTCATAGCACTAACGACAGAGAATGGACTATAAAAATAATATATCAAATGGCCGAACGCGATAACGGAAAGTTTAAAGTCTCTTACGGCACTTTTTGTTTGCGCGTAATTTATATTAAATCAAAAATGTTTAATATTAGAGTCGCGAGTTTTAGTCAGTTTCTTATCGAGAGAGATATATTCGAAATGTTCACTTTCAGACTGATTGATTGCACAAGGAAGGCAAATAAATGAATAATAATCAAGTGTAGCAATAGGCATAGAGGTGCGAGTGTGTTGCATCATGTTTTTCTTGAAAAAGACCTTGGAATAAAATCTCGACATGAGAAATGAAAATGACTGTGGAGAAGCTTCCATTGGTACAAGAATGAGATAATTATTCGTTTGGTAATAACGAGTTCAATGCGCTTGAACCAAACTACACACTAATGAATGAATGAATAAACCGACTTAATCGGCAGAGTCTTTTGTTATTTCTCGTCAGACGTAAGAAATAATGAAGAATCGCTCCGATTTAGACACGTCGAGCATTCGGTTCGGCGTCCGCAGAGATTTCGAGGGTGCATCCGCACCCAGTCGCGGGTGCATCAGGGCATTCAGGGCACGCTGCACCGACGAGTGCATCCGCACTCACCTAACGGCCCCCATCGCGAGTGCAGGCGCACCGACCGACAATATATGAGAAACGGAGATACGAGAGAGAGAGAGAGAGAGTCGTACGATGTAAACAGTCGTGTATATCCTCAAGGATTCCTGCAGCGAGTGCAAACCGAGACCGGTGGTCGCACTGACGCACGAATCCGTCCATGGGTGAGCGTAATCCATGCAAGGCGCCTCGAACGAAAACTTGCTGAGTCGCGCGGGCATTTTCACTGCAATTGACAGCGATTACGGGCGTAACACGTCGCGTCACGTCACGATTATATCGTTCGGCGCCGCGACTAGATGCGCATTACAGGGAGAAAGAAACAACGGAGCTCTCTTTCCCTTGGCTCGGGGAAAATCGAGCGAGAATCAATCAAACGGCATTTTATCGTCGTCGTATCGACACGTGGTTCCGACGCGAGATGGAGATGGGGAGAGGAAGAGAGAGACAGAGACAGAGAGAGAGAGAGAGAGCAAAGGGAAAAAGAGCGCTTTTACAAGCGCGCAAAGAGTCTCGATAGGCCTTATGGTGGATGAAACGCGCCACGAGGTCACGCGAGATCGACCGCTCTCACTCTCGTGTCGACTCGCCGAGCGACCATCGACGACTGATGTAGCAGGCGATAGACGGCAGATACGCAGTCGGTCATCGAGCCGCGCACGCGCATACGCGCCTTCATCCTCTTCCCAACCGCGTTTTCCACGAATTTCCACCTTCCTTTTCGATTACTGTTTTTCTTCCCCTCTTCACTCGTTTATCTAAATGCTTAGGTACAATACAAACTTGGCAATTACAGCCAAGTCTTTGAGCCACGAGTCCAAACAATTTCATTTAACAACTATACTACTAATAACATTTTTATCTTATTCGCGTTATGTAAATTACGTGTATGTACGTACGTTCCGCCAGAAGTCCTTCCTATTTCTTCCTTTGACTTGTTATTCTTCGATAGTCAATGGAATATTCAACATACGCTAACGCTATTTATGAGATAGCAGGTTTTCAACACCCAAATTCAATCACAAATCAACAGATGATGCCTATACCGCAATTTAGCATGTATCTAGAAAACCATTAAAGTTTACAAAGAATTGTCATTTCAATGTCTGCATTCAATGTCCGCTTTTGCTCACTATCATACGCACAAATGACTGTTTGCCGGCTGATAGTCGACATTTAGGCAACTATTTTTAGGATGGTTTATTGTCGACTTTAATTGTAGACTGAAAGTCGCCTTTCGGTAAAGCGAAAACTCGTATTCCTTTAAAAAACTTGTCAAAAATATAAAAGCGTAATTAAAACATGTAATATACATATACTTTGGTTTATTGCCTGTTTTTCATCAAGACATATGCTCATTATAATTATTTAAGTTGAATTTTATTATCTCTTAATTCTATTATATATTGTAAATATTATACGATTAAAATAGAAAAAATTTAGTCAATCGAGATGAAAAATTTACTAGTTAATATAAATAACGTAAAGTTGACATTCAGCTTAACTTTGAAGTCGACTTGGTGCTGTTTTAAGCGTGATTCTGAATTATGGATTTTAAATGATCTAAGGTGGATTTTAGCGAGCGAGCAGGATATGTACTTGTATTTATCTACTTATATAACATCGTAAGGTATCCGACGCAAGTCAGACTATCTGCTTTTATCAGGCGAAACTTTCGTACGTCGAGTTATATAATGCGTCGACCCTTGATCATTCGCGCGACGTAAAATCCTCCAGGCCGATCAAGCTCGATTTCAGCGTTCGACAAGATCGGCGATTTTTCAGCATCGACAATCGCAGCCATCGCGGGATTAATATAGAAATTGCAATATTTGCGAGCGTAGATTATCCAGTCGGAGAAAGTCTTACGAGACGAGAACGGCTAGAGAAGCGTACAAAGATTGTCAGTAAATATTGCCTAAAGTCGTGTTACATTGGTAAATATTTACATTTATTTCATAGCCGATATTGGCTTTACTGCTACATGATGTCAGCGAGCGCCATTCGTTTCATAAATGTATTGTACGTTGTACTTTGCCGTTGTCGATGACATAAAACAATGGCTAGGAAGAGAAAAACAGCGCATGTATAATGCTAAGGGTCGAGAGGTTTTTAGCTTACAACCTCTTGCAACTTGCATCTCTCGCCTTGAGCATATAAACGAGATAGATACTCGGCATATCCCGTCGACGAGTCTTGAAACTCGACGTTTCGAGATCTCAAGATTCCGGTCATCTCGCAGTTATCTAGACTGAGAAACAGTTACGGAAAGACGGGAAGCCGAGTCTAACGGAAGACGTTTGCGTGATAATGTACGCATTTATCAGCGAAATTACAATCGCAAAATCCGCAGACTCGGAGTGAAACGATCAGGATTTAGAATTTACAATTTTGCCGTACTCGGCGAATAAAACTTTCCTTTGCTATAATATATGTATTTCCTGGTACAATTGGCGCATTCATTCTCTTGTCTATTCGTCAAAACTAATCCTAAAATATCATCCATCTAATCGTAAATTACCTGCAGCGCCATCTGTGCGCTCCGCGCGCAACACGTTGCCAACAACGCGTCGGTAATACAAGTTGAAACAAACTAGTGCAGGGATGCCAATCGTCAGCTTTTGGCGCCAAAAATTGGAAATATCGTTACAAACGTCGATATGCATTCAAACTAGTTTCGATCAGTTTCGATAGTGAAATCACGAGTCGACATCAAATTAAATTGATTTTTACTTTTCGGAAATTTGCGGTTTGCTACTTTTCTCTTGCTATTAATGTGACACCCATCTTTTCTCTTTGTTTGAGCACTGCATTTCCATTTTGCTGCACGTATAATATGTTATATATAACAATACGCGAGCATTAATTATTAATTTTTTAGATATAATTTGATTTTCTATTAATTATGATAGATATTACGAGATTTGATATATAGATTATGTTAATACGAGGAGAATTTTCTTCAGGCTTCGCTATGCGTAACAAGACGCCAAGTCGATAGCGATCGAGAAATATATGTAACGTAAATAAAGTGAGTGGTTTCATTGAATTAATTGAACATGTCATTTTACTTTCAAACGACTGGAGCGAAAAGTGTGATGTGTTAAAAAACCCCAAGATTAAAGAATCGGTTTTTAAGACAGATACAGAGCACGGAGCATGCACGTTGAGGTTAATGCTGTTAACCTCGCGTAATGTTTTTAGGTGAATGATTGTCTATTTGATTAAATTTAGCAGCTCTAAGCAAACTCTCTCGACATCATTAAATAATAATTTTCATCTAAGGTATTGAAATTCCAAGTTGCAGCTTGTTTTGCAAGTTGTAATAGCAGCGGCAGTTAACGTGGTTCAACGAGTGGGACTATTTCTGGCTCTAATGTCAGCTAGATCTAAAAATTCTTCTATGGCTACACAGGCTGCTGACCCTCGCGTCATTGCACGTCATTGAATCAGACTGCATATTTTGTGGCCTACTCCCCGAGTACTACAATATTATTACAAGATTATAGGTATATTAATTAAGTTGGAAAAATGCACCTTCATATTTAAGTGTACCTCCAATCTTGATTGCATGATGATCAATTATTTGCTCTTCTTCTATAGATGACCACGATATCGGGCGACGCGGTGGGGAGAAATCATTATTTATTTGGGTTCTGATTAGGTGCATCAACAGGTAGTTTTTCGTAACAGAGATAGGCCAGTCTGTTGTGCCTTTAGCATATATAAGGACGGCCGAAAGTGGACATGCGTTAGTAATGAGAGAACAGAGGCTATTGTCGTACCTGCATTGATAATTGCCATCGATTGAATGAGTAACATCTGATTGTGTCAGTCAATTCTTATCAACTGCATATCCCATCTGCCGTTTTGTCCTTATCGGGCATTACATTGACCGCATTGAACAAGAGCTAGAGTAAGTGCGTTTAACTCTCATAATTAGTGTGCACACGTTCCCTTGGCTGTTGATAAGATTGCGATATTCAAGATTAAACTGCATTTCTTGTAATCCATCGATCAATCAATCATGAGAGATGTGGAATTTTATTTATGTATTTTATTGCTGTCATTGATTGCGACACATGATATCTTATAATATCAATAATAAAGGAGTACAATGTAAATATTTTGTTATTCTGTTAATTGACGATACTGCTAATTTAGCAATTTACTCCATTTTTCTTTCCAGCTTCTGTATCTAAAGAAGAAAACGGTCAAGTAAAAAACGCAAGTTCCTCAAATCCCTTTTAATCGTACCTGTTTATTCACCTTGTATTAATTACGGAGCGATCATCAAGATGACTGCCGGTCTGAGAACAATGAGCTTCGTAAAGTTAAATCATCGTGTCCTGCAGAGTCTAAACATTCGCAAGTATGGTGAGTAATGCCTATTGTCATTTTGTCTCTAATCAAATCGCTTCGATCATTTAATATTCCTACCTTCTTAAAGCTGTTTTAGTTTTCATTTTATGTATAATTGAATATACTTTATGTCTATTTAAGAAATATCTATAATTTGTTGTGTAATATTGAAATTGTTGTATTGAATCTGTTAACGATTAAAACGATTAAAACGATGGAAAATTTAGACAAGTGCAATTAGTCCAATTAGAAGCGTCACACTTAAAATAAGCCGGATACTTTAGGATTGTAAAGCTCATGAAAAAACATTACAACAAAAATGTACTTTACATGGTGAAAATGAAAAATGTAACGAAATACACAGATTAATAGAGAAGTCAACGCTCGTTATAAACTAACGATAAGCTATGTAACAAGGTCAACGGCCAAAATATACACTTGTATACCTATTACATAGAAATATACATGTTAGTTTATAATGTCGTGGTCTTAAATCATCGTGGCTTATTTTCACTGCATTATTATTGGTTGTGCGAGGAGAGTAAAAGATTGCAGGCAGTAATATTCGTTAGTTAAACTCTAAAACTCTTGTGAAAGAAAGTCGCACATATTTGCAAGGTACGGAACTCAATGTTTCTTTATTATTACGCTGCAGCGAACGGAAAATGTACGTTTGTGCGAGCTGTACCGCAAATCAATCTCAACGTCAGAACAAGCTTGGTGATTGACGACGTGGTTACTTGCGCGATTTCCAAGTTAGACGACATATACATAAGACGCACAAGATTGCTGTTATCTCCTGTGAGATTATATAAAAAATTAAACCGTCTTCACCACACGGGAGACGACGTGCAATTATGCGCGAAATGGAATGAGATGCGAATAGTTTTGTTATGTGTTTCAACGAGAGATCGACCTCGGTGGCGTAAAAAACTATAAGCTTCAGTTGCCGTCTTATCGCGTTCGTATCAGTATTTTAAAACAACAAGTACGATCGTTACTAGATTGCTGCATCGCGAAACGCGGAGAAGCAGAGTGAGTCGGATAATTTGTCCGCTCGTACATCGGAATGAGTGACATTAGACTTTCGCGTATTGTTAACATAATTCGCTAAGCCACGTTCCTTTTTTTCATCTGTATTCCACAGTGAGCGATCAGCTTCTCGCGGACGGCGAGGTGAAGAAATCAAGGATATCGCAGGACATTGATACCAATATGCTGAAAATCGGTTTCCTCGGCGGGGGAAAAATGGCCCAGGCGCTCGCCAAGGGTTTTATACGAGCGGGTAATTAGCTTTTTCTTCTATTTTTTATGATATATAATCTTTCGTATAATATACGCATCTACATGCTTTTCTTTACAATGATTTCACCAACCAAAGTCTACGGAAAATACCTCAACATGTTTCTCTTGTATCCTTTTCGTTTTTTACCTTTTCTTATTTTACAGGTTTAAGCAAAGGCGAAATGATGCTGGCTAGCTGCCTTCCAAACGACATTGGGAGTATCGAGTCTTTTAAGGTGAGATGACAAAGTACGATATCACATAAGGAAGGAAAATCTCGATAGATCAAAGGGTGCTTCTCTTGTTTATAATACGTTGCTTGATAAGAATGTTGCATCGATCATAAGGCGCGATTTCGCGTCGTGATGAACCGTCGATAATAATCAGTGATGCGAAATCTTTATTATCTAGTATGAAAAACATTGGACAAAGCGAAAAGGTTTCATACTGTACAATGTTTAGCTAAACTTGGAAGCTGGTAGATTGATTTCATTAAAACATGAAAACTTGTTACGCAAAGCTGTTAATTATTGATATCAACTGTAGTTGTATTGCTTTTAATTGGTCAAGGTATAGCTTCTTTCGACATTTATTTACTAAGTTATTACGATAAGATACAGTTTATACTTAATAACACTGGTTGGGCATCTGTTACATGCTTATCGATGGTCATCTATTGACCGTGTGACTTTTCAAACAATTTCTATTTATATCGTTACATGGGCGAGTTCTAGAATTGCGTTCAAGTTCTATAATATTTGTATTTACTTGATGACGTAAGACATACCAGATATGCGTAAATAAATATGTAGACAGCGGAGGCGCATGTCTCGTTAGATAAAGATATGTCTCAATACGATTATCAAGATGAAAACAATAGATAGTTAGGTACAAAAAGTTACGTTAAATTAAATTTTCAATTAAAATGAAGAAAATTGAAATGTTTGGATCATGGGTTTTGCGTTATATGTCAACTCTGTCATTAGATGTACCAGAAACATACATATCTAATTCGACGTTTTTAGGAAATGAAATCAAATACTGTTTTTACGAATGCACCTGTCATCGATCACGGTGATGTGTTAATCCTTTCGGTAAAGCCGCAAGTCGTGCCGAAAGTTTTGCCAGAGTTCAGGATACACGATAGCAACAAGTTGCTCATTTCCATCGCTATGGGCATTTCTCTGGCGTCGTTAGAAAAGGTAACACATCTCTGTCATCGAGTAATAATTTCTTGTTGCTTATTGTGCCAGCTGTTTAGAAGAAAAAAAATGTTTAGGCGCTACCGAAAGAAACACCTGTAATAAGAGTGATGCCGAATACACCTGCATTGGTTGGTTGCGGCGCTACCGTGTTTGCGCGCGGAAAATACGCGAGTGACGAGGATGCCGAAATTACCGAGAAGCTGTTTTCCGCCGTGGGCATCTGTGAAGAAGTCCCGGAAAATTTCATTGATCCCGTAACCGCCTTGGCCGGTTCTGGTCCTGCCTATGTTAGCAAACGTTCCAAAACTCCATTAGTTTATCCTGAATAATTTCTAGTAAAGTTTTTAATCAAAGTAATTGTCATAATTAAGCTAAACTCTACAAGAGTTACTCTAGAGAAGTAAGAGGCATATTTTTATAAATTTTTTTTTATTGCCTTTCTTTATGTATATTTACCAGCCTTTCTTTTAGTTTTAAATTAACAAGCCTCTTCTCATATCTTTAAGAAAGTGACTAGCATTGTTAATAGAAAATGTATTTGTTTCAGATATACATGGTAATCGAAGCGATGGCCGATGGTGGAGTTAAAATGGGACTCACTAGGCCTATTGCATATAAACTCGCGGCACAAACTGTCTTAGGTGCCGGCACCATGGTGCGCGAGACAAATCTTCATCCAGGACAGCTTAAAGACGACGTGACTTCGCCGGCAGGTCAGAATTTATATACATATATAATTAATACCATTATTTCTCTTCAACTTTCTTGCAGGCTCCACTATAACTGGGATTCATCAATTAGAGAAACATGGCTTAAGATCAGCGCTAATCGATGCTGTGGAGGCGGCGACGCTTCGATGTAGAGAAGTTAGCTCGCAACCTGAGAACAATTAATGGTAACGATTACTTGTTTATGTGCATTTTAAAAGATGATATTCATTTAGAGATGGTTTTGAATAAGACAGGACAATTATACCTGGTGATACAAATCTTAATTACATTTTCATACTATGATAACAATAATTTTGTTATATCAAAGGAATATGTTTATCGGAATTTTTAATTATTTTAACATAATTTTTGATTGTTGTACTAACTTGTTATTATGATTAACACAAGCGGTGTGATAATGACCTTGTGATAATTTGCAATTTCAACGAATCATCATTAATTTTTAAGCTGTAGTTGCAATTAAAAATACTGCTGTTAGTCTCTCTAAAAGTTTAGTAATATAATGTCGATAAGACAATTTTGTAATTAGTTAAAACGTTAGCAGAATGTTTAATTATTTGAAAGTAATCTATTTTGGTGGAAAATGTGGAAATTGACAATATAGAGATCTGGTATTAAATAATAATAAACTTGAACGCGTTTGTATTCAGCTAATGCTAGTTATACAATATGATTACAAACAATTTGAACCATATTTACAAAGTAAAAATTTATATTATACTTTTATAAATAATTGTTAAATAATTATATCAATTATTGCTTAAATAAGACTGACGTTTAAAAGTTATTTAAAAAATGTAAGGAAACTTTATGCATATATTTCTATTAAAATATCTACAGTGACTCTGAAAAACCGCCCACTACATAGCGTTGTTTCTTATTAAAAACCGAATCGAAAATTCTTCAACCATTTTTCTCTATAATGTTTAGTAAAGAAGAAATTAAGTAAAGTCGGTTTACTGACATGCGCCCAGCTAAAGATCGGCGCTAATTCGTTGGATTTTACGTAATAACAATTTCTTTTCCAAGTATTGTAGAGAAAAACGGTTCAGAGCTTTTCGGCTCAGTTTTTAATATAATTAGTGGGCGGTTTTTCCTGTATAGCACACATATGTATGCGTATAAATGTAGATTATCTATTACAAAAAATTTTGTATTGGTATGCTGTTTGATTATGTATATCACGTAGAGGTATTATTTGAATCAAGTGACATTTATTGTTTTAATATATTTTACAGTAGAGGAACTCGTGATATATAAATTATTAATAAAAATTTACGTTTACTCTATAGAAAAGAAGTATACTTTTCGTTTAATGTTTATTTAATGTAATGCCAAGCAATATCAAGTGTAAGAAATTTCTGTTAATAAATGTATAAATTCTCATGTTGAAACTTGTGTCGTTCTACAATTATTAAGCACCGATATGAAAACCGTTTCTATATTTCAATACAAGCAACAAATGCATTTTCTTTCGTTCTTCGTCTCAGCTAACGTTTGACAGCACTTTCTTTCCCTTAGTTTGCACACCACGTTTAAATCCAAGATTAAACTCCGACTTAAACATTTCTCTATAATAACTTTCCTTCACTATCTCACTTTCGGGAAGATTCTCTTGTTTGCACTTTAACACGTAGGATTTATGCATTGTGGCTATATTTAGATTCGAGTCCAAGTAACATTTATCACTGTGATCCTTAGGATCCGTCGATTTCTCGATCGGAAAGGATTTTATGTGTTGGCGCACTCGCTCCTTCACGTCCTCGCTCTTCTTAGTTTTCGGTGTGTGCCTGCCTCTTTGATCCGGTCCGATGATACCACCGGGTGACACTCGTTTCTTCTTCATCACATGCCGCACAAACTTCTCAGACACCGCAAACGTGCTGAGAAACATGGACTTGCAGACGGTAATGGATTCATTCTTGGCGAGAAGAGAATAAGTAAACGTCACTTGTCGGCACTTTGAGGAAGAACCCTTGGACTGAATGTTGCGCAAGCGAGTACGTTGTTTCGGAGATTCTTTGATGGACAATGCGATGTATTGCTTTCGCCGTTGCCACGTACACATTCTCCAAAAGGCCTTGTGCAGCTCCTCGCGTTCCTTCTCGTCTATCTTGTCCGCGCAACGCATGCGACAGGCGCACGAGTGTCCCATCTTTTTGGCCGGCACTACTTTGCCTGAAAAAAGCAAACTGTCAACTTTTGTCACTTGACTCGCCTGCATCTCAACTGTATCTACCTCCAACTCCGATGTATTCCTCCCCTTTTAATCTAGCATCTTTCTTCATGTTCACTTTCCAGTTTTCAGATTGCTTTGTACGTTTGGTACATTTTTTGTGTTCCCTCGATGGCACTGCATCCGTCTCCTGTTTAAGCTCGATTGAACTTTCTGTCAAATCCTCATTGCTTAGCGGGTCTTGCGACATATCCACCGACCGTAAATCCATAGTGTTTCCTGTAATAACACGCAACTGCAGTGGAATCCAACAAGAAATTGGAACACTAGTGTCAATATAACCTCAAGTTATTCATCTCTTTTTCTATTATTTCTCTCTGTGAGATCTATCTGGAATGTACCTATTAAGAGATAAGTTTCTACAAGTTGAGGCTCGGATTTCAATGTGAAATTTGCATCCCCAGTAGCGGTGCTTCTCAACCACGTTGCGCTCGTCGGCAATTGGTTTAAAGGGCCCGTCGAGGCTAAAGATAAACGAGGGATAAGTGATCCATCGAGAACGTATGGAGAAACAAGTCGGAGTTTACCCATATTGTTAGCAGCACGCGCGTGCATCTCCTGCCGTCGCACGGCCGACCATTCTCCGCGATCCGACGAGTCCGCTTCTGCCTCTGCCTCTGCCTCTGCCTCCGCCTCTGCCTCGTCACGCGGGACTCGCATCTTCCACGGTCGGTGGATTCGCCTTTCGAGCCGCGTGCACGCGGACGAGAGCGAACCTCGCCAACCTTGCGCACAGTCACCATGTGATCGGAAACGACAGCGGTCGCGGGACAATTTTTAGCGTTCAAGGATCCGAGCGTTTGACGTACAACGTTTCGTTTCAAAGGGGACCTAGCACCAGATCGTTCCACATTGCACATAGCACGGAACACAACCAAAACGTGCACATTGGCTACATAGTTTTCAATCTAGAGGGCGTATCGCCAATCCTCCGGCACCACGGTCTTGTAAAACGATTGACTCGCGCCGAATATTTCGGTACAATAGACTGTTTTCGACCGAGGTCAGAGGTGTTGATCGCGCTACGTCATTTCTTGGAACCGGGGCTCGGCGACCGAGTTGTTTACAGCGAACCGTACGCGGGATTATTCGCGTGGCGATAATTGAACGAGTCGGTTGTGCCCGCACCGCTCCGCATGTCGTAGTATTCTTTCTATACAATTATATATCCAACAATTATACGTAGAAAAGTGCGCGTATAACATAAAGTTGGCATTTTCGTCGCGTTCGGGAGTAATCGGGAGTGCCGTTTAGTGTTGGATCTTTGTGCTTTCGCGAGTGTGCCGGAGCAGACCTGACAATGAGTGGAGGAGGAGGCCCGGGAAAGGCATCGGGCATCGGCGGAGCAACTTTACGGTAAGTGTTATTTTTCATTTTCTGTAAAAGCAATCTTTCTTCCAGTTTCGAAATATAATCATTAGAAAAGAAGAATAATTGGAAATAATAAATTGTATTTTTCTGTTACAGAATCAACACAGCTACCTCCGCTGCTGCGCATCGGATGGTAAGCCACAACATAATTTCCTATTTATGCAGCTGTGACGACGCCGCGCTTTGATTGGCTCTGGTTCGAGCGCGCAATCAAAGTTTGAAATTTTCTCGGGAGGACTAGTTGGACAAGCCGCCGTTAGTCGTCATTGCGTGTCGCGAGTAGTGACGGCGGACCGCAAAAGCGTCTCGTGATTATTACCGCTCTCTCAAGTCAATCTCGTACGCGAGGAATATTCGCGAGTGTTTTCTGTCGAGTACAACGTACCGAACACTGCGTGCGATCGCGATTACATGTTTATATACCGCACTTTGGCAATCTGTATCCGACAATTCCTTACTGCGTACGACTTGGCGGTACCGGGCCGACATCTTTGATTCTTGGAGCCTGTGCGATGTGGAAATCCGTACGATATCGAGACTTTCAACGTGTAGTTTATTTGTAACGAAAAGGATCGTAGCAAAGTTCGTTGAGGTCGATCCAATTTCTTCCCGGCGCCGGCGTCTCGTTGCGCGGTACAGCGCCGAGGCTCGCTCGACGTTGGCGGGACAGTAAAAATGTCGCCGCAAACATTTCGTCAAGGCTACTTGGCGCAGACTTGAAGCCTCTTTGACTTGGAAGCCGTGGACGCGTGTCTGTAAAACATTGGTATTCTCATAGTGAAATACATGGCAGTTGAGCGAATGGCGCGGGAGTCGGTAAGGTCGGGAGTTGCTCGAGCAAGAGCCCGGGTCGAGTACCGACAGATGTCGCCGCGAGTATCTTTTGGCCGGAGCCCGCGTGATCAGAGCAGCGGTCCGCCATCTTGCGCGTGTGTGCCGCGGACCTTGTTGTGCGCGTCGCGAGTTTTCGCGTGACGCGTGATATGCGTAAACGTCAAGGTGCAGCGAGGTTTCCGCGGAAGGCGTTCGACGGAGGTGACGCAACGTGACGACCCGAGGGACGGGTGCGGTGCGTGCGACGACGAGCGGCCCCGGTGTCTTGGCGGTAAGTCGTCACTTTTCCAGATCGACGCTTTATCTCGCGCGCGCGCTCCGTTTGCGACGCCGATCCTTCCTCTCACCGTTCCAAGCGGACTCCCGGAGCGCGGAACGGCAGGGAAATTGTCACGTGTCGCAAAGTTGGCGCCTAGATTCTCCAACATTCCAAGTCCCTCCTTCGCCTCGTATTTCTTACCTAACTTTACCTGCTCGCGTCAGCTGTGCGCCGCGTCCGTGTGCCTTGCCTCTCGATGTGTCGCGACGACCGGCGCGAGCTCGATCGCGTTTCCTAATTTTCCGTCAACTCTGACAGTGGTCCGAGTTCGCGGTGACATTTTTTGCGTGGGCGTTGGATAATTATATCGCAGTCGAGCGGAACGCTTACGTCAGCGCACGCCTATGAGCGACGCTTGCGTGTGCGCGAGGAAAATTAACGCACGCTTCGCGAAGCAAGCTTGTGCACGTGTTGCTTCGGACTCGGCCGGATCACTTGGTGAGAACTCGCGGCGTCTACAAATATGTGCGCGTCGTACCGATGCTTTGTCACTTTCATATTAGATCATCTTTACGTACAGGAGAAATCCTTGTACGCGATACACGGAGCAAAGAGAGCTCCGGATAAACAATTCGACTTTACAAACATTAAGGAATTTTTTCTCGAGGCATAACTTCTCCGCAGTTAATTGTTCCTCCCATCTCTTTTCTCGCTTAATTTCTTCTTCTCCGCTTGCTTCGCCATGTCCGGCTCTTGGCGATTCTTCCTCAAGGTTGAATTATGAATCATTCTCGTATCCTTCGATAGCTCAGTTGGTAGAGCGGTGGACTGTAGTTGGGTACATCGAGAGACATCCATAGGTCGCTGGTTCAAATCCGGCTCGAAGGAGTTTTTTTTTCGCCATTATATTTCATCGAAATACCATTCCATTGCCAATTTCTCTGTATTTTTATCGAAAGAAGGAGAAATATTGCAAGTTTTATAAACTTTTTTACATCTTTTTTATTTTACATAAATAAATATTTGTGTGAAAAAAAACTCGTTAGAAACAATAGTACAATGGGACGTAAATGCTTTTATACAGTTATATTATTGCTAAAGAAATTAGACATCTCATAAACTTTTGGATTTTGCCTACTTCCCTTTCTTCTGAAATAGTTGATGCGATATACCAATACCGAGTCTGCGAAGATGAAAAGAGGAGAACGTGTGCCCGTTATGAGCTAAGCTAAGCAAGAAGCTCCACGAATAAAATTAAGATGTTGGTTTAAAATAATAACTAATTAATTTCCAGTAGGATGTAAAACATATTATGGTCGGACGTCTATACTTGGTCGAAACCCGTTCATCTTTAGCGCGATAATTTAATATAAAAAGAAATAAGAGTGAGGATAAAAAGATTGAATTAACGAGGGGAGAACAAGATGGAGTAACTTGAAAGCAATTATAAATCCTTATTTCGTTGGTAGTTTTCCCGCTGACGCTAACACACGTAATCTGACTTGGGCAAAACTTGGGCAAAATGATATTGTTATCGTAGTCGTATGCCTGCAACGATATCGTGCGCGATGACGCGGAGGGTACCGTGATCTAAATGGATGAGCTAAAAACGGGCGGCGCGGCGAGCGGACGGGGGGGGGGGGCTATGAATATTGGCGGTTAAACGGATTAAAGGCCGAAAAATATCCATATTATCGGACATATGGGATGGCTATAAGGCGCAGTCGCGCGAGCCCACGATATATATCCGTGGTAATTTATAGCCGCGTTCTAATCGTCTTTTCCAGCTATAATTTATTACCACTCCATCCATATTTATTGGCGCTTCGGCCACTGCATTCTGCCGACCATCAGATTGGTTATATTGTTGGCGGCCCGGTACACACTGCAATAAATTATCCAGCGCGCCAAGGTGCGACGGCTGACGCGCACTGATAGATTGCGGTGGAGAGGAGAAACGATTTATTTAAGTAGTGCGCTATTTTACGCGTCCCCTGGCAATCTTGAGTACGTATCCGTGTATATGATTTCGGATATCGTATATCGCCTATTGCGAATTCAAGTGGGAGAAACAAGTGCTTGGATTGATTTGAGACACTCGCGATATAAGTCGCGGATAATGAAGTTGAAATTCACCATACCATTTACTAGTAAACTCCCACGATTACATCATTTTCCGGACAAGTTTTAAGAGTAAATTCTCTCCGTGTACTATAGAGAATAAAATTCCGGCGACTTAAATTTGAGCGATAATCGGTTCGTTTACTTGATTTTACATTCTGATGATACTCCTTTGTCGACCGGCCATCGTAAATTAAACATTTGTACCGTAATGCGGTTCGTGCGTAGCATCAAAGCTCCATGCATAGGCGACACACGCATAATTTGCGTGCATAAACGCGCGCGAGCGTGCAGAGGAATCGTTGCAGGTTCCGATTTCTGCTAATATCTCGCGTGCATTATTACACGGGTGACACATTTTGCATTGATAATAACACGGTGCTCGACGTGCCGCGATACGACACAGTTTATGCTGAAAAAAATTATCGGTACATTTAAATATTTATGACCTGGCGAACAATGACTGACGGCTGGTAATTGGTTACGCGATTTTTACATATTGGAAATATCGACGTGTTAAAAGTTTTACGTTCCGTCTGGTATATATGGGAATCAATTGAGTTTATGACCTAAAATAATTTTTATCGCCAACTAAAGCAATAAAAAAAATGGTATAGCTTTATCGACGATATTTCTCGCGACGCGATTACCGAATCCATGTAGTGAAAAATAAGCCACAATTATCGCGGTAACTACGACTCAAGTTTTAGCCGAGGTAAACTTTCTCCTCTGCGAGAAAGCGAATTGAGTCGGTGGTATTAATGAGGAATAATTAGAATGACCCCGCGCGCGAAAAGAATGCCGTAGATAAAATTGATCGACGCGGGCGATTAAATAGGCAAGACGAGAGACCGAATTTACGAGTGAAAACGCGCGGTGCCGCCGTTTCCACGTTGGCGTGCACGCGCGATATTACGTTCCTGTTCAGTGGCATAGCGCGTAATCGGCCGTTAAATTCGCCCAGTGTCGGCATGAACACAAAACGATTCAATTAGCGCGTTCGGCTTCCGACGCGTCACCGCATGCGACAGCGATACTCCCGTCCGGTCGCTTCTCTTCCAATTTCGTGCTCTCGCAAGGGTACGGTGGTCGTTTATTGTTATTCAAATGACGAGAAGCTGTATGCGAAATAATTCGATCGACGCGACCGAAATTCCGGCCTGCCCGGAACATTTAAAACGTCGTCGCGACATCGCGACGCGTTAATGAGCGTTACTTTCGGAAATGTAATGGCTGGAATATATCGGCGTCAGGGTCCATATTGAACATTCCCGCGGGAATCCTTCAATTCGCAAGTGTACGACACCTAAAATGACTCGCGGCAACCGCAACAATGACCACCTCGTCATTTCAACCTTTAGGTTCCCGATAGCTTTTGTCTCATTGCGTGATCGTCGCCGAAAGGTATCATTTATACGGGTACGGGAGGATCTACGGTTTAGACATCACGTCGGCTACATGAATTATTAACGACGGGCTTGCAATAGGGAATTCCCACGGTGCGGCAAGAGACGCGTGTGTCGCCGAAACTCTGTGAGTTGTGTTATTAGTTGCCGCCATTGAAAGGCATGGGTCCTCTCATATCGTGTCCGTCCGATTATCCCGCGTGCTATACAGAGCGATATCATTTTCGACAGACGCTGAGAATTCCCCGTTCTGCTTTTCTAATTACCCAATTGCCTAAAAGTGCACTTGAATTTCTACGTTTTTAATATATAATTGCCGCGTCAGTTATCCTTATAGAATGTCAAGTAAATTTTGGTCATGTATGAAAAAGTAATGTGAGTTTAACGTAGCAAATTCGACCTGGGATTCACCACTGCTATTACTAAGTACGAGTTACTTGATATCGGGGAAGAAAAGGAATTTTTTTCAATTTCATAAAATGTTAACAGGCAATTTGCATTCGCAAAAGTTGGATCGCCCTGTAGGTATGTTTCAAAGTGCCACAGGGGGATAACGCGGATGGATGCGGACGTCGACTTACAACCTACTATCTGGATTAACATATTATCTCTCGTCTCAAAGGGCTTTTCATGTCATTAGGTAAGGCGGATCTGCAATAACAATGATTGTTGTGCTTGTGGGGTTTGCCGCGGGCTACGCGCCTGTTTCCCCGCAATTTCGCCTTTGGAGTTGATGCATAATGTATAATTTAATTTAATGTAATACTACAACGTAATGTCAGCAAACGCGGGATATTACGTCGTAAACGAAGCGTGGTTAATAGTTGCTAATTGATTGCGAAGCATCGTGCACTCGTGCGACAATAAATTTTCTATTACGTCGAATAGTTGAAGATAAATAAGCACCGTGTCGAGCACATCTTTTCGATTCATTTTCAACTCAATTCAAACATTTTTCAACGCGATACGCCAAAGTAGATATCTCCATAATTAATTTCATCGAAATACAAACATGATCTACTCATGATCGCAGAAGGGAGGGCTTTATCATTCTGTACAGCTATGTTATTAAACTCATCTCACTGTTGCCTGACAACTTGGCTAGCCAATAACATGTAGATTGGAGCCTCGGCGCGGCATTATCGTGCATCTTTATCATGCGAGACAAAGAAGGAGAAATATCAGCTCCATTGGCAAACGTGCGAAGGCATCTTCTCGGTCACGCTCCGTTTCATCCCGGGTTCGCGTGCCAAGAGTAGTTTACGTGAGCATAGTTTCACGCTTTATCCGTCGAGGTATGCCCGAATGGCGTTTGGCAATCATGCGTGGGAGGCATCATTGTCACGCTTATATCTAAATATGAAAGGAACTCTGATGTAAACGGGTTACCGTGTGCTCCGAATAACATTTTTTCCTGGGCGGAGTTGTTAAGTTTGAAAAGTCGGGAAAAATTGCGAGAAAGAGAGAGAGAGAGAGGAGGTGCGA